AAAATCCGTCTTAGTGCAACCGATCTTACCGATACGATGATGAATAAATATCAAGGTCAGGAGATGTCAGTTTAACCAAGCGACAAGTTAACCAATTATTTAACTATCCGATCATCCAAGAAATCGAGCACATAAGCATACTACTTGCTACCTGAGAAGCAGGGAAAGGGTGGAGTTTGCTAATTTCTCAGAGATATGTCCTTAAGTTTTGTTCGAAAATCACTAAGTAGCAAGCAAACTACTGCACAAAGATGCATCGTTAAAATGCTGTTCAGGAAACTTGCACACACATGAAACTATGGATGAAAAAATTAAAGATGGAAGCATCGAATAATTAACCGGAATTTCTGAGATGTTGGAATAATCACTTCCTCATAGAGCACTGATGTTATCCTTGCAACGTTGACCAACCAACTCGGATTGAAACTCGTCGTCCCATACTAATCAATTTATTCAATTTCACACGTAACACGTACGCTGCAAATTTGAAATCATCAGATTTTGTAAGTGAGATGCATGCATAGGTGAGGGAAACAATGAGATTTCTATCCATTCAAAAAAGGAGGTGTAGAGATACAGTTGATGCCTTCCTGGTGACAAACATGCGAGGGAAGAGACCTGTGAGCGCGCTCATAATGACAATAATGTGTGCTGAACACGTCAAGATTCTCGCATTTCCCACATTTCAACTTGTAACTAATCTTTTGATGAATAACTTTTTTCGGTTTAAGCATAAAAGAAGTCTCTTCAAAAGAGAGTTTATTCTATAGCGCAAGTTAAAAATATTATTCAACGATGTGTTTACGAAGTCACTCATGCAATTATATAAGTAATGATACGTCTCTTACGTGGAATACTTAGTAATGATTAAGTATGCACAGTTACTCCTTTACTACTTTTCATACTTCCAAAGAAGAGATTCTATTATTGCGAATCCTCCCCCTTGTAATGGCTTTAGTTTACGGTGCGCTTCTCGACAGCTTTTGTGTCTCCTAGACTTGTCCCTGGTGATTGTGTCTTTACAAACTTTTTTGCTTCTTCTCTTTAAACTGAACTCTCCTGTTATTTTCACTCATTTGAGTTATAAAAAAACTGGAAGTTTTATATTTGTTTTCAAAATCTCTAGTCTACAAATTTCTATCTTGTAGATTTAATACAAAATTTTTTTCGCATATTGTATTTCGGTTTTTCCGCATTTTCTGTCTGAAACAGATGAAGGTCCTCAGAATGAGTGTTATGGGAATTATAGTGAAAACAGTTTTTATGAGAAAAATTTCTGTCCTTTACTGTTCAGTGAAAGGTGTTGCAGTTTTTCATCACTTTAAGCAATCAAGAGACGAAGTTCGCATAAAACTTGTTCATACTTGTTTCACTTAACCATTTTTAAGTGTTCCATATTGATTTGTTGGGCAGTGATTTAACAAAAATAGTGTCATTGATAAACAGCTTGCAAAAAAATGTTTTAGTGTTTGATGAAAATAATCCGCTGATGGCTTTTTAATTAGAAAACTTTTTTTTTTTAAGGATACATTTACGTCCAGAGGATGCGCTTTTCTTTTTTGTGAATAACTCTATTCCACAAACAATGACAACAATGGGACAAATATATCAAGTAAGAACTGCATATTTTGGCACATCACTTTCTTCCTAATTGTTGTTATTTAGTTATATGAAAACTTTTCTGGGGCACGTTTCTATCTTTACGGTACCTTTTTTTTGGAAAAAAGGAAGCAAGAGAGAAGAGTGGAAGAGTAAAAGATAAAAAGAAAGAAAGTATCATCGGTCTGCAATGCTATTTTTGACGTGTTTATGGATTCGATTCTTCGAGCTGCTAGCTCTTCACGGCGGTGAAAAACTGTGCCATTATTATTTTCGATGAGATTTTATGACATATTGAAATGTGGATGGTCATTGCAGATTATATAATAATGACAGATCATTTTCAGAAAAGATTGTATTTACAGGAGAATCACGAAGAGGATCTTTTTCTGTACATTGCTTACAGCGATGAAAGCGTCTACGGTTCTTCATGAGTGAATTATGCGAGTAAAATTATCTGCTTTGCTTATTTTTTGACTAAATGTTTAATCTTCTCACCTTCAGTTTGCATCCATTTCATTTATCGATTTCAGTATTGTATTTTAATTAAATCATTAAAACAGTCAATAATACAAGTTTTTTTTTTTTTTTTACATGCTTTATTACTGATTGTTTATGACGATGATCTTATAATAAAGTGAGGGAACAAAAATTTTTGTTGGATTTGATTCTCATAAATTATAAATAAATACGCCTGACCAAATAACCTCAAAATTAAATACAGACCATTTCGGAACTATATGCTATTAATAAGTGCATTAGTTGTAATTTCGTGTAGGAATCTGCTTTATGAAACAGTAAACGACATGAATGCTTAACAGATATAAGAACATAGACGTATGCTTTGTGTTAAAGCGTCCGTAACGCTTAATTTTGTTCCACTGTCTGTTAAGCGTTTATGCATTATTTGATGTGTGAGAAAAAATCGGACTGTTGGTAGAAGGCTGTTTTATTGGTAGAGAATGTATTATTTCAAGAAGTCTTTAACCAAAGCAACAGATTCCTAATATTAGTTTTGGAAACTTCTTGAGCATTTTTAATTTTAAAGACTAAAGCTAATTTGTTTTTTCAATGCAATTAGTGGCATTGCGATATTGTAAGATAAATTTGTTCTTCGATATTCGATTTCATTATGTATATTATGTCATTGTACTACACTACATTACATCTCACGTTCCGTTTAATCCCACGCATTGTGTATAACAATCTGTAGATGTGAAATCCGTCAATAAAATGTTTCAAAAAGCTTAACTGTGTTTTTGTAATATTTGGAATGCATTATGGCACGTACCTCATAAAGAAAGGTTTTCTTTAAAAATGTAATTCCGACATGGGAACGATTTCTTATTGGGATTTTTTCGTCATAGAAAAATTTTTTAAGTGTGTGGTAGATTCCGTGATTATTTATGCTTGTATTATAATGCTTTTCAGATTTTCACTGTAAATTTGTTTTGTTACATACTGATATCTTTCAATTTGCATTCGTTGTGGGCTTAAATTAGGAAGAAGCAGTGATATATTACTGAGGTGAATTATATTGCCATTTCATAATATTTGCGGATAGTAAGCAAATTGTAATCAGTGAGTATTCTCTGTTGCGAATTATGGTACTTTAAAATATGTTCGATGATCCCTTCGCAAAATTATGTGCAAATGTTTGACCTCACATATTTCTAACTCATGTTTATTATATTATACCTCAAAGCCTTTGTGTAGAAGAAAAATTCTTCATACATTAAATTACCTCCCTTGTTTTTTTGTATGCATTAACATGTAACATTATTAATGTATGATGACCTTAGCAATGAATTTATCATGATCACTCCCACTTTAACACTATATACGTATTATATAGTATGGATCAACTTATTCAAAGAAATTCCAATTATTCTTGCTTCTTTATAAAATTTATTATACGGTTGTTTCTGTTAATAAAGGAATTATTATATTCCTGTACTCCATTCGCACTATCAACATTTACATCAAAAAGTTTTCCCCAAAAACTTCTTCAATGAGTAATTATTACCTGTCCATAGTTTTAGGTGTAGTTAGTTTTCTACATTCTCTCACTATCATATATTAACAATGGAATGCTAGATTGGCTGAAGTTAAGTGTTGACTGAATTTTTATCTATATTAATCCCAAGTCTTTCCCTTTTCGAAGCGAACATAACTATTGTGCATGTTAAAAAGTCTTTGAGATTCTTTTATGGTGATTTAACTTCTTTTTCATTTTATTATAGCTCTTATCTAGCAAATTTATCGTAAATATTTTGCTTGGGAAGGACAGAAATTTTAAGGACTGAAAGAATTTACATGGAATGGATGTGTTTTTTGGTCGTGAAAAAAAATTCTCCTAACTGCTCAAGCAATTTCATTTTTTTTGTGCTGAACTAAACTATTTCCAGTTTCTGTTGTGATTTTATCAATTTTACACTTTAAAATGTACTTTCATTACCGCAACCCAGTTCCAGTTACTCTGCCCTCCCCTCCTTCTGTTTTTCGCTTTTCGCTTTGTATTTATAAAGTTTCCAGGAAACAGCTCAAAGATATATTCCTGAATAAGTAGTTACCTTCCCTATCAGACGAAGTAGTACATTTCTGAACATCATCTTGACAGTAATATCTCTAGGACATTATCTCTTACGACGCTGCTTAATAAACCCATTTTCTAGCTGTTAATTTGTGTCGTAATGATATATTGAGTTTATGACTACCTTGTATGATGCAGCAGCAGTAGCACTTTCCACTTTTTGAGATCACTGGGTTATTCATATCATAGATTCTTGATTGTTGAAATGGCAAAATGATTAGTTAATTTGGTTAACAACATGATCAGCAATAACTGAACTGTTTGCTGTTCTGCTAGGAAAAGTCAGTGTTTGTTTTATTTCATTTTAAGCAGAATCTTCTTGTTTGAGATTACTTGTACTTCTGATATTCCTGCCAAATAAGTAGAATCGGTAAAGAATAATATATTGGCATGCTGAATCATTCATATGAACTTTTGCTCAGATGTTTTTAATTGACAACTGGTAAAGAGCGTAACACCGAAAGGGTAACTCGGGTCGAGATGTGATTTCTTCAACAAAGTCCAAAAATTAAAGTAGAATCGTCGTTTAAGAAATTTTTGTTGAGAATATTTCTTGGAAACTGAAATGCAAAACAAACGGGGATTTCGTCATCTTATTATCACTTGGCTATTTTGCCATAAAGTTCCCCTATATGATATTAACAGTTTGATCAAATAAGTTTGCACTGGAAATGGGTGTGACGTACGAAACGTAGGAAGAGTTTAGAAGTGAGAATTTCACCTGATTTTATCTATTTATGTCTTATATCCTCAGAAGCGGAAACAACAATTTTTGCTAGATCAGCAAACTCCTTTACAAAGCTCAGAAATGGCTGATTTACTTGCTAATATCAATTTGAAGAAAGCTGATGGTACAGTAAAGAAAGGAAGTGATGCACTGGCTGTAAGTCTTCCAATGCTTCATTTTAAAATAATTTCTCCGGAAATATGCAAATGAGGGAATAAGGTTTGTAAAAACAGAAAGTTAGTAACATCGAATTATTATTTTCTATCTGCAAGGGTTTCTTTCCTTTAAATAGCGCTGCACAGAGCTATTCTCAGAATATTATCATTTCAGAACAAAAAAGTTGTGGCATTATATTTCTCAGCACATTGGTGCCCACAGTGCCGACAATTTACACCAATCCTAAAAGTGATTTCTAAACTTCCGATTTTCAAAATTGCTACAAAATTGATAGCACTTCAGGGATCGTAAATTTCAGATTATTATAATTAGGTTCGAACATAACTTTTTTGTTATTTTAAGTTAGAACCGCTGAAACATCTCATAGAGCTGTTTTATTTTGAAAATCACTGAGAAATTTATCTAACGATTTAAATAAAAAAATAAATAAAAACTAAATTATCTCATTTAAACGAATGATATAGTAGTAAATTTCTAAAAGTCTGCTTATTCCTAAAGTGTAGAAATACTCAATTTTGCTTCTGTGATGTCAAGGAAGCATCTCATCAATTTCGAAGGCACTTTCTCCATAGTATGTTTGAAGTGGCAGTTAATTACGGAAGTTAAATAAATAGCTAAGATAAAACCTGATTTGTTCATTTTTGAAGCCGAATTAAAATGATATAATTTTGCAGCATTTGTTTGAGAAAGCGTCGTGAAATAAGACAGTGAAATTCAACAAGGCTATTATTTCTGTACCAATATTATAAATTGATATTATTCTGTGCGAGAATAAGTTAGCCGGTTTTCTGTGGAATTGACCTCAATCTCCAAAATTAGTTTTATGTGTAAAATAATTACCACGTTGATATATTCAGGAATTTTATGAAGAAGTAGACGATGACCAATTTGAAATAGTATTTGTCTCATTGGACCATTCCGAGGAAGATTTGAATAACTATGTGAAAGAATCACATGGCAATTGGTATTACGTTCCTTTTGGTTCCAGTGAAATCGAGTTTGTTTTTGGAAGATTTTTCCATGCTTGGTGACAGAAGGTTGAAAATAGAATTGCTTACTTTAAAAAAAAAATGACAAACTATAGCCTACATGACACTTTTATCTGCCTCGGGAGCTTTTTTGTCGAGTAAGCTTGTCAGTTCAGAAATTCATATAAAAGCAATTTTCTTAGTGAACTCCTTTTATTGTTATTTTATTTTGAGAAAACTAAAAAATAAGTATGAAGTTGCCGGAATTCCTATGCTTATTGTGATTAAATCCGATGGTAACGTTATTACCAAAAATGGCCGAGCTGATGTTTCGGTAAGTTTTTGTTTTGTTTGATATTAGATGCAGAATTTTGATTATGAAAAATTTCATCGAAATTTTGCTTCTAAATGATAGAAAAACTATAAGCACTCAAACTTAACTCTTTGAGAACTTTATTTCTGTATCTTATAATTGAGCGCACTGATCTTTGCTAAGATTCACACTCACGAAGAAGGTATTCAAGGGGAGCAGCCACTTACAATCATCATAATTTGAAATATTATCAATAGAAAGTGGCTATATCAAGAAAAAAAAGTGTTTTCCACTGCAATACTTCAGGGCAAAGCACCACCGCAAACGCTTTCAAGCTGGTTAGCAGCAGCGTAGTGCGGATTGAACGAAATAATCTATTGGTATTTCTACTATCACTTTCTATTATTTCGAATATTCAAAAGAATTTTTCTTATCATATCGTTATCATATCTTTATGGTATTAGAATGGAAATTTTTGGCTCAGCGTTCGTGTAATTATTTATTTGCTGTGCTGATAAAAAACACTTTTTTGATTTGGCTTATTGCAGAGAAAAACTGTCCGATTTCATTTTACTAGTATTGATTTAGTTCTTACGATTGAAATTAAACTGTTAGGAGAGATACAATTCCTTATGTATCAATCGGCATATATACATATATATTTTTTTCAAGAAACATGAATCTCGAGATATTCTTAATTCGACCACTCACAAGTATCAAGTTGACAATCAAAATGTTGATTGGACAAAGGAAACAAAAAGGAATTTTTAAACAGGTCGAAAGAGGGTTAATCGCAGAGTGTTATCCTAATTATGGAAATGTAGTACGTAAGGGGTTTCACAGTAACAGGGCGTATAATATCTCTATCCTTAGGAAAGTAAAGGGAACATTAATAAAATGAAAAGTTTTGTTTTCGACGTGTCATATATATTGAATGACAGACTAAAACATGAATAATAAATATGGTTCACTAAATACTAAATGTTTTGTTACTTCTATTTCATTCCATAGAACAATACTAGTGCTGGCTACATATTTTTTATTTTCCTTTACTATAAACTTTCCATCACAAACTCTTTTAACAATGATAAATTTTGTGTTTAATTGTCCTAACTCATACCTATCAGAAAAACCAGCTTATAATAATAATCGAAATCCACAAGATTAAATCTATAAGGCTAAAAATTGTCTTCATTAAATATTCATTAAACAAATTGTATCTCATGAAAACAATCATTCATCCAACACTCATCTCCCAGTTGTAGTGGACTTACCTGTATTGTCTTTACGATTATTAACAAGGAATGTGTGCACTGCAAATTGTTTCTTCATTCTGAACCAATTCTGGTTGCAATGTGGAAATATTGTAGAGATTTTCCAATCTAATAGTCATTTCTACATATAGTGTTAAAATCCAATTCTCTTACTAGATAAAGAATAAAGATTACCCGATAGATAGTTTATCATGTGCTTGTTGTAAGATAATGTCCACTATAAAAGGATTTAAATCTTTTGTCTTAGTTTTTTAGTATTGTCAAGCTAAATTCCAGCTGTTCATTTAATTCGATTCATTTAAATGTTTTACTTAATTATCCCATCAATTTATTTCTTCATCTTCACTTCATATTCGCAAATAATCTACAAAATCATTAAAGTAATGTCGATGTAGATTAATAATCGAGTATTGTGGTAGTTTTTCTCTCCCCTACATAAACATTATTCATTTGCTTGGTGAGACTTGCTCTAAAGTTACCCCATCTATTTACCTTTGATTATCTAAATTTCTATATAAATATACGATATTGTTGAAATAATTTGATCAAAATAGATAGTGATAATCTAAGAAAGTTTTTAATACCTCTGTTGCATTTGATCGCAGGTATTCCTTCATATGTGGATTCCAGAATATAGAATATGGTGAAATTTCGCCTTGAAATTTCTTCACAATTTCATTCTTTGAATGTAATATCAGATATTCATATGTTATTGTTGCTTGAAGTGATATTATGAAAATAGCTAATTAAAAAAAAAAAATGAAATCAAAAACAAGGTATTCATGTTGAAATTTCAATTATGATCCCTTAGAATTTATAGCATTTTCAGTTCGCAGAGCGATAGCGTTGCTCTTATTCATCAAGTTCATTAACTGATTTTTCGATTGATTTCATCCTCAAGACTAGTTTACTAATAACCTCGTCGAGCAGTGAATCTTCTTTAATACCTGCAGAAACCTTCGGCAGATAAATTTTCTAAATTTTAAATGCAAATGTTTCACAATTCTTTTTGTGAAACATATGAAGATTACTATTCTTTAGTTATGCCAGTATATTTTGATAGAGAATCCAGATAACCCAACTAAGTATGTGTGAATTTCGGGATCTTTTTGATTCAATTTTCTGGAAGATTAAGCATAGTTGGTAGCTAGAAGGATCTTGTTTTTCTACCTTCTACAAAACATATATTTGCTCAATCTTGCCTGACTTTAGTTCTACTTCTACACACGGAATTCTATTCTCAATTCTGACAGATGCGGGCAATTCCGGCACGACATATTCCCTTTATTCCCAATGTATGAAGATTTCGGTTATAGGATTGTATCCTGGAAGATAAATTAGATGCAGACTGCCTTCAGTTTCCCAACTGATCACTGAATTTCTAATAACATCCTTTTTCATCACAATATAGATTCGATTTATTTCTTTCTTCTTTACTTAATCCTCTTAATATGCTTGAATTTAATTATAATAATCTGAAATTTACGATCCCTGAAGTGCTATCAATTTTGTAGCAATTTTGAAAATCGGAAGTTTAGAAATCACTTTTAGGATCGGTGTAAATTGTCGGCACTGTGGGCACCAATGTGCTGAGAAATATAATGCCACAACTTTTTTGTTCTGAAATGATAATATTCTGAGAATAGCTCTGTGCAGCGCTATTTAAAGGAAAGAAACCCTTGCAGATAGAAAATAATAATTCGATGTTACTAACTTTCTGTTTTTACAAACCTTATTCCCTCATTTGCATATTTCCGGAGAAATTATTTTAAAATGAAGCATTGGAAGACTTACAGCCAGTGCATCACTTCCTTTCTTTACTGTACCATCAGCTTTCTTCAAATTGATATTAGCAAGTAAATCAGCCATTTCTGAGCTTTGTAAAGGAGTTTGCTGATCTAGCAAAAATTGTTGTTTCCGCTTCTGAGGATATAAGACATAAATAGATAAAATCAGGTGAAATTCTCACTTCTAAACTCTTCCTACGTTTCGTACGTCACACCCATTTCCAGTGCAAACTTATTTGATCAAACTGTTAATATCATATAGGGGAACTTTATGGCAAAATAGCCAAGTGATAATAAGATGACGAAATCCCCGTTTGTTTTGCATTTCAGTTTCCAAGAAATATTCTCAACAAAAATTTCTTAAACGACGATTCTACTTTAATTTTTGGACTTTGTTGAAGAAATCACATCTCGACCCGAGTTACCCTTTCGGTGTTACGCTCTTTACCAGTTGTCAATTAAAAACATCTGAGCAAAAGTTCATATGAATGATTCAGCATGCCAATATATTATTCTTTACCGATTCTACTTATTTGGCAGGAATATCAGAAGTACAAGTAATCTCAAACAAGAAGATTCTGCTTAAAATGAAATAAAACAAACACTGACTTTTCCTAGCAGAACAGCAAACAGTTCAGTTATTGCTGATCATGTTGTTAACCAAATTAACTAATCATTTTGCCATTTCAACAATCAAGAATCTATGATATGAATAACCCAGTGATCTCAAAAAGTGGAAAGTGCTACTGCTGCTGCATCATACAAGGTAGTCATAAACTCAATATATCATTACGACACAAATTAACAGCTAGAAAATGGGTTTATTAAGCAGCGTCGTAAGAGATAATGTCCTAGAGATATTACTGTCAAGATGATGTTCAGAAATGTACTACTTCGTCTGATAGGGAAGGTAACTACTTATTCAGGAATATATCTTTGAGCTGTTTCCTGGAAACTTTATAAATACAAAGCGAAAAGCGAAAAACAGAAGGAGGGGAGGGCAGAGTAACTGGAACTGGGTTGCGGTAATGAAAGTACATTTTAAAGTGTAAAATTGATAAAATCACAACAGAAACTGGAAATAGTTTAGTTCAGCACAAAAAAAATGAAATTGCTTGAGCAGTTAGGAGAATTTTTTTTCACGACCAAAAAACACATCCATTCCATGTAAATTCTTTCAGTCCTTAAAATTTCTGTCCTTCCCAAGCAAAATATTTACGATAAATTTGCTAGATAAGAGCTATAATAAAATGAAAAAGAAGTTAAATCACCACAAAGAATCTCAAAGACTTTTTAACATGCACAATAGTTATGTTCGCTTCGAAAAGGGAAAGACTTGGGATTAATATAGATAAAAATTCAGTCAACACTTAACTTCAGCCAATCTAGCATTCCATTATTAATATATGATAGTGAGAGAATGTAGAAAACTAACTACACCTAAAACTATGGACAGGTAATAATTACTCATTGAAGAAGTTTTTGGGGAAAACTTTTTGATGTAAATGTTGATAGTGCGAAAGGAGTACAGGAATATAATAATTCCTTTATTAACAGAAACAACCGTATAATAAATTTTATAAAGAAGCAAGAATAATTGGAATTTCTTTGAATAAGTTGATCCATACTATATAATACGTATATAGTGTTAAAGTGGGAGTGATCATGATAAATTCATTGCTAAGGTCATCATACATTAATAATGTTACATGTTAATGCATACAAAAAAACAAGGGAGGTAATTTAATGTATGAAGAATTTTTCTTCTACACAAAGGCTTTGAGGTATAATATAATAAACATGAGTTAGAAATATGTGAGGTCAAACATTTGCACATAATTTTGCGAAGGGATCATCGAACATATTTTAAAGTACCATAATTCGCAACAGAGAATACTCACTGATTACAATTTGCTTACTATCCGCAAATATTATGAAATGGCAATATAATTCACCTCAGTAATATATCACTGCTTCTTCCTAATTTAAGCCCACAACGAATGCAAATTGAAAGATATCAGTATGTAACAAAACAAATTTACAGTGAAAATCTGAAAAGCATTATAATACAAGCATAAATAATCACGGAATCTACCACACACTTAAAAAAAAACTTGCAACAATTTCTATGACGAAAAAATCCCAATAAGAAATCGTTCCCATGTCGGAATTACATTTTTAAAGAAAACCTTTCTTTATGAGGTACGTGCCATAATGCATTCCAAATATTACAAAAACACAGTTAAGCTTTTTGAAACATTTTATTGACGGATTTCACATCTACAGATTGTTATACACAATGCGTGGGATTAAACGGAACGTGAGATGTAATGTAGTGTAGTACAATGACATAATATACATAATGAAATCGAATATCGAAGAACAAATTTATCTTACAATATCGCAATGCCACTAATTGCATTGAAAAAACAAATTAGCTTTAGTCTTTAAAATTAAAAATGCTCAAGAAGTTTCCAAAACTAATATTAGGAATCTGTTGCTTTGGTTAAAGACTTCTTGAAATAATACATTCTCTACCAATAAAACAGCCTTCTACCAACAGTCCGATTTTTTCTCACACATCAAATAATGCATAAACGCTTAACAGACAGTGGAACAAAATTAAGCGTTACGGACGCTTTAACACAAAGCATACGTCTATGTTCTTATATCTGTTAAGCATTCATGTCGTTTACTGTTTCATAAAGCAGATTCCTACACGAAATTACAACTAATGCACTTATTAATAGCATATAGTTCCGAAATGGTCTGTATTTAATTTTGAGGTTATTTGGTCAGGCGTATTTATTTATAATTTATGAGAATCAAATCCAACAAAAATTTTTGTTCCCTCACTTTATTATAAGATCATCGTCATAAACAATCAGTAATAAAGCATGTAAAAAAAAAAAAAAAACTTGTATTATTGACTGTTTTAATGATTTAATTAAAATACAATACTGAAATCGATAAATGAAATGGATGCAAACTGAAGGTGAGAAGATTAAACATTTAGTCAAAAAATAAGCAAAGCAGATAATTTTACTCGCATAATTCACTCATGAAGAACCGTAGACGCTTTCATCGCTGTAAGCAATGTACAGAAAAAGATCCTCTTCGTGATTCTCCTGTAAATACAATCTTTTCTGAAAATGATCTGTCATTATTATATAATCTGCAATGACCATCCACATTTCAATATGTCATAAAATCTCATCGAAAATAATAATGGCACAGTTTTTCACCGCCGTGAAGAGCTAGCAGCTCGAAGAATCGAATCCATAAACACGTCAAAAATAGCATTGCAGACCGATGATACTTTCTTTCTTTTTATCTTTTACTCTTCCACTCTTCTCTCTTGCTTCCTTTTTTCCAAAAAAAAGGTACCGTAAAGATAGAAACGTGCCCCAGAAAAGTTTTCATATAACTAAATAACAACAATTAGGAAGAAAGTGATGTGCCAAAATATGCAGTTCTTACTTGATATATTTGTCCCATTGTTGTCATTGTTTGTGGAATAGAGTTATTCACAAAAAAGAAAAGCGCATCCTCTGGACGTAAATGTATCCTTAAAAAAAAAAAGTTTTCTAATTAAAAAGCCATCAGCGGATTATTTTCATCAAACACTAAAACATTTTTTTGCAAGCTGTTTATCAATGACACTATTTTTGTTAAATCACTGCCCAACAAATCAATATGGAACACTTAAAAATGGTTAAGTGAAACAAGTATGAACAAGTTTTATGCGAACTTCGTCTCTTGATTGCTCAAAAACTCAAAAATTATTTAAATAAAAATTGAACGATTTAAATACGTCGAAAAACCATTTTCCGAATTTTCCCAATTAAAAACTACAGCAGAACCTCGTGGTTCCATTAGCTACAAGCTTTAAGTATTTCAACAATACTTACGAACAAATCCCTGACATTACGAAATATAAAAACAACGCACTAGTATCATAAACCTTTTTCTAATAAGGAAATAAAACTGTCCAACTGTTAAGTCGGATGGTACCAAATATTTCTTCTTATCCAGATCGCGAAGTCTTGCTTTCGGTGCCTTCTCAACAATAACCTACAAAGTTTTGATTGATACCGTCAGCTATCAATACGAGTGTCGTTGCCACTCGAAAACTAGCAAAACTGGGATAAAATGACATATTCTTGTAATCTAACAATTCCAGAAGTAATTGTAGGTGAGAAAAGCTGTAAGAAATATGAGTTCGCAGCTAAAAACATAAGACAAGTCAAAAAAAGAGACAAACTTACAGGTATCCGATCAGGGTACTTGCGTCTAATTTTTTCGCCTTCCGCTCGTCGCTTCTCGAATGGATTTTCCTCTTTATAAACCCACTTCATCGTTTATTTCTCCTTCAGTGATGGATATACTAAAAAAAAAAAAAAAACAATTATAAGGTTATTCTCACATTGGATAGCATATCACTGAAGACGTCATCAGGACCAGCTACACTTTTCACATGGTCATTCTTCAGAAAAAACACTTTGAACAGATCTGACATCATGAATGAGGGGAAAATAGTGGAATAGAAAGAGTGTAACATAATTATTAATAATAAAATTCAAAACAACGCCTTATGATAGTGATACTGGTGGACAGAAACGTTCAGCATGTCAGAACAACAGTTTTAGCAATAACTGACGATCAAAAAATCAATATGTCAATATGCACATTGTAAAAATACATGAAGCTAGGATATTTAATTTTGAAATAATTTGTGTGATTGACATAACAGATCAATGCAATGTAAAGAGAGCTGAACATTTTCACTGAATCGAAGTATTCAGAAATATATATGCCAAGTGGTTCCTCCTCCAAATCATCACCTATAACAACTTCAAACTTTCCAAAAAAGTTCTGGAAACCCTTGAAGCACCATCACAGGGATTAGCAATGAGAATGGTGTGTCACCCACACAGCCACATCCAGCAGAACTCGCACCGATCGATTTATTCCCGTCCCATTCTGCACAACCGTGCATGTCGCTCCCTGCCCCACACACAAGCCATCTCATCGCACTTCGTGTCATAAGGAGGACATACACAATGACACCTCCATATCTTTATATATAAACATGCATTATACGCGTACTCACATACATACATACACACATGCGTGTACATATGTGAACACGTTAGATATATATATCACGTATACGTGGGCAGACAATATGCATATGCGTAAAGATGATATATGTATTGTTAGAGCTATGTTAAAATTCTTTGTATTTCGAATACACGTACAGATTATGTTGGAACTATGAATATATTACGTTTCAACAAAAAATTCCATAGTGAAATGAATGATTTATCTGTTATAAATGCTTATCAGTGTTTTTTCAAATTAGAATGAATTGATTGGAAATGTCAGTTTTTCTTTCTGCTATGCTATATATATCCATTGTACTACGTGATACCTTACACTCCCGTCACGCGAATCACGCTAATCTCGACATGTGTTCTTCAGTTACTTACTGCCGTACTTCCTGCCATCCTTTCGCTACCACTATCATCGATGATACGCATTTCCATCTTTAAGCATATGCAGAAGGAATATTTGCACTTACTTTTATAGTGATTGATTAGTTTGTAAACCAAAGAAAACTCAGTTATTAAATGGTTTGTAATAGATCTAGTGACATAAGCTGTTGTTTACACACATAAGTTTTACTAGATCACTAGCATCGAAAGAAGACAACCAGCAGCTTACTGATTTGACCAAGAAGTTCAAAAGTCAGTTCTATTTTAGAAGAGCAAATCTCGAACCAAAAAAAGTTACGGTTACTTCCTGGCGATATGCTATCTCTATAGGAAATGCCGAATCCTGGGGAATCATTTTGTCAAAGTGTGCCCTGCAGATAAATAAGATAAGCGAGAAATTGTAATGCGGATGGAAATGAATTCTTCATAATAACATCTGATTAGTAGCCATAAACGAATGATTCAAAATTTGAGCTATTTCGATAAAGAAGCTTTATATCATATCGATTTGATTCTTTCTCAACTACTGACTACTTCAATCATTCCAACAAGCGAAATGCAAAAAACGCTTTTGGAGAGTTCGATGAATTCTGAAGCACAGAAGTAGCAAAAATAAATGAGCTACAACCCAAAAATATAGTTCTTTATCGCCTTAGTTAAAATTAAAATGACCATAAATTCATATGAAAGAATATATATTAGTCTCATTCAGGCTCTACCTGCAAAAAGAGAAACTTTTTTCGAAACATTTGTATCCTAGCATGAGCTCCTTCAAAAGAAAAAAAAAGACAAATTGTGATAATAACACATTTGCTCGCATTAAGTCCAATATAATAATAAGCTAAAAGAATACAAGCAATGCTATAATTGATGTATTTACCTAACCCTACTTCATTCTACTTAATGTTTTGCCACGAATGTCAACAAAACATCAGCACTTTTGCTTCCCAATCCGTTAGATGTTAACTCTGTCATTCCCAATAATGTAGAAAATCCTGTGAACACTTATAGGCATGTCAGCATTTATAATTTCCACATATGAACACAACTTCTTGAAAAATCTCCCACTTACAACAATTAACTTCAATTTTTATCATTGCCACAATCCCACTGCAGGAAAACTAAGGTTTGTCTACTTGTTTTTATTGTCAATAAATAATCAGTAAGTCAATTACAAAGTGTTCATTATTTTAAATATGCTGTCAGGAGAGCATTAGACAAAGCCTTCTATTTCAGTACTGATGGTTTTAAAAATACAAGGGAGTACTGCCTGAAATTATCACGTAACTAGTTTTGATAGCCAGTTGATCTTTCGTACTTTCCACTTCTCACCCAACGCTTTGTCAATCCATTGAACAAAAGTTTTAAATGTCACCTTTTCTATCTCATAACATCCAAAACTGAATTTTAAGATCCTGATTTAAAAAAAAAAAACCAGCCAGCTCCAAATTATTGCAACTTCTCTCCAGTATATTCTTTAAAAAATGCAGTGAAATGAAAAACCTCAAAAATCGTTGTAGTACTCAAAGATAAGAATAATACTATAACAGGACTGATTACAGAACCATAATTAGAAAATTAGCTTTGAACTCGATATACACAGTCAAGTTTCGGAAAATTTGCTCTTACAAATACGAAAATAAAACCTATATAGAAAAAAAAAATCACAAATAGGAAATGTATATGACAAAATAATCTAGCTATTAGGCAGTTTTATACGAAATTCCACGCATAAAACAAGACGGAAAGGACACCCCCATTACACCAGCACATAATCGAGCGTGAAACAAGAGAAAGAAAGGAAAGAGATTGTTTAATTAAAAGACAGAAACCAATTCGTGATTAAAAATTAAAACTGAAAGTACTGACATGTTTGGTCCACAGAATTATTGATATTGCATTGTGGTTGAGCGATTAAATACACGAATTCATTACAGCCGATTCAGTACAGTTAATTAGTACGTCAATCCAGCATGGCTTCCCTAATACTTCGCGATCAAATACGGGCTACGGCTAGATATAATGAAACTACGAGAAAATGATAACACCGTAAAAAAAAAAGACAAAAACAAAAACGTCCTAGACCTATTTTTTTATAATATATTGCGATAAGCTGTTAAATTAAATCAAATGTCAAAAAAGACAAAGGAAATAAATACAATATTTAAACCAGCTGTGAATATGGATGAAATTTACGAAATGATAACTGGAAAGTAAAAAAGAAAAGAACCGAAGATACCACAGAAAGAAAATTTCCTAAACAATCTCCTCAGGTCGATAATATAGTTACGGAAGAAATCAGCGAAAACAAGAAAAGATATAATCAGCTTCCACTAATTTAACGTCCTGCTAAATGTTAATTCGTTCCTGAGAATTAGTCTGAATTATATTTTATATTCAAATTCCTCTCAGGGCTAGTGTAACAATTGGAAAACCAATTCTGAATTGACTAATGTTTATGCCATTACAATATTAAAGCATTTACAAATATAGAAATCAAAAATATATTGGAATCAAATATCACCATCCAGAATAATGCCAGTATTAGTATCTCGAGTGTCATTTCCATCAATTATGACATCTTGGCTCTTGAGCATCATCATCAATAAGAATATCATCATTATTGACATTTCTGCCATGGCGGTCTACTTCAAATGACTCACTTATGACCATAACATCGTCATCACCCAAAGTAGATGGACCCTCCAAATCGATAATTGCATCACTATTCAATGATGCATTCACTCCCACCACTTCACCTGGACCTTCTGTGAATGAGATATTCGGATGCACTGACAACATATCTGTAAGGAAAATTAAATAATGAAGAACACGATCTTAAACCTTAAAATAAAATTTGTCTTTTAATCTTGTCAAGCGTACAGCAAAAAATTATTGAAGATTAGGAGTTTTATGGGCGAATATTACTTGGGATAACTACTCAAAGAAAAATCATTGAATTCCTAATTATGAAGTAATTTGCCTTCACAATTTTTGCAAACCTACAACGTAATCGAAGAATTCGAAACCTATCTTGAAAAACCACTAAATGATACCTCTCACAGAGTTGACAACATCTCTAGTTCGATCAATACCTAGTAACATTCTACTCACGTATCCATGGCGAAAAATATCGAAACCAGAATGTAATGACCCATGACGGGCTTGCAAACCCATTAATCGCTGACTTCTGCGACGTCGATGTAAACGTTCAAATCGACGTCGATTATGAGAAACGACTGTGGAATTTTCTCTGCTAGTAATACTTGAAAGACCCTAAAAATTGCAATAAACGAGCTTAACCTACATAATTCAAATTTAGTTTTTTTTTTTTTTTTTTTTTTTTTCACTACTGCCTGTTAATCATAAGCGAATATGTTCTTTCTGAATGTACCTTCTTGAAATATATCTTTAGCTTATAAATTATCATTTATTAAAGAGTGAAAGACTTGAAAAATTAGAAAAAATACCTGTTCGTCATCATCACCATCACTTAAAATAATTTCCCCATTGCGATCGTTATTTTGTCGCATTCTTCGCTGATTTGAATTTTCTCGCTGAAAAAAGTGAATTGATTAGTCTTAAAAAGCTATGCTGACAAACATACATATATTACGAAAGCAAAAATGGCGCATAAAATAAACACATTAACTTACTCTATTTCGCATTCGATGACGATATTCCATGCAAGCTTGAATAATTGCCTAAGATATAAATCGATTAATATAATTCATATCCAAAAAATCGATACCAATAAATGCAATCACTGCTTTTCTTCCTTACATATCTTGCTAACTTTTATAACTTACTTACGAAAACAAATGAAATCCTAACAAATTCAATTATATTGTTAATAAAATCATTCCATCAATCCTAAATCAAAATTGACAAAATTCACTTCGATTGTGTCGCCCAGAGTCGTTTCGTCATTTGGAGGAAGTGTCTCATCAGTTGTTTCAAGGATAAGAAGCAAGCGTTGCAAACTAATTAACTGTAAAGTACAAAGTTAAATATGATAAGTGGACAGTCTCGGGAAGAAAGACAATTCTTGAAGACTTTCCAATCATGAATTATGAAATTTGAAAAAACCCAATAATAAATATGACTTAGCACTCAACTTCCTTCTGCTTTCGAAGTGTTTTAAGGTAAAAGCGATATTTATGCATATATTAACTGGAAAATTATGCGGAAACCGAAAAATTAAAACCAATAAATACCGCGTCAGTGTAAGCAGATACAAAATGCAAATGCGATGGCGACATTCTTTCAACACGATGTGTCAGTATCTGTCCAGAAGTCCTAGAAAGAGACAACTTTAAAATTATTTTGAAGAAATTTTAATGAATAAAGAAATATATACAAACACTGTCATTTTTTTTCCGTTAATAACTTTAAAATATTATTGGGTCACAATGCAGTAAAAAAATATGGACTCCATAGCAACTTACTGATTTCTGTTAGGTGGGTATAGATTGTCTAGCTCTACCTGAAATAACACTTGCTATATTATTACAAAAAAATGTCTTTCTATATCGCATATGTTACATGACATATAACGACATATAACACTCTTATATTCGTACCATTGCAACCCATTCTCCTAAGAAGCTGTTACTTGCTCAGACCATACTTTCATCCACTACAGAATTTTTTCAATTTTCTCAAATTTTTCGATTTTCTCAAAAATTTTTATTGTATATTGATATAGTGTTCAAGTTGATTTTAACAGTACTCAAAAATCAGAAATCTCGAAAAGAATTAACCTGAATATCGTCATCGATATTATCTCCAGCGAGCATCAAATTCATATTTGTCAATCGTCGCCTATATTCTACTCTGCTAAAAAATATTTAAAACTGCTAACGTTATGTAAGAAAAAGTAAGTTTTTAGCTATATGAAACAAGCATTCAAAAACAGAGACAACTTCCACTAAAGATCCATTTTGTTTCTATAAAAAGAAAAACATGAATATTGCAGATAAAACTATACTTCATGCAAATTAGCGCTACACTTGGTATCATGAAATGACATACCTGATATATTCGCTATTTTGATCAAATAGAGATATCTCCTGACCACTGACAGCAAATTCATACAACAATTCCACAAAATGATCAACAAAATTGATTAAAGCAAAGCATTCCTTTCGAAGACAAGATGTGAATTGCGGTGACATGATCTGATGAGTCTTGGCTAAATTGTACACAAGTTCAACAACACGTTCCAAATTGTTCGCACCCTGAAAATTTGCCTATGACATAGATTTCGAGCAATTACTAGCAGTTATAATTTTAGGATGCATTAAAATGATAAATCACAAAAAATACTTTTCTCATCTATTAATGATATTAGATAACATACGTTAACCAACTTTTATCAAATGAAGTCATTCTATATTAACTTTCTAAGTTACTGCTTCTTTCACGCTTCTCTTCAAGAAGCCTCATTTACCATGTATGAGAACGGAATAGTCTACAACAACAAATCACTACCAATAATAGAAATATTTATATGCGATTAACAGAACTATTTATATGCGATAAATACTTACTGGCACAATAGCATTAAGCTCACGTTGGACAAACTCAGAAATTCGTGTTCGCTCATTTATTTCATTATCTCGAAAATACTGCGGTGAAACACTATTGCGACGAATCCCTGTATTAATAGTATTAACTACTGGAACGCGCTGTAGCCGAAGCTCATAAACCAAGATTCGAAATGTTGGATCGGATATTATTTCACGTCTGAATCATTCAACATTGAAATTTATACGTCAACAAAGAAAAACACATGAAAAGTAGAAATGTGTATTGCAAATCAGTACTATCAGGTCTAAAAGAACTCTATTCATCCAACATTACACTATACAAATTTCTTGATAAAAAGTTAAATCAATTAGTTCAAGCAATCTTTTCATTACTTATTTACAATTACCAGGAAGCCCACCAGTGACCACACTCTGCTTAAACGACCTATGTTATATCCCATAAATATCTAACCTTGGTCGTTCCCAATTATCCAAAAGCAACTGATAACGATTAATCCGATCCACATATTCATGTCGACGGCTATCACTTTCCAACATTTCTGATCTTTGCCTTCTGAGTAATATTAGGATATACTCTATCAATAAGATCCACTGATTAGGTCAAAGAAGAACAAATACTCAAGTTAATTAGATGATAAGATGATAATGAATACAACGGCTGTTGTTTAAAACTGCATACTGCTTACTCTGCATACGGACAGATTGGCGATAAAAAGTTCACGTCTAAGTTAAAATGCATAAGAAATTCAAGCTACATATGTTCAGCATGGAAAGTATGAAGATCACACAAAAATACTTATGAAATACCTAGCATATTATCTTGAAAAGTAAATTAGAGAATTTCTCCAAAAAAAAAAAAAAAAAAAAAAAAAAACTTACTCATTGAATACATGATCGTGCAAACGAACAAGTCTCTGAAGATGACGTATACGACGTACTAATTCGGCACGTTCTCTTATAAGTGGGCGTACAGAATCGGCTTCAATTCTTTCTCTTATCGCTTGCCGCTGAATTGTCTCCACTGATATTCTATAAAAAACGGAAAATCAACCAATCTAAAGATTAAAATTTGAAATAAAAAAGAACGCCAAGCGTGAACGAAGAATGTCGTGCATTTTTCTCAGTTTCATCAGCATTATACAAAAACCTTTTCCTCCTTAATCATGCATTGTTATCTCAAAAATATGATTATCATCAAATACCAAACCGTAGATGAGTAACCTCAATATCTTCTTTAATCGACCGTAGTAAATTGCTTATATGTATTATAAAACATTAGAAGTTGAGTGTATAGATGGATAATTAAAATAAAATATTCGTTTAATTCAAGGTTCTAATAAGCTAAGACCGGTAGCAGCATCTAAGCATGCAATATAAAGAAATTCAACCATAAGGAGAAACATACTCTTCTGTAGTCTCAGCATCGCTGTCAACTTTCACTTGATGGGTAACTTTTGCTACTGGACGTTTACACATCGGACAGATCGGTCGTAACTTGATCCATTCAGTTATGCACCTGCAAAGAAATAAATCTTTTGAATCTTTAAGCCAAGAAAAACAATTGCTAGCAATAATCAAAGGCTCTTCTTTTCTTACCGAAATAGTAACAGAAAAAGAAAATCTGTTCAGTGCAATCCAAAAAACTGTAGTTAGAAATGCTGAGCATGCTAACATGAACTAAAACATACGACATTTAGTAAAAGCAACTGTTCAAGGAAGATAAATCATACAATATAGATAAACCAAATATTAATGATACAAACGCTTCAAAAATGACTTACGGATAGCAATACTTATGTGAACAACCATCCAAACTTGCTTCATCAAATATCGGAATCCCCAAACAAATCGAGCATTTATCACCACTAGAACTCGTTCCTTCTAAAACAAAGTTTGCTTGGTCACGACAATTTCATGGAAACAAACAAGCTCTATATTTTTCCGAACGATAAATTAGAAAGGATTCGCAAATGTTCTGAAGTTTTGCAATCTTATCGATGAAATTAAACTAGCACAATTATAACCCAATTAAATCACTAAATAAATTAACAAACTTTGCTGTGAAACAGATGGATCGCTGTTTCGTGAACGATACTTTTCCATGATATCCAAGACTTGTAGAATATATCTTTCGATAACTGGGAACTACAGAGGAAAGAATGAATGACACGACACGGCATTGTATTAAACGTATATTCGATATATTCAAAAAAATTTATCGGACTTACCTAAAACTGACTGAGAAAGTATAATCCCAAACCTCAAATTTAATCTTAGGCTCACCCTAAATGATAAAAAGCAAGACTAGAGAGAAAAGGGCCTACAATTCAACAAGTTTAGATTAATTTAAGCAATAACCTACATGAACGCAGAAGTTAATGTCTTAAAAAGCAAAAGCTTACAGTGGCAAACATGAGCTGAATCTTAACCTAACAATGCGTACTAATTATCAGAATCCATCGTTTATATACATGCAAATTCAACTTTCTCAAATTATGCAAGCAAAACCATCGTATGTTGTTAGGCAAATTAAGACAATTTATTTCTTTGCATCCCAATATTCACAAAGAATTTACACCTTACAATGCTCATTTCCGTGACTATAAAAGGCTAAAAGGGACAACGCCATACTGCTTACTGACCATCTGAAGTTAACAAGTGACGTGTACAGCGAGCCATGCCATTATAAAATGATAATGTAACGTCACACCATGAAATGAAAAAACTGAATTTTGTCAGAATACTTCACCACTGTCGAAATATTTGAATAACCTTTCGGCCACTTTGCAACATGACTTCTTTGAAGTAATCTAGCCTAGTTATTACGTTTCATGCCAGTAATTATCCTCGATAGATCACGCACGTATCGACGTAACTCAGTGTTATATTCAATCATTGGGATGCATTTAGGTACACAACATGTCGGGCCGCAGGAAGACGTGACACTAAATTTCCGGTTTGATGCTTTTGTCTGCTAAGTGTACTAGTAGGATGGAAGAATGTGGTATTATTGGTATTTAAGTGGGGAATGTCAGATGAATTTAATTTGAGGCATTAAATTAAATTAGATATGAAATAGTAGCATAGTAACTCAGAGACCACAAATTTTCCGATCTTGCATCGGTAAATTGTGGGCTGATGTAACCATGGAAATGAAGAGCAACAGGAATGCACTGTTGTAGAAGGAGATGTGAGGAGTTGAATGACAGTTCATAGGTGAAGGGTCATTCTCGAGAGATGGTGATATGTGGATTGAAATGAATTAATATTGAGAGGAAAATGACACAGATAAACTTCTTTTTCCCATTATTACATAACAAAGCAAAAAGAAAAAGAATCAGCTGTAGTAGTAATCAACAATGATCATTACTAATAAAAGTACATTCATTTACTAATTATAGAAGGTCATTTATTGATAACATCGCATTCATTATTTAGAGTTGAATGTGTGAGGTGTAAGGGTTATTAGAAAATTTAAGAAATGATTTTTAACGAAATAATTTTGTACTGGTTGAGCTAAACATCTCAAGCAAATTAAGGTAATGAATAGTTTATCAGGCAAGTGGAAAGTAATGTTTGGGCGGAATATTTTCATCAGAATATTAGCATCACAAATTATTCTTTATTACTGAAGTTTTTTTTACAAGGCAAAGAATTTGAAGTTGCTGGAATTTGTTTATATTACAAAGATCCTGTGAATAATCCTTTATTTGTCTGTTCAGTAAAACAGTGAAGTGTAGAAATCGTTTCATTTGAAACTTTGCTGCATGATATCCACTGAATGGGCGAAGTTTTATTAGAAATTGACTTGATTAACAGGAGTTAATCGCAGATAACTTTTTTTTCCAGTTTTCATTACGACGCTTTGATAAAGTAGTGCATTTTTGGCTTTCATAAATAGCACAAGGTTATTTACCTTGTTCTCGACCTTCTGTGATTTTTCTATGTTATTCATCGGTTTCGATAAACAAATGCATTCAAGTATTATATATATATATATATAGTATGCTCTCTCAGACCTAAATTCGACGTGAAATGAATGTGAAATTGCTACTCGTTTGTTAGTGAGTGTGCAACATCATGTTGTACATATTGCAGATGTGATGCATGCATGTTATCACAAATGTTGCCTTCGGAAAGAATTAAAACGTTCAAGAAAGTTCTGAGTGCAGGACGAGGAAAAGTTCCAGAATTCAAAACTGGCACCAAAGTAATATTTCATTATGAAACACTGAAACCATTGGTAAATGTGAATAAGGAAGGATTCCCAGATTCAAGGTGAGAAACTTTTGTATTTCTTTAATCTAACCATATGACAACACAGAGGTGGAGTATTGTAGAGATAACTATAAATCGATCGATAGCACACGAAAGCCGTATCCAGATGGTTATGGGAAGCCTTTGGAGTTAGTATTTGGGAAGAAGTTTCAGTTACCAATATTTGAACGATGCTTAGAAACAATGCTGATTGATGAAGTAATTTTCCTTTTTTTCTTTTTGGTTTATGAGCAGCTAAAATCAACTGATCGCTCATAAGCGAGCAATGAATTTTAACAGTATGTCTGTTCATAATTTGGGAAGAAATCATAGCTGTAGCAAGATAAAAGTCATCTGTTTAGATTTGAGATTTCAGGTTACGTAGCAGACCACTGGTAAATAAGTAATCTTTTTAGAAAGTGATATAAGGTAGATATCAGAGTGAAATGTCATTCAAGGAATTTGGAAACGAATTGCATTGTTTGTATTTTTGGTTGTTATGAATGTTTATTTCATTCCGATACATTCAGATCTTAAAAAATAAACGGTTTCAGATCAGTCAGTTCGATATAGCTGCTTGTGAGCTTTATCCATATCCATCAGTTTCCCAGAAACTTCGAGATATATCTAAAGATGCCATGAATCCAGGCAGCAGAAACCATCACCACGCACACTGTGCTGCGGCAAAGGATTTCATGTCTGTATTTTATTAATCGACAGTTGTCAGTTTTAAAAATTTCCTGTCATGCTATGTTATATTTTAAATTCTGCTATTAGTATCTCCTTAAATACTCGAATTATTCAGAATGGAATATGAAGATTTGAATGATCTGATCAAAAACCCTCAGCCACTGCGGTTTATCTTTCATTTGTTGGTTGTTTTACAACCAGAAGATTATGAACCAGATAGCTGGCAGTTAGAACCCGATGAGAAATTAGCAAGTGTCGCGAAATTGAAAGAATCTGGAAATGAATATTTGCAAAAAGCAAGTTTTGAAAATTTTGCTTAGGACTTCAGTGGTTTTAAAAGTGGTACGGCTGCATTCTTCTTTAGAAGGGAAACAAGCTACCAATTTTTAGATTGGTTAGTTTGGAGTGGCAATATTTATTAAGAATATAACTGCATCGTGGTGAAGTTACGCACATTTTTTGCTATAATGTGTTAGAAAAGTTTTCTTTTAGGGTGATTTTATGAATGCTTCACAGAAATATAGAGAAGCCCTAAGTCGCATCGATACTCTTTTGTTGCGTGAAAAGCCAGGTGATCCTGAATGGGTTGACCTTGATAGGCAGGTGATTTTTCCATACAGTCTTTCAGATTTTCTACTTTTTATTTAAAATTTCCTTATTTCCTTCTGTATACTGTCTTCGATTTCGCATATATATGTTTTTTCTGCTTTTGTGATTCTATAAGTAGCATGGAAATTATTTTCAAAGCTAGAAACTAATATACTTAGCAACCTTCTTTCGTGAACTTATGGAATTTAACTAGTTCTAAACATGTATTTTGGGTTTTTCATCAACAGCATTTTTTGATGATAAGAGATGCATAAGTTGAGGAAACATTATTTTAGGATTGTTAAGACTTTTTTGTATATGCTACAGCATGCGTTCTTGCAGATAAGAGATGTTTAAAGGTATATGAACGATTAATAAGTAGAGAGGCCATGAAAAAGTAAAAGCTTTTGAGATTGATTTGGCAAAAAATTATTTGAGGTACACGAAAGCATAATTAGTTTTTTCATTATTGTTGTCGAACATGTTGAAACTTTTATGTATTTCATGTTTTCATAATTTTTTAATTTGCAGAATATACCTCTGTTTTTGAATCTTTGTCTTTGTTACTTGAATTGGAAACAGTATTACGAAGCTATTGATGCTGCAACCGAAGTATTGAAAAGGGACAAGTTGAATGAAAAAGCACTATATAGGCGTGCGAAAGGACGAATCGCTGTTTGGGATCTAGAAAAGGTCTTTATAATGGAATACGCAGTAAATATATTGCACAATCTCTCGTTCATGTTGTTTCACCTATTAATCAGTGCAGTCTGTTTTTCTATTTTGGATTGTCAATTTTAGGCTGAAGATGATTTGAAAATGCTTCAGCAGCAGTATCCGAGTAATGCAAATTTGGTGAAAATTGAGCTCGAACGAATACAATCACTTATAAAAGAACGTGAAGAAAGTGCGAAGAATACTTACAAGCATATGTTTAGAAATGTTTATTAATGTTTTTCCTGAATCTTGTTGAAAACTTTCATGTGGTTATTGTTGCGGATATATGTTTCTCTTCATCTGACATACTTTTGTAGAATAATAATGAGAGGAGATTCAATAATAATAATAATAGGAGAGAATTCTTTATGTAATTTGTTTTTTTCTTCGAAAGCTTGTTTGTTGTGATAGTTTGGATGTTTTTAATCATTTTGACTTTGTAGCATGTTTTTGAATAGGATAATGTGGTAGCGATTGTTTAGTTTTTTGTCTGTGATATAATAAACACTCAAGCTCCGACTTTGCATATTACTATATGCAATTGTACAGAAGTTCTAATAAATTGTCGTACTGTAGTTATGCTGCATCGAAAAGAATTAATTGCAATATTACTGGCTAACAAATTCTCGAATTTGCCGATGCAGAAATTACAATCTCATATGATTAATTTATGCTACAAATGTGTCTTTAAGAGCGTATTATGTTTACATATTTTATCATTTACATATTACATTTGTGTTTATATATTTTATCTGGTAATATTGTTTTACCTACTTTCAGATGTAAGCATATAAAAGTCATGTGTTAAGTACGTGCAGCGTATATTTTACAACAGGAAATTTGGACAGTAATTCGGTTTCATTTGTGTGGTCAGTATTAAATGAGGATTTTTTAAATAAAAATGTGATTGTTGACGGTTATTCAGTTATGTTTAGAAGTATGAGATCATGAAGTATTTCTTGAAGTGAAGAAAAACTCATTCGACAAAGTGAGAGGTACATGAAGTTAGCGATGACCTGATTCATTTGATATAAACGAAGCCGATTTCAATAAATATGGTAGTAAAATTGAAAATTGATCATGGTATCATCGAAAATTATATTTCATGAAATATTCGATACATTGTCATCGTTAAAGTCTCTTCGTGTTTATATTCATTTTTGTTGCTTATTTGAACGATGATGATGCACTGAAAGGAGCAATAAATATAACATTTAGATTTACAAAGTTCAAAAGGTTTCGTGGCAGTCATTAAGAAGGTTTAATTTTGGTCAGTCAGTTGCTTAATCTTATGTGTGATGATGTCTTGATGATAACTTTACTAGTGAAAACTGAGTGTTTCGAGATTAAACAAATATTCAGTTTGAATAAGAAATTTAAGCATATGTAATCTGTACATGAAAAATGAAAAAAATAATCATCGGATTCTGTAATGGCTAAGAATAAAGTCAAAATGTAAATATGCATAGAAAGGAATAGAACTTCATTTGTGTCATACTATGAATAATTGGAATTTATTTTGATATCAACTTTGAAATCAACATTTTAAAGTATGATGGAATTAAATTACCTTCACTATTTCTAAACTTCCATTGTGTATTGTTCCACAAGAATTCACTAATGGATGCTGTCAGTATTAATTAATTATCAACTATCAGCATTTCGACACTTTTAACATTGAATGCTTTCACTGCACTACTTGAAAGTAATCATTTTAGTTTGAACTATTAGTATCAATAACTACTAAATCTTATTATTGCTTGGTTCATGTTTGCTTTGATTATTCGCTAGCTTAGTGATAATTTAATCACTTTGATGCGAGAGGATGCGCAGCGCATGTTGTATCACATAAATGATATCACTATTCCTTGATATCATAAAAATAGTTGTGCTCTCTATTCATAACTTTAATTTTCTTCAGTGATAACTGTTGTTAATTCCATATATTTAGCAATTAGTACTTTTAATTTTAACATTTTCTACTTTTCACTTATATTATGATGCATTTATTATGCTTAAATAGGTTGTAATTTTTCATTGTTACTTTTTTTTTCGTTGATTAGTGAAATTTTGATAGTCTCTCTTTCACTGCAGAATTTCTCATGAACTCGACCTTTCGACCTTCAAACTGACATTTCACTTTATTGGATAATCTGTTGTGATCACTTTTGCAATGCGCTGTTTATTTTTGTTATTTACAAAGCTTTTGGCTACTTTTCCTTCAATAAAAGCTTTCGATCCAACTCTCCCTGCCATATAAATATGTAAATATCTATCTATAACTATCCTAACGGTGTGTCTTCTCTCTCTCCGTTCCATACAATTAATTCAACATCATTTTCTACTTCAGAACTGCTCCTTCTCCATAACTTCTTAAATTAAAATTAAATATAATTTTCGGGAAGAGAAATTGCTTTAAACGAGTACAATGAAAAAACATTCTTCAGTCTTACTCTCCTCTACTATTTCATTCTCATTTTTCTTCTCCCTTATATCATCCTATCAATAGCTTTATCACTATTTTTTTTCACTGATATTAGATCTCAAAAATAAACAAATATGCCGTGTCTTGTAAATAGTAAAATATTTATTAGTCTCGGCTAACTTCTTCTGTAATTTACAAGCTAATTTTAATTTGTGGAGGAAAATTTGATTTGAGGAAGAGAATACATTTTTGCATTCACTACCATCTGTAATGTTTATGATCTAATGATAAAGTTTATTACTTGCTCGATAGAGTATTTCGATATTTAAATATTTTCATATATTACGTGTTTAGAAAATAAAACTTTCAAAGTTTAAATTTTACATTCAGTGTGATTCATAAACTATGCTATCTCAAAGATTCTGGAATTTAACTTTCTACTGGACGGTTTGAAAAGATATTTGACAATAACAATAATTATGATGGTTAAGACGTGATTAGAAATATCACAAAAATTGTAAGATCAGACATCGATGTAAAAAGTGCAAGGGAAGTCTGTTAAGAAAAATTACGCTGCATATTTCAGTCTTAATTAACAGCTGTCAATGCTTGATGAAGCATTTTCACTTAATTTTCTGCTAATTTCATATTCGTTCTTCAATATGCTACAAGAATGAATATTTTTTTTTGCTTTAGCCCATACTAATTTTTATGAAGTTCCTATTAAGAAGTTTATCAAAAAATTGAATGAGTAAAGGATTAGAAAGATCATAGAAGATAACTAGTTATCATATCACTTGATAAAACTATGATTCTGTTGTTTGAATGTGATATTATTTGTATCGTTAAGGAGTGATCTAAATAAAATGGATGACAGAATCTGATTGCTACATTTTATTGGATTCAACCATTGTATGGAAAAATCGAGAAAGAATAAAAGGGTAGATGATTGAATCTTTTAATTTGCGACATAACATTTGATTGACTTAAGTTAAATATGATGGAAAAACAATTTCTCACTGTCCACCCATTTCTATTCCTTCATGTGATCTCGAGACTTTTTAATTCGAAGTATCAAAACGTTCCTTTTCAATATTACTATTGTTCGATATATGGTAAAATTTTCATTCACTGAAGTGAGCAATGAGAAATGAACATGATAATTCTAATGCTAACACTGATATTAACGAAAATTAAGTAAAAGTAATATTAATGAAACCATAAGTGCCAAGTGACAAGTGACAAGCATTCTATAGATTATTTCACATGAATCCAATATTTTGGATGCAAATTATCTGATAAGTGTTATTCACAGGAAATAAAACATTTTGGTCTTTTTCCTATTCTGAATAAGTAATTTACTTTGATTCATATATCCAATTTACTTTTTTCCAATCATAACAATATTCTTCGCCTTATTGTTTATGATTTTACTCGTAATTTCGTGTTATTATTTCTGTCTATTGCTCCTTGGTTCATTCATGAGTAGTAAATGAAAAACAAGATATGATTACGTTTCAATGGGCTGTTATGATGTATATTTGCCATTATTCATAAATAAAACATGAATTTCTTGTTTTTCGTCTCTCTTAAACTTCTTCTTAGAAAGAGATGGTAAACTTTCTACTCTAATAAAAATTTACACTTTCTCGAATCATACCAACAATGTTTGCTGAAAATTAGGTCTTTTTTGTGACCATTTACGATAATATATCTATTTTAATCCGATTAGCATTATTGTGATTTTCGGGATTTCACGATTTAATCAGTTACATTTGACTATATAATATTTTGTTAACATTGATCATCATTGATCAGATCAAATTCAGTTACTTCAAATTGCTTATTTCACTTAAAATTTTCATTATATCATCCCCCATATACTATCTTTTGTAGAAAAAGTAATCAATATTATCTACGTTAGCTCATTACTACCCTCTACTGCTTTGAAAAACTTTTTTCTGAAAAAAAAAAAAAAAAAATTGTGAAAACAAAGGGACAAACTTTCATACGCAGAGACTGAAAAGATAATTTGCGAATAGAGAAATCTTATAAAAAATTGTTGAAATGCGCCACTGTCGTATTCTTTCCATAATAACAATCACAAGTATAAGGGACGAGGATTGATTGTTTGGCACAATTTTAAATTGTAGGCTTTTTTTAATAGTCCCGTGGGCCTAATGTATTGCTCATGCCTAGTAAACTATATATTTCCATCAAGCGCAATCGTATGGACCAATGGACCAATTTCACTTCTATCTTATTTCACCTACATATGCACATATACATGTACATATATTCCTTGCACATTATTTGATTACTTTTAAATTTATATGATAATTGTATGGAAAGTATTTTTTTTCTCTCTTTCGTTGTTATTTATCGCAAAGCAATAATAAACAACAATAAGTGACAGTAGTAACTCAAAGAATTATTTAATTAATCATTATCTGCTTGTTTGCTTGTTTGTTTTTTTGTTCAAAGGAGAAAGAAATGAGAAAAAAAAAGTTCCATTTCTTAATTCAGTTATAATACTTGTCTTCTTTAATGATAGAAAAAATATTGGATGAAATATTTGAAAATAGCAAAGTTCCACTCATTAACTTAAAAAATGCAAATAGAATTACTTTGAATAGAATTTTGTTGTAATAAAAGTTGAACAATGATTCAAAACTTTTTTTTTTCTTTTGACTAAAATTCATTCGTTTTTTTATTTTCTACTGCAACCTTGTTTATCAGAAATTGAAGGTGAAAAAAGATTTCATTCGGTTTTCTTAACATTAAATTTATTGGTTCCAAATATATTCTGATTCTAACACCAAATTTATTGTGACAGTCTTCATGTTGTAATATTTAAATATTATTACTTTTTATCTTGATTTTTTCAATTAATAATCTTTCCAAAATTATCAATTTTTACAGCACCACAAACGGTGTGATAAAACATTAATATTAGTTTTCAAATTCTCGTCACTTTCAGTTCCCTAAGATAGTTTTCCCTGAAAACCAACACTTTTTTTTATTGGAATTTCCATGCTGACTTCAAAATCTAAAAAGTTCTTTCGTTTTATTTGTAATCACATTTCTATCAAACTGCGACTACAAATAAAGTTCCATCTTAGTTTTTGTTAACTAACTTTAACAATACGACAACAAATTTGCTGATATTCTTAAACTTTAAATGAATCTCTGTATGGCAACAATAAGAAATTGAATTATGTTTCAATTGTTCGTTTAGTTTTACTTATAGAACTGGTAACGACAAATGATTCATTTCACTTTCTGAAATTTTTGACGAGTATCCTTTTTCGCCCCGGGATTTCAGTATCTGAAAATTTTTGCCTCCTCCTCCTTCTACCATATTCTGTCTCATTTTCTTAATCCTATAATGGACACAAATGATTATCAATGGTGAATTTAATAATCTGAAGTTTAAATTAGTTTTCAATGTCTGTTTATCAAAAAAAAAAAATGCTGCTTGAAATGCATCTGTTGATAGTGATAGTTTATTAGAAAGAAGCTTTAAAAGAAGAATGATCTAAAAGAAAGGAAACATTAGCTTAGGATTGTTAATAGATTAATGATTTGTTAATTTTAATCTTTACAGTATTCTATTATTTTTTAGTCCAGAATTAATCTCTTTCTCTCTCTCCCTCCCTCTCTCTCTCTCTCCTTTTCTAGCTTTGCACTGCAGTGCTAATAAAGGAAACAAACAAATGCAAATTGTTGTTTAGCCATTCCATTTAATTTATTCCGCGTTTTGAACTGTCTCGACGAGTAAAGTCGGAGGTATGATACGATTAGGCTCTCTGAGGGTTCTTTAGTCTCAATTAGCTACTTATGGCCATGGCATCATATTTCTCAGAGTATTTATTATTTAGTATTTCTGGCTCAATCAAGATGAAACTATGACAATATTTGATTTCTTGAGACACTTAAGATTTCCTTGTCACTTTAGTTAGTATTGTTGTTAAAATAAACATTGTTCCTAATAAAATTTTTGAATTTTTTGCCTTGGTACCATTTTCTTTTTACTCTCTTTTCACTTTAGAAATTCTTTAATTTTAAATTCTTAGCAAAGTGATATGCAGACTATCTAAATTAGTTATCTTATGATAAATATTTATGGTTAACATTAATAATTAGTCATTATAATTTTTTTCTAATTAATTTGTCAACCTTTTTTAATTGAATTTCTATCTCTTTGAAGTTTGATAAATATAAACTTAACTCAATTGAATATGAAAATAAATAGTGAAAATTAGAGATACTAAGAATTTTGAGCTTTTTTTTCTACTGAAATAATAGGATGAATTATCATGAATTATTGCTCTAAAGAAGTATTTATTTTCTGAAAGAAAAGCTCAATCATATTGTGATATGCTTAATGCCCTCAATGTCATCCATTTATCCTTTCTATATTGTCAGATAGAATAATTGCTATCCAATCCATGAAAATATTGAAAATTTTTCCGAATATCTGATAAAATCCTTTGAATTATTCTTACCACCGAAAGATTAAACATTTTCCGCCGATTCATTTTTATACTTTTCCCAATGCTATAAAACACTTCAACAATTTTGGCTAGTTTTTTTAAGTGATTGTAATTTTGATAATTCAAACAAACATTTAGCTTTCCAGTTAAAATTGAAAGTTTTATTTGAATCAAAACCAAAGTGTTAATTTATTTTACTTTTGGAATTTTATCTTTTAAAAATGATTACTTCTAAACATTTGTCTGATAGTACCTAGCACACTTATCAATAAGCTGTTGTAATTTAACTGATTTTATTTGCTTCTTTGCATCCCTTCAATGCAGCTAACAAACTTTCTTCATTTTCTTCCATTAACCATTCAAATTTACTTGCAAATAATTCCATCTTCTCTTATATATGAAATTGTTTCTTTCTTTTTAAACAGTTAAAGTACTTTTTATCATTACTTTTAAAAAATGACTCACTTAACAAATTTCATTGATAATGGAAATTTGTTCAGTCTTTATTTCTCTTAATATAATCATTATACTCTCTAACAAATACTGATGGAAAGTACACATTAAAGATTTCCATTTAGTTTTTACTAATTATAAAAAAATTCTCTGTACAATTTCTTAAAGGTAAAATGATGCAACAATTTAAAATTTACTTGTAATTTAGTTACTAACAGAACGATCAATCTCCAAACATCAATGTTCGAATGATTTAAATTTACAACAATACAACATATTTCTTTTTTTTTTTGAAAAGAAGAAAGAGGTAAAGAGAGAGAGAGAGAGAGAGAGGGAGAAAGGGAGAGAAAGAGAGTCTGATATTGCCAGGAGCAGTGTAAACAGATTTTTGATTGATGAATTGTTTTCCATATCTTACATGTTTTTACTCAGAATCTTTTAAAAATGATAATTGATTTATTTCTAAAATTTGCTTTATAACTTTTATTTTATTATTTGTATAAAATAATAAATGCATGCTAATGCGATTAATATTCATTTCTAATGTGCGATGTTTTTATAATCATAAAAAAAAGAAAAAAAAATGCCATAAATATAATTTAGCAAATTTCAATAAAAAGAAATATGGTAGACTGAGAAAAAGTGACGCATACAATGGTAAAGTTACTGACTCTTTTCAGCTTTGCAATATTATTTCAAGTAAGTGAATATCATCATAAATTAAATTGAAATACTTTTAAAATTTTTATCACATTTTCACGATCTAAAGTTTTAACTTAAAGTTAAATGTTTGGCTTATGAAGAAAAAAACGCTTAGAATAAATCAACTTCTTTTGAATCATTGCATGAACTACCTTAAATTTTGATAAACAACACAAAATTAACTTATACGATTACCACATTACCACTTTTATTCTCCGAGTTAATATATCATTATATTCAAGTAAAGTAAATAAATAATTTAAAATTATTTTTTATATTTAAGTTATTTTTGAAGAGCTAATTAGGATTACTATTAATTTCTATCATTCCAAAATTTCAGGAAATTAGCACAAATTATGAGGAGCAGAAGAAAACAATAGTGGAACTGCAAACACGTAATGGTATGATGCGTGGTTATGAGTCTGTTATACTTGGTAAACGTGTTCGGTCATTTCTCAGTGTCCCATTCGCAGAACCACCTGTTGGAGATAATCGATTTCGACCACCAATAGCAAAACAACCGTGGAAGGAAATCATTAATGTTACTGTTCCATCACCTGCATGCTATCAGGTGACTCATTTGATCAATTTTGAAATGAGTAATTCAGATCAATACATTACCTAATTTACCCTTTCTTTCCCTTAACTTTCTTATTTGTCATTTTCTTGTAATTATATCATATATCATCCGTTTTTGACAAAAAAAATGACAGAAAAGGCTGATAATCGATTTTCTTTTTTTTTGATTCATCCATCTGCTAATCAAGTGTCGAATTTTAGCTTACTAACTTGCAGCTATATCTTCTTGTCTTTCATTATGTTTTGAGGTGATGTTAATTTTATATGATATCAAATATTTACTTCCCAATCTATGAGAATTTTTTGTTTCCAATTTATTTCTTTTATTTGAAATAAATATCTTTTTTCAATCTTATTAAATCTTACTTTTTAATCTTTTTTAATTATAAAATATTCAACCTTTAATATATTCATTCACTTCCAGAATAACAAATAGTTCAACAAAAGATTGCAGGGTCGGGATACATATAATGAAACATTCTGGGGTTCCGAAATGTGGAATGCTAATACGCCGGTTCAGGAAGACTGTCTCCGATTGAATATTTGGACGCCAGCAGATGCACAGTACGATAATTATACTTTTAATTATTGACAACCTGTTATTAGTTTATTTTTTGTGAATTAGTGAGATTCCTCGTCTTTTCACACTTACCATTTTACATTTTCGTTTTTTTTTTTTTTTTTTTTGGAAATTTGACATCTTTGTGTTTTCATATAAGTTTCGAAAGTACAAAAATTATTGGTTGATTATGTTGCAAATTTTTAAATGTTACTTTATGAGTAAAATTTAGAAAAATTTTCTTCTGACAAGTTGGTGCGAAGGTTCCATGTTCTTTTTCCAGCAATTTGACAACAATGGTGTGGTTATTTGGTGGTGGTTATTATTCGGGCAGTCCGTCCCTAATTTTGTATGATGGGAAAGCTATGGCAGTTACCAGTAATGTTGTTGTTGTTAATATTAATTATCGTCTTGGGCCATTTGGATACCTGTATCTTGATCATGATGATGCTCCGGGTAACATGGGAATGTTAGATCAGGTTCATTCATGTTTTCAACATTCCAAATTCTCTCATATCACTTTTTTATCTCTGATAATTTATTTAATGCATTTCAAATGAATTTATAAAATGTAATTTTTAATCGGAAATACAAATCATTCTGAGAATTTTTTTTTCTCTAGAAGTAAGAAGTTGAGAGCTTTGATAAGTATTTTCTTATGAAAAATATGCCAAATTTTTAGATCCATCAATGCAACATTTTCAGCAATTGGCATTTCGTTGGATTCATGATAATATCATTTCTTTTGGTGGAAATCCTTCTCGAGTGACTCTGTTTGGTGAGTCAGCTGGTGCAGCATCCATTGTTGCACATCTGATTGCTCCGGGAAGTCGCGGTCTCTTCAAACGAGGTATTCTACAATCTGGTAGTCTGGACAATAAATGGTCATTAGATTCACCTCAACGTGCTATGCAGAAAAGCCTTGCATTAGCTAGGCATCATGGCTGCCAAATGAAAAAGGTAAAGTATTTGATGTAAGCTGTGGTTGTTAAATTTCAAAATCTTATATAATTCATACTTCATAAAAAAATGATTCCACATCATATTCTGTTAATTGGTTGAGCAATTTATTAATTAATGAGTAATTGATGGAATCCTCAACTTTGAAGAGTTTATAAGTTTTATTTTCACTTCCAAAGTATGCTTGAAATGCAAAATATTTTTTTTTTTAAGTTATGAGATGTAAAAGCATAATAGTGCAACCGTTATTCACTTTTTTCTTTTTTACAATTTGACTGAATAGATTTAGTAAACATAAGCATAGAGGCGCAAATGTTACATTTTGATGAACAACGATATTATTCGAGATATGTACTTATGTTATAGCATATGTTTTCAAATGTTTTGAAATAAAATGTTTGCAAAAAAGAAAAAGTACGATAAAAACTTTTGCAGCTTACAACTAAATCAGAAATTTGAATTTGTTGTTTATAGCTAATGATAAAATTAAAGTTAAAATAGTTTTTGAAAAAAATTTGGATGCATAAATTTTTAAATTTAGCAGAATTGTATTTTGTTCATTTAGATAACGGATACCATTGAATGCCTAAAGTCAATACCAGCTGCAAAATTAATTGATGGTATGTGGAATGACTTGGAATTTCTAGAATTTCCATTCGCGATTGTTTCGAAAGATCGTAATTTCTTTAAAGAATATGATGCATACAAAGCACTACGAAATGGTAATCATAGCATGGATGTTGATTTAATGATTGGTATTAATCATGATGAAGGTATGGTTGCTTTATTGATTTAATGTGAAATTTGATCATTTTGTTTGTTTAGAAATTTTGGTCAATTTTCGATAGGATTAAATTTCTTATGCTGAGAATCGCAGTTTAGTATAAATATTTATGGAAGGATTTAAAAGAGACAATAAATATGAAATTTATCTAATGAGAAAAAATAACTGAATACAATGAAAAATCAATTTTCCAAGGTAATTATTGGAATATTTACTTTCTTCCACAATATTTTGACAAGCCAGAGCAGCCGCTATTAAATCAAGATGATTTTCTGGATTGTATTAATACTGCATTCAAAGTACAACCAAAGTTGGTTCGTCAAGCAGCTGCTTTCACTTACAGGGATCGACATTGCGAGAATACCGCTCAGAAAAATGAATTTTATGCTGAACAGGTTAAAGTTCAAGTGGATTTTATTTGATGCTTGAAAAGTATATTTTCGATTTTATGTTAATGATGTTATGTAATGCAAAGGAATGATAATTATTTTGTGGACATAGATATGTCGCATAGTTTTGTTACAAAATGAACCTTTCCTTATCTTTCTTGTCAAATCATTTCTTATAGCTCTTCTTTAAAAGCTGATTGATTGATTATATTATTTATAAACTCAAATTACAATGCTTAATACTAAACACTGAAGTTAAAAAAATCAATGCTATTTCCGAACATTTATGATTTTTGTAAATCTTTCATTTTCAGATCAATCAAATGGTTGGTGATTACTTTTTTACATGTGACAGCATTTGGTTTGCCGAACATATGAAAAAAGGAGATGGCAAAATTTACGTCTATTACTTTGATCAGCGTTCCACGTAAGTATCAATCATTAAATTCCTACTATTCTATTCAACCATTTGCACTACAAAATATTCATTAAATTGTCTCTTTGATATATGAGAAGTGATTGCTTAGAATAATATTTTTATTGTTGATAAACAATGCTAGTACTTAGCTAACTTGGCTTGCAGTGATTACTGAAATGATTTTCATTGGAAAAGATCACAAGGATGAATAAATATTAGGGAAGAAATTCTCATCCGTAAATGATAGTTGAAATTACAGCGCTAATCCATGGCCTGAATGGGCAGGTGTTATGCATGGCTATGAAATTGAATTTGTATTTGGTGTACCACTTTACAATAGAACTGCTCCTTATACCAATCAGGAACGTATTTTCAGTAAAAAAATATTGAAATACTGGACCAATTTTGCCAATTATGGGTTTGAATTTGCATATTTGATATATTTTACAAAAAAAAAAAAAGTTCCAGGTGATGCATTACACTTAAGGAAAAGTAACTTGAGACTAATTGTGTTGTCAAGAGCAACACATATATGATTGGCTAATATAATAATTACTCACAGCCTGTATTCTAGACGACCGGATTTGGAGGGTCAAAATCACGTTCGTTGGCCGGAATATCGTGAAACCGAAAAGTGGATGTACTTAAGATATGATACCCAAAATGGTTCCATTGAAAGGCGAAAACAAGAAGAGTGTGAATTATGGAGAAATGTGAAGGATTTAGAATTCGCTGACTATTGTAAGTGAATTATGTTACGGAGATTTTAAAGATTTTTTGTTTTATTTGAACAAATTTATTTAATTATCATTAATTTTTAGGATAAAAATTAGGATAAAATTATGTAAATTTCATTCGAGAAAAAAAAAAAAAACGATTAATTACTTATTTGATGAAAGGAGAAGTTACTGGTTCACATAAATTTCTTATTTCTAGATTTCAAATGTATTAGAATTAAAAAATATTTGCAGTGAAAGAAAATAATAGTCCCAAACGATGGATATTTTCATACGGATTTACATTAATTGTACTCTGCTTATTGCTCACAGTTCATTCTATCAGGTGGTAATTTCTAATTTGTAGTATTATACTATGATCTACCCCATTTATTAAATTCTTTTGTACATTCCATTATATTTCTTCAATTACAGTAGTGTCCTTTTTTTTTTTCTTTATTTGTCACATTTTGCACTGCCCTAAAATACAAACTGACTTAACTTTACGATTTTTTGATTTAAAAATTAAAATAAATTTATTGAGTTCACCAAGTCAGTTTTGCTTAGTTTCATGATCATTTCTTAGAAACTCTTTCATGAACGTAAGTGAAATTGATTTATGCATAGTAATGAAGAACGTAGGGCAGGAATGTGTGATAGTATCATATTAGTGATAGTATCATAGATTTCAAAGATCACAAAAGTTCAATTAGATGCAGTTCATTAAATCCTTATATGAAATCAGTCCAAAAATTCTCGTCCTTTGTTCCGAAATAATTAGACCTCATCATCACATATTGGAAGTTACTTAGTTTTAAATTCGATTGCTAAAAGCTATCACTGAATATTATCCTTTTATTATCTCTTCAGAATCAGTAAGAAATAAATTTGAATTTTAAAATACTTTAAAAATTGTTCCCTTTAGAAATTTTCAATTAATTCTTTAGTATTCAAGATTTACACCGAATTCAAAATTTTCTTCTCAAAATCTTTTACTCTTTTTTTTTTTCAAATCTTTATGCAAAATAGCATTTCATTTTTGATTTCCACAAGTTTTTCTATTGTTTACATATTTCTTCACTTATTCCCAATCGAATGAGAGTGAGGTTGAATAGGTGAGGAAATCTCGGATAAGTAAGAAAGCCTATGAGACTTTTTAATACAATTATTCTCTTTCAAACTTCCACAATTATTGTTTTCTTCCTTTTCTTCCATCGCTACTGTTTTTCTTTCTCTGTGATATGGAAAACTTGAAAGAAATTCGACTTTTTTTTTTGAACTTGTATTTATTTTGCTTTCTAGGCGTTAAAATTAACTATTTCTCAATTTTTCATCTTTTTTAAAATGACATCATTTCCTCATGTAAATGTATTTGTGACCACATATTGCCAAAATTTAATTTAATCATATCATTCTCATTTCTTTTAGTATTTATAATTTAGTGTATGAATGAGTATTTTGTATATGCCATTTTTATTACCTGCAAAAGATAAAATTTGCGTCTTTTTGAATGAAAAAAAAGTGTCGTAAACTAACATATGAAATTTGTACGAATTCAAAGTATTTGTAAAGTAAACGTAAGAAAATTATTGGTGTCCAAGTAAAACTTTTCATTTATGAAGCAAGAAAAATGATAGAATATAAGATGAACAAATGTCAAAAGAAGGAAAAATTACCAGTATATCGAAATTGCTGCTTCAAATTAATGATAAGTGCTTCAGAGTTCAAAATTCAAAGGTCACAATAATTTTCTTTAGAGTAGTAAAAGATAGATTGATCGATGAGGAGGAAAGATTTTATATACTAATTGCATCATTAACTGTGGCAGAAAATATTTCACATTCACCATCAATTTCCAAAGTTCTAATATCATCTGGTGAGCCACGATGCGCAAATGTCGTGAAGCGAATACCGTTGAAGAAAATCTGGAAACTGTATCTTTCATTGACAATCGTTATATCGGCACTGAAATGATGGAAAACATTTATTTATTTGTTGACTAAGTTTTTAAATTCCTCTTAAATCGCTTATAGAATTATCTGATGAAGTTAAAAATGTACAGCATCTGATAGGAAGTTAAATTAATGATATAAAAGGTAAATTTTTTACTACTTCATGAATTCATAGTTTCTCTGTTTTGGACGATTAATTTCAACAATCTGAGATGTGCTACATCAAATGACTAAGAAGTCGTTTGTGGCAGGTAAATCTCGAAATGATGATGATGATAAATGAAAAAGTTTAAGCATTTAAGAAGAAATAAAGTGCGACATTTCATCTTTGACAATCGGTATCACTCCCTCTCGCTCTTCTCGTCCCCAATCATTATTCTGCATCGCATTCCGTACCACGGTACCCTCGTTAAATCGTACAGATATTTGTAGTGCATGTTGTCGATTACTGTTGTATAAATTGATATTAAATCGTTTACCTAAATTCGGAATTTATTCTTTGTTCATTCTATTAACTTATGATATGTTAATTAGCATAGATGCTTACCAGTACTATCATTATATCGATTCATCCGAATAATTTTGATAAGTAAAATGTTTGGTCCTGCTAGTTTACGCTTTGTTATCAAATAGACATTGTTTTAAAACTAAAATTTCGAGTTTTCATTCTGTCATATTAAAGGTTATCTTCTGTTCATCTACATGAGACGCAACTTTTTAATACTTCCATTGTATAATTTAATTTAATTTGGTAAGTAATTGGAAAGACCAGTTAATAAAAGATTAAAAAATTCATTATGAAATGAATTACTGTTGTTCTTACCAGTTGGTAGTAACGAAATATCCAGTCGTTTTCCTGGGACAACTTCGGCGATCGCCATGTACGGTATCGGAAATATTCGTCCACCGTAATGAAATAATGAAAGATTGATCAAATCACCACTAATCGATACATGATCTACCTGAATAATATCTATTTTGCAAATATATTGAACAAAGGAGGAGACTGATTTTTCAATTTCTTTGCTTTAAACTTTAAAATAGTCTATAAATTCATGCTCTGATTGTATTTATAGTTCTATTTGACATAAGCGCCAACTAGACAGAAGAATTCCTTTATATGTTTATATGATTTTTGTAGATGAAACATTTGATTGGTTAGGAAATGTGAATCGGTGAAAGATAAATTTTTCAGAAATTAAGTTCACTTGTGATATTTAATTACTTGGAAGAAAATATCGAGAGAGAAAAAATTTACTTACTTACCCCATCTAGTGGTGCCCGCTGTTCGAATGTACCCGCGTCCATGCGATTCGCAAATATCTATATAACAATTGATAAAATAAACTACCACTTCTGTATGCTTTTAATAAACTTATTAGCTTCAGATAAAAAAAAAACCTTACGATATACACTGGAATGATATTATTTCATTGGATTATGCAATAATAATGACAAAGGTTTACCGCGGTGCCGAAAAATTCTTGGCCTTTCGTTCAGAGCTATGTTTGCTTCCAAAGCAAAACAGTCGCAAAGTTTTAACTTATTTTTTCGTAAAATGAGAGAAAAAAAAAAAAGCTGATATAATAAGAGAGTAGCAGTTATCTGTTGAGAACGGTACCATATTGGGACACACACAATTTATGAGTTGTAGAAAAATTCATTTAAATTTCTTGAAATGAATGTGAATTAGGTACCATACTTGATATTTATTATTGATAATGCGAATTCGAATATCCATTTCCGTATTTGGCTTAAAAAGATTTTTTAATCGTTGCTCTTTACTGCCCCAAACGTTGTTCATGTATGAATTGTAGACCATTTTTCCTGAAATCAAATTGTTAGGAAATAAAACTGCACAGTATGAAATGATGCAAAACAACTAAAATGTTATAATAAGAAAGTATAAAGTTACCTTCATCAAACCGGATACTGAGGTGCAACGGTAGATCAACATTTGCACCTGCGCCTTTATGGAAATTGATATCAATTCTGAAATGTATTTGTAAACTAATTTGCTTCACTTTATAAATTCATATTTGTTTTTTTCGGTTAAGAAGAACACCTGAAGAATATTTGCAACGAATGGGTCATTTCTCAAAGATTGCTAAATTTATGGTACAATGAAAGACAACTTGCAAAGACATATTTTAATTTTCTAATTCTCTTTTCAGATGAACGAAAAGATTCGTAATTTTTAGGAAGTAATCAGAATTATAGTTTAAAATACGTTTGATAAACTATCTTTAACTGAAATTTACTTTCTTCTGTCCTACTCATATACAAAATTCATTACTTTTGAAAATAAATGCAAAAATTTTTGGGAACTTTTTAGAAGATAAGCTAAAATTTGAATAATTATTCCATACCTTTTGGCATCGGATTTTATCATACCAACTCCATGAATGGTCTGTCCTTCTTGGAATGGTTGACTAATTCGAGTTTTAAATGGTATCATCTACAGTTGGTAATTATTTTATTAAAGGTAATATAACATTGTAAAATCTATCGATAACAAATCCAATCACAGCTTTACTTCATCATCACTTATTAATTACCTATGATTAAAGGTACATATTTATGCGAAGAAATTGCCTCCTATAAATAAACATATAAATAAACATGAGAGAAGCATTTTCTTCACTTTCCCCAAGCTTAATTTTCGCTAAATTTAAGCTTTATAGTTTAGAATGTATTAGTTTAGAATTTTTAATTCACTAGGAAAATAATATTGAATCTACTGATGGCATTATTTTCTCAAACACTGCATTTTACTTTATTTAATTTTTGAATTAGAAATGGAACTATTGGTTCAGCTAGATTCGAGCACAAATATATGCAACGAAGAGTATGTTCAGGCTGAATTCATACAATTCAAAATATCAAACTCACATAGTGTCTTTCACCAACGAATTTCTTATAGGTCGCTTCCTTCGGTTGCCTTCCATCATCTTCACTTAAGCTTATCTCAAGCAGCGTCAATCCAACAAATACTAACACTAAATACATATTTATATTTGCTGCCACAACAAAATTTAATATTCTGTGTTCATTGATGACAATAAAGTATAAACAAAAAATATTAAAGGATACCCACTTGTCACCTAAACACTTTGATTCAAAACATTAGATGGAACATCTTGCGAATAACACTTCTGTGATGATAACAGTAAGATTTCAATTAGAGGTGGTTGACAACTTTGTCATTCCATTTTTATTATTATTATTACATTTAAGTATAAATTAGTTCCGTCTACTCTTCACAGAGATATTTCAGTTAATAGATGTAATTCCAAAATTGTTTCATTTACTGGAGAATGCGAGAAAAGAGGAATGAACAGGAAGACAAAGTAAGCTTTAGTTATTTCATTTAAAAATTTTCATATTTGTTGTGAAATTCAACACATTGATCTTTTCCTCATATTTTAGTTATTAAAATTCTTAAGTTTGAAAAATGTGGAAATGATAAAAAGAAAAGCATAACTGAGTGATATAATCACTTCTCTTTTTTCTGATATCAAATATAAAAGTATTAAACAAGAAGAATTTAACTCGTATCAATTAGGCATTGTTGATCCAATTTCTGCGAATTAAAAAAAAAAAAAAAAAAAAAAAGAAAAGAACAACTAACCTTGAAATAAATTCTTCATTGTTAGTCTGAAAAAAAATTTTTTTAAATTTGCAGAAGAAACACAATTCAGTTTAAAAAATTAACAACTTTAATATCATTTAAATGATGTATGGAAAGTGGAAGACATTTTATGATTATAATTACAATTATGACCATTATGATCCTAATATTTTCTATTTGTAAAATATAATCTAAATTTAAAGAAATAAAAAATTCTCAAAAAACTCAATCTTATGGTATATTTATTTTATGATAAACTAGAAGAATTGATCCATCCAGGTGATTTGCTATTCGTTGAAACTAAATATATAACACTTTGTATGATTAATTAAATGCAACATATATTTCTCAAAGTAATATATAAATAAATGTATTAGCAAGAAAAGCAAAAGAAAATAATTAGATCAATGGAGAATGACTTGCTAAGTTGCAAAGGCATATTTTGTGAGTTTGTTACTTTGGTAAGCTTTAAAGCATATCGAATTTGAAGCAATTAATTAAGCATAAAAGCCATATGTTGTGTGTGTGGTTGCTGTGTACCAATTCTCATCTTTAAAACTGAAAAGATTAACCGATTTCCTTCCCGCAAACTTTGTTATTTATTGTTGTTTGCTCAAACTTTTCCAATTTTTCAAACTCAAGGGCAAATATCAGCTTAACTTCAAACTACTAAAATTATAACCTACTAATTAAGCAAGTGACAATGACCAGTTACAATGACATCCTTTTATAATTCAATTATCTAAATAGCTTATTCATTTAAACGTTACAAAAGTAAGATAAAGATTTTCGGACTTTTATAAATGAATTATGTATAAAATAATTGATCAAAAACATTTGAGAAAGTGCTATGTTTTCTAATAAATTTCAAATTTTATATTGGAGCTTTTTTATATTTTTTGAATATATTGAAACTTTTCGAATTCTTCAAACTCAAGGGCTTTTTATATTTCTTAAATATTTTGCAGTGCTTTTTGAAATTATTTTTTCACATTCAGTGGCGTTTTTTGCAGAAGAAATTTCAACCATTCGAAGGCAAACCGAATTTTTAATTTTTTGTTGCAAAACAGTAACAATCCAAAATTCTCAAAAAAAAAAAACCTGCTGAGGTCGATTTACCACCCAGAAGTCTTCCCTTTGGACATCAATCATCATACTTCCATATTTTTGCACATGCAAAAATATGTATATTTGAAGTGATAATGATATAAATAGTAAATAAGAACAAATGTATTTTGGGTTGCTTTTATCTACCGCTTGTTGCTATCGTGCGGGCAGTTAATGATGAGTTTGCCCGGAAGGAGAAGACGAGTTCATGAAGATAACGATGCTAACAATGAAAGCGATTCAAGTGATAAGAATGATAAGGTAATGGACATTACTTTCAATAATGTTTCCTTGATCAATGAAGTAATCAGTTATTGCGAATCATTCTTTCCACCAATTTTTTGTTCCTTGCAATCAGCTAGCAAAAATCTTATCAAACATTGCAACAGTGTTACATGTAATTCTCAAAGATCTGGGTATAAAAGTAACCTATTTTTGTGAATTTCGAGTTGTTCAGCAAAATCAGCAAAATGATGACCTTGAAAAGTTCACTGAACTATTTTATTCAGTTTCTGCAAAATCACCTAAGCAAAGTGATTATTTTATTTCTTCATAACAAGAATTAACTTCATTACATTTTACCTGTCCATATAGGCAATCATCCACCTGTACAAACGAGATTCATACCATACCTATCTATCTATGTCACAATAAAATACAATATGGCAAAAGAAAATTTCCCAGAAAACGAAATATGAAACTGAAGACAAAGTTAAATGGTCTGATGAGCTACACAATATGTGCTTATTTACTTAACAATTTATTCATAAGAATATTTATACGTCTAACTTTACGTTTTACTGGTATTTTTCTTGCTTTTCAGTATTTTCATCTGTTCGGCAACATTCCTGATTTTACTGTATGTGAGTTAATATAAAATGAGTTAGCACATAAACTTTAATCTACGTCATCTTAAATAAGTTATGAACGGACGTCTGCCATTCCTTCGAAATACCGCGCAAGATGTCTGCCATAAGGTATTTGCATTTCTCCTCAGTGACAAATAATTTGTTCATTACGTGATGACAACACGATTCTTGTCAACATAGTACGTGACGAAAGCACGTGCGTGACCTGCCACCCGCGTACGCGTACGCCTGTGTGGGTCTCTCTATTGTATGTGTGTGTGTGTGGATAAAGAGATAGAAAGAGAGTGTGCTGGTCAATGAGGACGAGAGCGCCCGTTGGTCATAACTACTCTGCCGGATGCCTCAAGACACATGTCTGCCCCTCCTCATCTCAGCATTCTCTCTGCCAGCACTCTCGCACACTGCCCCCTCCCTATTGCATGGCACACACTGCGCCCAAAGAGGCATCCCTTATAAGCACAGTGACTGTTTTGACGTCTTGCACTCATGCTCTCCTACCATATTTATTGATGGCGGAACACGCTGCACGTTGTGACATGTCACGTGTGTCCCGTGTGTCGCGTGATGGCCACTTTAAATTAACTGTTCATTTAAATTATTTGATTTCTTTGAGAAAATAATGAAAGTAACTCCTTTCCACTTCATTCGCTCTCTCTGTCGTTCGAGTCGCAAATTTCCATTGAGACATAGCATCAGCTTCTCGTCTTACTAATAGCTAATTCTCATCTTATCTATCATTTCTTGGCACCCAGATATGTAAGATCACTTCTTTCCGTCCCGAGATTTCCCTGAAAATTGTGAGAGTTTTTGTCTTTCCTGAATATGGTTCACGTTCTTTCCTGAATATGATTCACGTTCTTTCCTGTTTTATTTCTGTGAATGAAGTGAATGTGACCTGCAGTACAGGTAGCATGATGTGATGTCTTGTAAATCCTAGAATGAACTGATTTTGTGTTTGGTCTAACATTTACTTTATCCATCCGTTATTAATCCTTTAGCATTATTTTGAATTTTTTTGCTCGCAAAAATACTGAGAATAATTGATTGGCATGATTTCTCGTTCTTGATCTCATAGCAATTGTTAGTGAGAACAGAAGGTTTTTGAAGTATTACTTCATTCTCACGCATATGTTTTGTTCAAATAAGCAATAGTATGTGTTGTACGTATACACTGCACGGAAATTTAACTTGAGCATGCGTATCATACGTGATGAAGTTGTTAATAACATTATTTGTATATTAATAAATTTTGTTGCTATTTAATAATAATATCACGTATCAGTAGACTAGTTTGGGAGATTTATCACGTTGGATTTTTGCCATCTCGATGTTATGATTTTTTTACTAAACAGAAGTAAAATTCGCAACAAAATTTTTTTTTTCAGTTTGAAAGAAGTATGTCTCGTCCACACGTATTCTTCGATATTACCATTGGCGGAGATCCATCTGGTCGTATCGTTATGGAGGTGAATTGCTTTCTCTTTTTTATTTTTTGCTAGAAGTTAAAATTCTTGTCTTGGTTGTCGAATATCCAAGGAGAGAACCTTTCCAAAAATTAATCCTTTCAGTTGACATGGTAACAGGTGACAGATTTTAGAGGATACTAAGCTGCTTGACAGATGGAAACAATGTAGTATGATCGTTGTTTGTAAGACCATATTTCTCGAAACTCTTATTCTGGTCTTCTTCTAAATTTTGTGTGAGTTTTATTATAGTTTTGGTAATAGTAATGCTAATGGCGTAGGAATAACAATACCATATTAATTATGATTGTGACTTTGAAGAGTGATTATAGATAAATTATATTAGGTCTAATATTTTTCCAGTTGTTCAGCGATGTAGTGCCGAAAACAGCAGAAAATTTCCGTGCATTATGCACGGGTGAAGAAGGCTATGGTATATTGGGAAAGGTTCTTTATTACAAAGGTTCGAAATTCCATCGAGTCATCCCAAATTTCATGTGCCAGGTTTGCTCTGTTTTGTCAGTTCAGTCAATGTATGCTGTTATTTAAAATTTGAAATCTTATTGCAAATTTCGGTATTGTAAACTTTGCTTATATTCAATTTAAATGAACCATGAACAAGTTGATCTAAATAAGTTATTTGCTTATTTAACATATGTTCTCATATGGTTATTTCATAACGGAATTCACTAAGTGATGCAATAGAGAGTGACATAAGTAAGGTTTTAGAGCGTTATCATTAGCTCTCTTACCACGATAGAATTCTTCCCAGTGAAAGATTGCAACAGAGCTTTGAGGAATATAGTATAGTGAGTTACTATCGTTTGTGTTATTAGCTATTCTCTCAAATTAAATATTGTAACATAAAAACGAACAAGTGAATGATTTGCAATTCAAAAGTTGATATGAACTTCTGCCATTCAGGGTGGTGATTTCATACGCGGAAATGGTACAGGAGGTGAATCTATTTATGGTTTAACGTTTGAAGATGAAAACTTCAAAGAGAAGCACACTGGACCTGGCGTGCTATCCATGGTAAGCGCGTACGACAACAATATAGGTTCTTTTTGAGTTAATCTCGCGCTATGAGCGCATTGCCGATTTTAGTTTGTTAAACAATATAATTATTTGAAGTGCCGAAAATCAGTTCATATTTCAGCTTTCAAGTACATAAACGAATAAAATTCTTAGTATAAGATTGTTAACTGAAGAAAAGCAGGTAATATAGCAGGTAATGCAAGTGTGCAAGAAAGTGTAATAGCTCAGTGTTAGGGTTGTGCGAAACACAGATAATGGTGCCGTAGTTCTACTCCTTCCACTTAGTGCTTGCATTTCTCGTCCAATTTATAAAGCGAGCGATGATGATTTGGCTGTGGTATTGAAAAGTAATGAAAAAATTGTCTTAGACATGGAATGCTGCTGAGTTCGCTTACCTCGAAGTTCCTAGTTCACCAGGTATGTCTGTGCTTGATTTCCCGTACGAGGCGGGGAAAGAGATTTGATGATGCAAGTTTTCTAACTGTTCACAATTGATTTTCATTATTGTCTTCAGTAGTTATTACCGAAGGGATTTTAAGCTTTTAAATTCATTAGGCAAATGCTGGTCCAGATACGAATGGATCTCAGTTCTTCTTATGCACTGTGAAGACGGACTGGTTGGATGGTAAGCATGTTGTATTCGGCCGAGTTATCGAAGGAATGGATGTCGTACGGAAGATTGAAGCAGTGGTAAATTTGTTGTAAATTTTAATGGATTTTAGTGGAATAACACACGTGAAGAAGGGATAATGATTAACTTTATCAAGATTACATTATTCTCTATATTTTGATCTGTTGACTCACATGCTATTTTGCAGGGTTCACAAAGCGGTAAGACATCGAAGGATGTAGTAATTGCAGATTGTGGACAATTGTAGAATGTCAAACATTAATTAATAACTCCAGAAGAAGTCTTCATTCTTTGTTGTTTATTCTCTGGATTAATTTCTCCCTCTTTGTTTCTCTCGCGATGAATATTTCGACATTTTACAAAAAAAAAAAAAAAAAAAATATTTCTGCTTTAGTTGAAGGCACATTTAAATCAATCGAATCATAATATATAATATTGCTTAGTGCATCGTAATTTTGTTACTTCATAAAAATTTATTTCATTAACAAAGTAGAAAGGTTAGCCCAAGACAATGAAATCACTTGATAATAAAATCGAAGTTGTTATATTCCAGCTGTCTGGAATGCTTCCAAGCTAACTCGAACCAGTTTTACCTAATGATTATATGCACTAACGAGAACTGTCACATTCATTTTCTACTACAATTAGTAACTATTTTATCTTTTTATTCCAGCCCAATTTTCTTGTCTTTTAGACGATAAAATGTATAAGCCCGAGTTATTGTTTGTAACTATCATGCCATATTGTTGTTTATTCCTTGAAAAGTTATTTAAAAATTTGCGTAATTTGTTTTGACAATTCATTTTGCAAACAGGAGTGAAAATCTGTTCATTCGACAAAGAACACTGATCGAAAGGGTTTTGGGTGTGTTACGATTAAGCAAGGATATTCAAGAAAAAACATGTACCAGTATGGTTTTTCACTTTAGGTTACATGAAATTCATTCATCGCACAGCCTCATAGTTTATGTTCTATAATGAAAGTTCTGGCTGCTCTTGTGGAGAAATGTGAAGGTGAATGCCTGGTGGGCAGTTGTGCTGTGGGTTGCAATTAAATTGGTTCGTCGATGGTGAATGGGTATCAGCAATTTTTATGCTTGACATCGACATGACACTCTTCTCATATTCAGGTGAAGTAAAGATGGAGTTCTGGCCGATTTGCTTCTGAATCGGGGACGTTTAAAATAAGCACAAGTGGAGAATTCTTGAATCTGAAGTATGATAAGATTTTCATGCGAATTAGATATGTTCATTGTATGACTGGGTTGGTCGAGAAATGGTGAATTTAATTTCTTGAAATAGGTTTAAATTTTAAAAATCAACTCTGTGTAACTATGCAACATTACTGTACGACACAACCTTCCATTTCCAATCTCCTCTTCAGTAATAGTTCTATATAATAATGACCTATGAACAGTTAAGAAAGAGATCAAACAGAGTTAGAAAATTAAAGTGTGAAAGGAAATTTTCATTACATATCACTATTGTTACTGTTTTATCGTTTTATCCATGCTTTCGAAATTTCTGGAATAAAACTTTTTTGGAATTGCAATACTTTTTAGTAAATAAGAACTCATTTGTAGCATTTTTTTTCTGATTATTGAAAATTTGAGTATTTTTAATGTCGGTGGAAATGTAGTTCTTGTTTATTGAAACGAAAATGAAATGATCTCATGCGCTAACTCATATTGTCCCACAGAAATGTCAGATTCTTTCATACTGATAAAGGAAGGAATGATTCAAGTCAAGTTACTCAGCAATTGCTATCCTTAAAATTGTGTCGGTCCCTCACAAATGAGAAATTCATCATTGGCAGTACACTGAGTAATCATCCTTATCGTATACCAATTCGCTAAACAAAAAAAAGAGGAAAAATTTCACAGACACAAACGCGCAGGCGCACATAGACAGAGGACAGGATGTATGGACAGGAACACATACACACACACATGTACATACACATGCATACACATACACATACACATACAGACACAGTACCGTTGGGGTGTTGGAAGGAGTGTACTTAAAGGAACGGGTTGGGTTGTTGAATGCCTTAGTAATGGAAGTGGGATGGATGATTCATCGATTTGTGTTCCAATATGAAATGATACTGAAGAATAGTATTCAAGTATGTGCTAGTTCGATCTGCCCGTTAAAAGGGATGATTCATCGTCAGGGTGATAAAATTTTCCGAATAAATGATCGTTTTTGTTTGTTGAAGTTTTTTTCTTTTACCATAACATAACTAGCATCTGTTCCGCTACAATTGCTGGCTAATGAATGAATTATCCATTTTGCTTCCCATTCATTCCTTTTCTTTATAACATCTGAACTATTTCAAGTTTAATTAATAAATTATGAAATAAACAAAAGAAATGATAAGCATTCCTTTTTCGCTCATAGAGTTGAAAAAAGATTTTCCATCATTCAGATTGTAGTAGTGTCATTTCATTTGAATGCTTTCTTGTCTAATAATCTCAGAAGAACTAAATTTTTCTATTAAAATTTGTTAGCTTTTCATTACTGTTCTTTTTTTCTTTCCTAGTTGTAATTCTGTCATTACCAATGATTGTTCAATGAAGTAAATTCCATTTTCTTTTAAGCTTATTGTTGGTATGTTAGGTACACAGTATTTTGTGGTATGGAATTGTCTACCAGTACAATCATCGGTATAATTACAATCACAACTGCGTTGAAATGAAGAAAATAAAGGTGACAAAATAATCGATTGCTATTTTCTCCTTGCTCATCTTCTATTCTCATCTAATTTCACTTTTAAATTTCAACTTTGAATTTTTCCCCTCCTATCAGCAATGACTTCATCAACTTTTCAATGCTTAAAGGATTGTTGTTAGTCTTGTCAATTGTTGATCATTGGTCTCAAATAGTCTTGTCCAGGCTTTTCAAATCTTGATGTTTATTGCATATGAAGTGAGTTAATTATCATTATTGATAGTTCAGTAAGATATTTTTTATTTTTATAGGTAAATGTGTAATTGATCTTACTTGACATAAGAAATTGTTGTTGACCTTGAGATTACCGACATTCCTCCAATACTTTTATCATTATTGTACAGCTAAGACTTATCAGAAGACTCATTTTTCATTCGTCACACTCTTTTGTTTGTAAATATTTTAATTGAGCAATGAAATCCTGGAATATAGCATATCACCAAGGTCATCTAAGCATTATATTTGGTATTTAGAAGTCTGAAAGTTGAAAGAAAAGATATAAATCTGGAAATTGTATAATTTTCAGTAAACGATTTTCAGTGAATCATTCCAAATTTTCCCACACATATTCATCTGTACGTTATTTCGAAATCATTTAGCGCTTTCTAAACTTGTCCAACTATCGTGATCTAGATATAATTTGATTTCTTCAGCTAATTAATTGTTTATGTTATTCTCGATATTCTGCTGCTGCTGCTCTAATTTCTATTATTTCACTAGATTGGCATGTTTGCGATAGAGAAGTTTTAAAATAAGAGATGAGAAGCATTCGTGACACTAAATATCTCTGTTCAACCAAATTCGATTGGTCGTTCCGAGTACTCTCGAAGGGAAGCTTGTTGTCTTGTACAGGGAATGAATATGCAAGAATAGATGTTCTTTCTGCAAGAATGATAGATTCACGTTTGTTTACGACATCCTAACGTTTCGCTGTTGAACTATTGTGTGTTTACATTTGGATTAGCGAACAAGGCGGCTCCTCAAAGGCGCATATTTCTCTTTAAATAGGCAATGATAAAATCGAACATCGGGAAGAAACGATTGTTAAATTATCGTACCGCAATCTTTCGATCAGTGAAGAATCGCTCTATTGACTGATCTAAATACAAACACACCTCTATTCAATAGTGAAACGTTTATTGTTGATATTCTCGAAATTTGAGCCAAATTTTGGAGAGTAAATAACTAAGGTATGAATCTTCTCTTAATTGTTGTTTTAATTACTTGCAATATATTTGTTTTCTCATATCACTTTAATACCAGTCGTCTTGCACTGACAATGAAGCAGCATTAGGATTAGTGTAACTTGACTAAAGGAATATTCGAAAGATAGATGATTTCATGAGTGATTGTGTTGAATTTGTAAAACTTGCAATCTAAGATGGGAATCAGTTTCTTTCTCGTTATTCTTTAAATTTTATCAATTTTACTCATCGCATCACCACATTCCATAACTATCTAACAAGTAAAATTCTTCATTCAATTAAATCATAACAACTGATAAATATTAAAAGGAGATGGAAGATGTATTGCATCCTTGTCTCTGGGATATCTGCTTTGTTCTATTGCTCAATACAGGAAAAGTTGCAGTGGAAATGGATCGATATCCTGCTGCTACTTTTAAGCTTTTTTGATGTGTGAAATAACGGGTTATTATTGTGAGACATTGGCAGAATTGGCGGTTTTTCCGGTCATTTGGTAATTTTTTCCTTTTCACGTAGTGACGCGTACGTATAACGCAGCTTTGGTAGCTTTATATTGTCATCGATCGAAGTGGTTTGCAGATTTCATCTATTTAATTTTAATCGATCATTGCTTTCATGGTATGTACTTGAAACATTTTTTGCAAAATTTTCCTTGTCCTATTTTAAAGCCGAGACATGGGAAGCATGTGTTGTGAATATGACTGGGACTGTTTTTCTAATCTTGACGATGGCGGCAATGGTATTGATGATAATAACGCTAATGTATTAAGGGCGGTCTACACTGTCTTATCTTGAAATCGATGACCAATACGCTTTGCTTCTTTTTTGTTCTCTTTAAAAAGTGTGGGGAAAAGATACGTATATGTAGATGAAACATTTGCTGTCACATTGGACTAACTACTCATCAAGGCATTTATAGGCCTAGTATCTGGCAAAGGCAAAGCAATGGCTATTCCTCTTCTTCCTCTTATTGCATGTCATATAAGAGGGACTTTTTAATTTGAATAAAATTAAGAGCTGAATATTGCTGTCGATACTGTATGTGTTCAAAGAAATGAAAAAAAAAAGTCTTTTTGATTTGATCACAGTCATCATCCCTTTCTCTTCATTTTAAATTTCTTCATGCATTCAAGAAATTTCATTTTATATGTATACTTTTTGACGAAATGTGGATTGCTTTGTAATTATATTATTACTGATTCTCTCACTCTTACTAGTTTTATTGACATGCACTATGCTCCGTTTCACAACACTTCAAATTCATTTTTTTTCCTCTTCACTCAAATATCATTGATTGTCTCTCCGTTTGTAAGGAAACAAGGTACTTTTCTAAACAACATAGCGCTGAATATTCGATGCTGATTCATAGTGATACAAGATAATTTACACAGTTTGTAAACGCCATGTTCTCTTGCGAGTACCCTGAATAATTAATATGCATATGTGATAATAATTTACTTTTTCCAGGTTATCCGATTTGCTGAATTGCTCAAATATGTCTGATCAGAGATCATATGTTAGTACTCATTTTTGCCTTAAATAATGATACAATAATTCAGATAGTAAATAAAACGAATGAAAGAGATTGGCTTGAGTTAGTTGTGTAATCGTTGGATAACACCAATCCGGTATCTTCACTTCCGGTTAATTCAATTGCATCAATCAATAGAACCCAGCAATCATTAACAGTGTGCTATCCGAATCGCTTATATCGAATGCAATCATATTTAACAGAAATATTTGTTGATGATTGATTTAGTAGTTAAGATTGAATCATTTGCAGCCAATTCCATATCGCAGCCAACTGCAAGAGAAGATTGAACCTGGACAAACACTGATTATTAAGGGATCAACGATCGATGAAAGCCAACGGTATGTATTGAACTTAGTTTAGGTTAACTTCAGTTAGTTCTACGTCCTTTAGGGATGTGATATTTTTATTTCATCACTTAGTAACTATTGCATGGTCTGATTCGACATTGTAAAACTTCCTTATTGTGTGTAACTATAGATGCAGAAAAAAGAAATAAAAATTTCCATATAATGTAGTGACATGTAATAGTGGAACTTGTCATTTGAAATTACAACAGCAGTAAAGAAATGTTAATTAGTCTTAATGGAAGAAGATCCTTTGATTATTCATCATTAGTTTTTCAGATTTACGGTGAATTTACATTGCAAAGCAGCAGACTTCAGTGGTAATGATGTCCCACTTCATATCTCAATTAGATTTGACGAGGGCAAAGTTAGTTCCTATTTATATTATATTCTGACCTTCAAAATTTCTGTTTCTGTTCGAGATATTTCGATAACATTCAAACGTCTTTAAAGACTTAACCATTGGAAGATGCTCTGAAAATAAGCATTTTTCGAATGCTTTGCTTAGTACATGAAACATACAAATTAGACACTGCTGTCATCAGTACAGAAAAAATCCGTCAAACTTCATATAATATTTTAACTAGAACAAATAAGTATTACTTATTTTAATACTAGTACTATGCCTGCTGGGAGAGAGAAATTGATAATATGTTGTTTGTAGATTGTGATGAATAGTTTTGAGAATGGAGAGTGGGGTAAAGAGGAACGCAAGAATCTTCCATTCAAAAAAGGCACACCTTTCGATATCCGAATTCGAGCGCATGATGATCGATATCAGGTATGAATTCCCGATTTTTTCACATCATCGATATTACGTTTTGATAGGATGTGTCTGGTAATTACAAAAGATGTAGGTGTAGAAGTTTATCTGAGGACGAAATAATGAGTGTTATCTGTAGGCTCATATATGCCGAATTGGAAAGCTAAATTAGTTATCTTCCAGTTGTTCATATAGAAGAATTTGAGGCGAAGAAAATTGGCAATGCAGTCGTTTTGTAAGGATACAGTTTAGTACTATTTAATTAATGTTGCTTTGGTAAAAAATTACTTACAGAGAATGAAAATTATAGATTTTCTGCGACCAGAAGGAATTCAAAGATTTCGAACACCGCCTGCCATTGTCTTCCGTATCTCATCTATCGATTGATGGCGATTTATATCTTAATCAAGTACACTGGGGTGGAAAATATTATGTCCGTTCAGTTTTTGGAAATCATAATTATTTTGATTGTTCAAGGACACTTAATTTTCTTTCAACTTTAATTAATTTTTAATTAACAAGGATGCAGTAATGCTTCTGGACAAAAATTCTAATTAGTTTCAGCCTGTGCCGTATGAAAGTGGTATTTCGCAAGGTTTGAGTGTCGGCAGAACGCTTATGGTATTCTTATGCCCGGAGAAGAAAGCGAAACGTTTCAACATTAATTTGTTAAAAAAGAATGGTGATATTGCATTACACTTCAATCCTCGCTTCGATGAAAAGGTCAACTTTTTTAATGCCTGTTTCTTCTTGATAATTACAATTATAGAATTGGAAATCGGGTTTTATGTCTCAGTTTGAAATAATTTCCATCAGTTTATATATTTAAAAAGTAAGTTCTATAATTCTCCATGAACTCAGCACAGTCGTCTGCTTGGTTGAAGACTAGTTCAAGTATCATTGGCTTATTTCTTTATATTCCACGCTATGAAATGCTTCTCTTATATTCATTATCTCATAGTTTTGTGTTCATTAAAATGCAGTAGAAATATTATGAAGAAAAAAAAAATTGAAAAAGTCCGTAGTATTTACTTGTACAAGTCATGTTATTTGTTTATCTTGTTTTGATGTTGTATAACTGAATACTCGTTTTATTTATTGTGACTCACTCGATTTATTGTGACTTTATTGTGTTGTTACAATTTGAATTATTTCAGGCAGTTACGCGTAACGCTCTTCAAGCTGGCAATTGGGGTAATGAGGAGAGGGAAGGCAAGATACCGTTCGAGAAGGGCGTTGGGGCTGATTTGAAAATTGTCAATGAAGAATATGGATTTCAGGTTTCCTGAGTTTTCATATTAATTTTTTTTCCATATTCAGACTTGAATCATCTAAGTCGCTCGAAAATGGGAGAAAATTCGTGGAAAAGTTCAGTCTATACAACTGTAGTAAATTTTGGTACTCAAGAACTGCAAGAAAGAATTTAACGAAATAATCAGACAAATGATATTCTATTGCACTTTTATTTATTTTATTCATTTTTGCATTATTTAACTGTATTAATTATTACAGATTTACGTGAATGATGTACGATTTTGTTCATTTGCTCATCGTTCAGATCCTCATGACATCACCGGTTTGCAAATTCATGGTGATGTCGAACTTACGGGCATACAAATTCACTAAATAAAGGATTCAATTTCTCGATATCATACATACTAATCTTTCTAAATTCCCAACCAAATTATGTGTTTTGTTTCTTTTATCGTATTTCATCAGCAAATGTTCTTTTCTTGGGCAGTGAATTCTAGTTAAGCGATAATGCTTATTCTATTTCGGTTGTAGGTGTCTCATGGGTAATGTAATCGGTTATTGGTTGATTTCTCTTATTTTTAGAACCGTTAACATCTTCTTTCGTTATTTTTCAAGCATCTTATTTCTTTTAAATCTTTCAGAGTGTGAAGTTTCTTTATGTATCATCAGTGTTTGCTAAAGTTAGATTCCCAATGTAATTCAAAGGCTCTTGGACTTTAAGTAGTTCTACACTGTACCATTTCCGTTCCATCCACATACATTGTTATCCATAATGTTTTTATATGTGGAAGTAACTTTTTTGATGTGATGTTCTGTGGAATGTGAATTGCTTCAGAAACATCGGAAGTTAGAAGATCTTGATTTTGTAATCCCAATTTAAAAAACTATATAATTCACACGTGTAGTTCTTTTTTTGATGTGAATGTCAGTAATATAGGATACATTGTTCTTTGTTTCAGTTTTTGATCACAGGAATATTTATCTTGAAATTGATTTTGAGTTTAAAATGTTCATTGGGGTTACTACTAAGTAAAATTTGGATCCTTGTGAAGCAAGTAAAATTATTCAATTCTGGAAAATATGTTTCATTCTTGATAATGAACTATGTATCGGTTGTAAAAGTTAGAAGTTCATTTTGGACGGTGGAGAGGTATGAGGAATCCGACTTGTATACAGGTTATCTTATTTCATAAAAAGGGATTTGGTTGAATAAAGACATCTAATTGGTACTATGTTGGTGAATTAAGCAAATTTTAAACTTCAGAAGACCAGTGTAGAAACATCGGAGTTCCTTATGAATTGTTTGTAGTGGAAGGGTAATTTCTGTGATAGATGCGTAGGGCTTTGCAATTAAAAATGAATATTTGCCTGGTCTCTATTGAAATTCAACTTAAGATTAGGTTAACTTTTCAGTAAAGTATGGAAGTGATATTTAGGAATGGTACCAATGACGAAGTATGACACGGTGAAGCGATGTTCAGGAATTCTGGGCAGCGAAGATCTTAATAACCTGGATGGTAGCTGGTTGAACTGTCATTTCTTTTCAACTGTTATTTGTGAGAGATTCAATTGATGTTGTGCTCAAGGAATGTTTGGATATTGGTATTGTGTTTACTACAAATTGCTGCTGTTTCCCTGTTCATTTCGGGTTTCTTTCACAAACAAATACATTTATTGGATTCCGAAAGCAGTGAACAAGATGTGAACAAATTTCTAGATGGTAACAAATTGAAGTGACTAGTATTGAAATAGAAATTAAATGATAGTTTGAAACAAGTGAGACGATATTAATTGATACGATCTTCTACTGTATGTGTTTTCAGTCGTTAAGCTACTCTTCTAATTTTACCTTTTTCGGGTACGATTTAACAGCTTCTTTCACCAGTATATTAATTTTTTCGGGCTCTTTCTATATTAGCCGACCATCTAGCTATTGACCGATATTACGAAAATTAATTTTTATTTGCAGTTGCAGATTGCGTTTTATATTCTTTGATATTCTCTGGAGTCATCATTTCAGAATGCCCTCATGACAGCATCTTGAGGAAAGCAGTAAAGAAGCAGATAGTAGCAAAAATGGTGATAATATTAATTGATGCTTGGCAAGAGCAGTTTTTCTATCGCCGAAAGGCCATGCAATTTTTACGTCAATTGACAAACGACGGCCAAGCTGTCGCCTTCATTGCTCATGTGCAAACGCCTACTGTAACAATGCCAAGGATTAAGGCCAGTAATTCTTTTAGGTTTATTTTTTAGATATCGAGTCAAATCAAAGAAATCATTCAGTGTTAAATTTCAGGCAGTAACAGCTGGTGTGATACCTTCATTTGCTGATGTTGTGATGAATTTTGCATCTACTTCCATAACAAGCGATAATATCATTGATCGACTTAATGATAAGGGTTACAGGTCATCTTCGAGGTTTTGAGGAGGCATTTTATAGCTTGAACGTTTCTTTTATTAGCGGTTTAATTTTACAAATTAATAGAACCTATTTTGTTATGCTTTCATCCAAGAGCAATGTAGAGAAAATTATTGAAACAAAATGTTACCATTCAGATGCACGTTTTGCGGCGACGAAACATGGCTACGACTATTTCCGAATCGTTTCGATAACCATTCGGCAGGGGTTACGTCATTCTACGTCAATGATTTCAAAGAAGTAAGTTTAGCTTTTTGGAAGTAAACACTTCGGAAAATGTTTTGTTAATTGATAATTTATATTATACTTTATAATGGTGGTTCTGTTGAATGCCCTGTCTTCTGATTTGGATACAAGAAATAAAGAACCAGTCCATAAAAATGTAAAATGAAGTTTAACGCCTTATATTCTGCAGTGTCGAAAGGGGGCTTTTTAATTGTTCCTGGAAACTTATAAATTATTACTATTGAATTAATTTATTTGAAACGTTTTGTAGGTTGATGATAATGTAACATTTTGTATGCGTTCACGGCTTGAGAATAGTGCTGCGGATACGTGGGATGTGATGATTCTGCATTACTTGGGACTTGATCATATAGGTCAGATTGAAAAAAAACTTAAGTTTATGCGTCTCAAACTGGTCTATTTGTACATTAAAACAATTTAAGAAAGCATTTTACTCATTCTTGAAGCTATAAAAAATTTCCAATATGAAACATACTGCCCGACCTCGCAATAGTTTTCTTAAAGTGATTGAAAGCATCATGTTTTTTAAACAGTGGATTTTAGTAAATGTGTAAGTTATTGGAATTGCGATTTTAGGACATTCTCTGGGTGGCACTCACAGTGAGCTGAATAATAAACTTATTGAAATGGATTCCGTTATCAAAGAAATTTACGAAAAACTCCAGAAAGTATGATGCAAATGTGTCAGAACAGTAGAACAGACAGAATTGAAACTTGGAAGTATGTCTCATTCTTTTATATACAACATGTACAGCATATAGCTTCTTCTCCGCCTGTTGTCTCTAGTCTCTGGATGTAATTGTGAATTAGTCGTGAAATAAGAATAGGTAGAAGCCATATGCTGTACATTGCATGTAAAGGAATGAGATATAATTAATTTAAAAAATGACGTATTAATTAATTGAATTTACAAGTTTGCATTGTTAGGAGAAAGAAACTGATGAATAAATATATTGATTTTGCACAATTCAGGTATATGACACGAACTTTTCCATAATTGTGTTTGGTGATCATGGAATGACCGAAGGTGGAAGTCATGGTGGTTCTTCAGAATTAGAAACCCATGTACCCATTGTTTATGTTGATGGAAGGAAGCGACGTACTAGCAACGAAACGTTCTGTGGTAATATTTCAACTTTAATTTTATCAGTCAGTAGTATAGATTTTTTTCATGCTAATGTGTTAGTGAGGATTATCTATATTTTTCTAAATATATGTTATCATTGACGTACGTTCGATAAATATATTTGAACAAATAAATGATAAGAATTAATGGGAAAGAAATTAGTGGAATCATTAGAAAATGTTGATTTCATTTAAATATAATATTTGCAATTTGAAATTTAGTTTAGTACATATATAAGTAAAATATGGTATTTTCCTAAAGGTTTCTAACCATTTCGGAGTTGACTTTTTTTTTTTGATAACGATCTGGATTTATATCATTAATCAGTAATTCAACTTTTAAGATGAAATAAAGTAGACATCGTTTCATATTTTTAACTTTCAGTAGCATCAGTTGAGCAAGTCGATATTGTTCCAACATTGGCAACTCTTTTGAATATTCCAATTCCGAAAGAAAGTCTTGGTGTTACGCTTTTACCTTATATTACCACAGATAGGTCAAATCTTTCAGTATTATTATTCGTATTGCAAAACGCTGAACAGTTTCGAAAGTTGTATGGAACATCAAGTAAGTAGTGTTACTGTTGTTTTATTACAAAAATTTTGATGTTTTTCCGAAGAAATTCTTGACAACTCTATCAACGAGCAGAAAAAAATTATTAAGATGATGTGAGAATTATTAATGCATAAAAGATATGATAAAAATTAGATAGGATTTTTTATTCATCTTTTATTCAAGTGGCAAAACTCATAATATTTATAGATGTGCTAAACCACTGTGTCAGTCATTTTTATGACAGTTTGCAAAAATATTGTGCAATAAATTCTTCTGTAAATGTTGATGGATTGATTGGGGAATGTTTGGAGGAATTACACAAAATTCAATCACAACTTATACATAAGAAAACGAATTTCGATGTTATACAGATAGTGATTGCTATTGGTCTCTCTTTTACTGTATGTTTTTTGAATTAACTCCTATTAAGAGATTTTTTTTAGCTTAAATGAGAGCATGCATTATATAACTGTCAGTTAGTCGTACATTCTTCATTTTCATTTACTAATGAAAGTCTTAGGCTATTCCTGAAGAAAACAAAAAGTTTTCCATTCACAAATCCAATTATCTATGCTATCTTTTGTAAACTTTATAGATTATATAGATTACTACATTTACAGACAGTTGGTGTAGACTGTTTAATTGATTCATTTCATTTATTAAAGAACAAAATAGTTTAAGAGGCGCAGTCTATTTTTCGAGCTACTGGGAAGAGTTTTTGCTTGGAAAAGTATACAGACTTGTTCAGATCAAATGAATACGAAAAAGCATTAAACTGTGCATCATGTATCTCTTTTTCTTTCCTTATTTAGCGATTTAATTTTTGCTTTTGACAACAATATGGATTCTTTTGCAGGTGTCATATATTTCTTCTTGTTTGGTTGGTTCTACATATTCATATGATATCTATGGTAAGTTTATTGTAGAAATAAGATTACGATGAAATCCATTGATTCTTCAATAAGTCAGTTACCAATTAAATGAATGTTCAGAGATTTCTTACATATAAAATTCATATTTCAAGAAATGTTTTCAGCTTTCCAAAATGGTGATCTTTCAACAAATTTAGCTCTTTTTGCCCAGTTATTACACTTTGCCGCATCGTTTGCGTCAAGTTTGATAGAAGAAGAACATGACTTACAGTAAGTTTTCTTTTATTAATGGACCTTTCTATTATTATTATCTGATTAGATCATATCATTAGAAGAGTAGAGCAATTCGTAAAATTTTTTCATCAATATTATAAGTTCTTTTCTTACGGCTAAGTCCATCTATTATGTAATAATAGTACCACTAAACAGGACCCGTAAATTGAGTTTTTTTTTTTTGATCTTCCAATGAAAAACTTGAGTCATCTTCCGATTTGATTTAATTCCAAAAAAAAGTTAAATGTAAAAATGTTACATCCAATCTTACTCTTTTAAATAATTTGCATGATTTAATTCTCAAGTTGGAACCTGAATCATCAGTCCATGTTTTCAAATTCTTTCTGGAGAAATTCTTTGAATAACTACTAGATTTGATGCGAACGATTGCGTAAATCTAGTAGTTAGTTATGCAAAGAACAATCACCATATAGCCGATTGTTCGCATTTCGTTAACGAGTTTGGCTTTTAATTTCTTTCTATTTTTTTTTTAATTTCAGATATTTCTTTTTTGCTTCTTGCCTTTTTGTTATGCTTCTGGAAGAACTTCATATCTGGTTATTTAGTCATAATAACAGAAGGCAAGTTTATTTCTTGTTCTTATGATCATATATCATTGATCAAACTTTTTTACAAGGTGGCAAATCTTTTGACGTGATCAAATTTTGCAAAGTAATTAAGAATGTATTGAAGGAAATTTTTTGTCTAAACAAGCTTCAAAATTATCGTTTCTTAATTTGAGCAGACAATCTTCATTATTATGTTATAGGAAATAATATGATCTATAGCATTCCTTTTTTATTCTAGAATTCGTTCCTATAATTCAGCGAAATCCCAGAAGATAATAACAATATTATTTTCATTAATAATTCATCGTTTATGTCGAAGTTACACAGAATCAAATCGACGACGTTGGATTCTGGAAAGAAATATTAGTCAAAGCAACAGAAGTAAATTAATTCTAATTTTTATCCAAACTTTCCAAATTTCAAATTATTTTTGAAGCTTCAACTTTATTTCAAACTCTTCGAAAGGGGAACTTTGGTGTAACTGTAAATGAAATAATACACGATGCTTTTTGAAAACGATTAACTTGAAAATCTCATGATTCTTGAAATTTTGAATATTTTATTTTATTTTTTTATTTTTCATGTAATTCAACGACTAACATTAGTCTGTTTCCGAAGGGGGGGGAAGTTGTTATAGTATTATATCTAACATTCAATACCATAAAAATTTCACGGATTTGATCGGTGTAATCCTTTTTTAAGTTGGTTTTCTGAATTATTACGAGATTTTTACGAGCATCGGTGGTTCTAGCGATATGCCGGATATTGCATCCTTGTTGTAAGTTATGATTTAAATTTTGACTTATTTCTCGAACATAAATTATCGCGTTTTAAGTGAAAGTTCTGTAAAAATCAAAGATCTTTTTTCTTCATATTCTTCATTTGTATTATATAGAAAATATATCACTAATTTCAGGGTGCATTGATGTTTAATATTCATAAGATAGTTACAGGATGATAGCCAACTTAGTAGCTTAACTTTCGCTAATAGCAAACATCTAAAAAAAGAAAAAAAAAAACTATTAAATAGCAATCTTTCTTATTTATAGTTTTTTTCTGATTTCTGAAGAATAATTTTATTCACTTCAGGAAACAGTTTAACAACTTGCGTTTCATTTCTTGTTCATTATCTCTGATTTTAATTGGTACTCTGTTAATTTTATATTACGGTAAAAGGACAAGTCATCCAAAACTTATACGTTTCTTGATACTAGCTATTCTATTTGGAACATTTCTGGTGCATCATTACAAATCTCAGTGAGTTGTTCTAATTTTCTAAAATTTCGGAGTTTTTTTTTTTTTTTTTTTCTTAGTGTAATTACAAAAATTGAACATTTTGCTATAAGTAAATTAGCTGCTCAAAATATAGTTTGGAAAATAGTTTTTTTTTTTTTTTTTGCGAAGCATTGAATTAATAATTTTGATAATGTATTAGTAGATTTTGCAATAATTCACTGTTAGCTTTGTTATAACTCATAAGGCAAGATTTGAGGTTGAAAATCAACTTCCATTTTTTTCTTTCATTAAATTTGTAATTCTTTTGTAAAAAATTTTCGAATACAAATTACAACATAATACAGGGTTGTATTTTTAATGGTATTCATATTGAATGTGTTTTTGTTGCTATTACTTCGAGATCTGTCTCTAAGCTTAATCGTTTGGGCAGTGCTTATCATGCGAACATATAATCTACCACTTGCTGTTCTACAATTGTTTCTGGGATATTGCTTAGCACGGATTGATGCGACACCATTATTGATTATCCGTGCTATCTTTTCCTCGTTTTTTTATTTGGCAAGTATTTGTCTCTTTTTCCACACATAACTTTTTTAGTTTATTATTATGTTATGTTATATATTTATTAGAACGTATATTCTATTATATGTTTTATCTGTATTGTAACGGGACAGTTAGAATTATATTTTAGAGTGATCAAATCTGAAAAAGTTTGGCGTCAATCAGTAAGACACATTTTAGTTTGTGAGAAAGTTTAAGTTCAGTTGAAAGATACTATTCCGGTAACGATTCAAAATGAATATAAAATTGTAAAATGGATGATTATTCTGTGATTTATTACGCTAATGGATCAAATCTTGATCCTTTAGTTGGTGACAAAAGCATCGTACTTCTATTCAGGCCTGACAGGCTTGAAACAAGAATAGAAGAGTTGATTTTCGTTGCAAAAAGAAGCAGATTATTATTGTATTTTTCGAAATTTCTAGTGTAATCCTGTATACGATGCTTTCATTATCCAATTCTGTGTTTTTCGATTTGATTTTAGATTTTGATCCTTAGCATTTCCAACATCATTAAGGGTTCTTGTTATTTTGATCCTAGTTTATAGGGTAATTCGAATAATTTTTCAACAGTCGACATTGCGGTTGGATTTGCTGGCGTTGAAACCTATCAACCAATACAAATTGCTGTACAAATTATACTCAGTACTTATTCTGGACCACTGTTGATAGTATTTGGTTGGTGGCAGTATTTAGTTGAAGAATCTGTCACATCGATTTCACTATCACATAAACGAAATTCACTGCTTTGCTGGATATCCTCTGTGTTGCAACTCAATGTGTCATTGTGTTTGTTATCTCTGTATATTCAACGTTATCATCTTTTTGTTTGGTCTGTTTTTGCTCCAAAATTTGCATATGAATTTTCTCATCTTGTGCTACTCACTGTAGTTAACATTCTGGTTTACATTTATGACAAGTTTGATTTATGAGCTTTATATATATTATATTGAAAAGCTATATCTAGATAATGTTAGAATAAGCGAGATAAAAAATCATTAAAAGAATCAGCATGCTTTCGTTATACAAACATATTTTGATTAATCAAAGTAACAAATTACTTTTAAAGTAATAAATCTTTTAATCAGGTTTACAGTATTAAAGATTATCCATCGTGTGATATTTTGGGATTCCTGCAATCTAATGATAAGGTATGTTGTAATATCTTGGGATTTTTTCATTAACATGAAGTTTGCCACATTTTCAATTATTGTCATTTAACGATGACCATAAATTGTCCAAACAATTCAGGAATAGTTTTGATGCTATAGTGCATTTTCAAACCATACAAAATAACTTGCTATCATAATACCTGCTCCACAATTTGGGATCATCGCTAAATATGTATAATTGAAGTTATGGTAGGTTTATTGCCATTTTTGAATTTAGGTACTTCTTGAGAATAGGCTAGTTCCTGGACTACCTATTCTTGGTTTAGTCGATGAATTTATTAAATCATGAACATTTTTGTATAATTTTAAAGTTATCTTATTTTCTCTCCTTTGACTTACTAATTTTAAAATACCTTTTTCTTGAGCGCTGTTTTTTCTTTTTCCTTCACAATAAATGCTAGTCTTATCATGTATTAATTGATGTATTTTAGTCTTAGTGCATAAACAGGTCATTGCTTGCTGATCATAAGTTTTGAATACGTGAAATAAATGCAATTATGTAGAGTATCCATCCTCAAGAGTATCTATTTCTCTTTTATGAGGATATTCTGATTCTTTGCATCTGTTGTTCTGATTTAACTGACTCCGTCATTTTTCTAAAACTATTAGCGTTTTGATTATCCATACTTAACTAATGATTTTGATTTGTTGTGTTACTAAATAAACATATGATCCATCCGAATTTGAATATATTTAGCTTTCATCTAAGGCTTAACTTTATTATATAATCTTTAATGCTTTAATAAACAGGAACATTATGATCCTTGTAATTTATTTAACATATGACTATGATTGTTGTAAGTCGATGTGTTACATTGATTATTTTTATTAGGAGTTTGAATTAAACATAAATCGAAGATTTTATGGCTAAATTTTATGGATGAAATCGCAGGCGACAATTTCTGCATCATCAGGAATTCCTGCTATGTGATCATACAGCACCTCCTGCACTATGAAATTAACATGGTAATCGATATGTGGATGACTTGAAATATCGAAAGTTGGATTTGTTGTTTGATTTTTAAATAGCAGAGAAGTGAATTAATGTGGATGAAGGTGATATTAATTGCTTCAGTATTCATTTAATAAGAGAATGGGGATTTTTGATCTTTTTAATTTCACTTATGCGAGTCCATGAGTGGAGAAGAGACATGTTATCACCTATTTGCACAAATCTTAGAATTTAAAACTCTGCAAGAGTTCTTACCTGTACGAATGGGCAATATCTATGAGTGCCATCAGACCCATAAAAATTTTGAAGCTTTGATTTTGACAATATTTTGAAATGATGAGCTAATGTTCGAGCCTAAACCGTAGTGGAAATGAGTAGATAAAGGAAGAGTAAATTGTTACAGTTAATAATGGATCTTTATAAAGAAAATCCTTATAAAAAAAATTACTACAGATCAGAAAATTCAATACCCGTAATCCGAATGTTGTCTTGGGCGTACGAACATATGAAAATATGTTGCAATTCATTGGTACCATCGTGGATTTTGTACTGTTTGAGAAGCAAACCTGAAACTTTCAAGATTTTTGAATTGTTCTATTTTTACTCGTATACATTACACAAATAATTGTTACATTACTACAAAAAACAAGAATGAATTGCTTCTTATCAATTATTTAACGTAAGGTTGATTACTCTCTGCTACTTATAAGCAATACTTAATATTCGATTAGCAGATAATTAACTTCTATCCTGAATCACTCTTCTCTTGCAGCTAATTAATATAAGTCATCGTAGAAACAACACAATATCCATCTATTCCTTTATATGGCCTCAATATCATATCCGTGAGAGTATTTTAAAACAGTAAATAACAATCACTGTTTGTCTGATGACAATTAATAACTACAAGCAGTTCAAATTGTTATATTGCTGAATATATACCATATCTCATCATCATTGTTATTAATTTCATTTCACTTACAAGAAATTTTTAGAAAAGTTCATTGAAATGAAATGAATATGATATAAATGTCGATATAGAATTAGATTAGATATCACAAAAAACAATGTATATATTTTAATCCTTGTGACCCATAAATAATAATTCTATGCTTTGTGCTAGTGTTGATTTTGTTTTTCAGCACATTATGGATCACATCTGGCGTAGATGGATTGCTCAACCTCTTCCGCTTGTTATCCAAAATTTTCGCAATTTACGTGCTTCGGCTTTTTTTACACTGCCACCTTCTACAGTTTCAACTATTGTCATATGAATGAATAACTGTCGTCATATGAACGTCAAAAACATGTAATATCGTATGCATATTTACCGATAATCCTCTCTCATTTTTTTTTTTTTTTTTCATCAATAAGTAACCATTTGCCATCTGCATAGGTTCCGGCTTTTCAAGTGTAAACATATTTTCATATCTATATTACTACTAAAGTTCAGTAAACAAACAGTTGTGACGTTTTATTTTGTCATCATACTTTACTTTAGTTTGTAGGGCAGAATTATTACTTAGATACATATGAAATTTTAATTTTCGATGATTTATGCACATCAAAAAAACGCTTACATATTTTGTTTTTAAGTATTGTGAATTCAATAAATCGATTGCATCACAAAATGGGAAAGTCGTATTTCTGAAAAGAATTCTGAAAATTAATGAATAACGATGCAGAAATTGGTAAGGAAATGTTTAAGGACTATCGTTTTCATATTGATAGTTTTAAATTTTTGGGGATTGTTTGAGAAAACAAAGAAATTTCGGATTGAAAAACGTGGAGAACTGAGTTTGAAATTATTGATAAAAGTTATGATAATAATACAAACAATTATAATGGAAGGTCTCTGTTAATCAACTAATTTCATTTCTTTGTGCTAAAATATTATGTCAAGAATGATTACTTTGAATTCGAATATTTATTGTGAAAAATTTTTATGTTAAGCATATTAGTACGGATTTCATATGATACCTCCGCAGAAGTACAAATTTCATATTATAAACTTCAAAAAATACTTGAATGATACCGATGTGAAAGACGACTGATAATATATTCATAGCAGCTCCTCTCAGCGAATATACATCCCCAATTACGTCCGTACCAATATGCTTTGGTTTCAGCTTGAACCAGACTTTCGTTTGTTTTGTACCACTGTCTCAAATATACGATAAGTGATAACACATAACACTTCATAGTTAGCGACTGTCCTCATCAATGATATTTTACATTTTGCATTATTATTTTAAATTTCATAACCAGTCTTACTCAGAAGAGTAAAAATTTATGTGAGAAGAGTTATCTGTCTATCGTAGAAGATCTTATCTGATTTGCTGTAAAAATATCTGATAAAATAGGAATTCAGCTATCATCCAACTTTGCAACGCCATTGCATAATTTAGAATATTAACTTTTGTTACTTATTGTTCTTGAAAAAAAAAAAAAAATTCAGTTAACCATTTTGCGGTGAAATAGTATCGATTTTAACAATGGATTAAAACTTAAATATTTACTTTTCTCCATTTTTTGTTGCTTCAAGAATGGAAGCGGAAATTTTAGTTAAATAATTCCTTCCATTTGCTAACACCGGTGTCATCAGTTCATCCTTAATTAAGTGCGAGTTCTCATTAAATCATTCACTTTCAAAGTTAGAAAAACGAAATGGCATTAATCATAATATTTAATGAAACTGTTTATCTGATAATATCAATTTTGAATAACGTAGAGGGCGATTATTTTTTCGCCTTATTTCCATAGGAATTAGTAAATGGAACTGGTTTAAACATAACGATGAGATGAAAATTTCTGCTTTGCATTTAACACTTAGCTTGATATAAAGAAATTAATTCATTATTGGAGAAAGAACTTGAAAAATAGGAAAAATAGTAAATTTGAATAATGCGGTATATGCTATCAGTATTGTCTCAGGTTAAACATATAGCTTATATTATAAATTGAAGAAATTTTTTTCAGTGTTTGAAAAAATAATTTGGAAAATTCTATTCGTAATGACCAATAGAAATTTCATGATCACTGTAATAAAAATATACATATAGCAGTGCACTTATTTTTCAAAATTTGTACACTATTTAGTGCTAACACAATAACACTTTTCAATGCACATTAATTATGGGTCAAAGTTCAGTAAACTACGATTTCTACGCTAACATACTGTTATTATCATCATTAATTTGATGATTACGACATCAGTTAATAATAGTCAAAATCTTACACCATAAATGTATTCACTGAGATGTATTTTATCGTCACCATCTGCTTCAATTCCATGCAAATTCTGACAACCGAAATGTTTTCTTGCTTCGATCTAAAGTTATTCACTTCTCATCTCACCAACAAAACAAAAAATGCCCAAATTAATTGAATTAATTGAATGAAATTATAACAAATTGCTATTTCATCTTCAAATATGTATTCACTCGGATTTATCAATTCAAAGGGGAGATTTTGATTCATGTGAATCAACTTTAAAAGTTACATTTCAATTAAGGATTTTAAGTTACATAGAAATTAGCGTCTTTTTTCTTCAGAGAAAGCATGTTTGACTTATAAAAATTCCAAGCAATATGTCTTCCCAGTAGTTTCCTGAAGATTTCCGGAAAGAATTCAGTAACCAAATCTATCACTAAGATTTGCAAAGTATGAAGATGCATCATTATTTCAATTTTTTTTTTTTTTTTTTAAGATTTTAAGGTTTTAATTTGTTGAGTTCATTAATTTGAGAAAAAATTTAAACCTTTGAAGGATGAAAGGAATTATAAAAGAGAATTACCATACCACATCCTTTTCTCTTTCGCTTTCTAAGGAATACCATAATTACTGTTCTCCAACGATAGCTTAAAATAGAATATTGGTTCAGGAAGTTTTAGAACAATGATTACCACCGCATCGTCCTGAAAATCCATGTAGGTTGCGGTTACATGCTGTTTAGACGATTCATCAGTCCAAAGGAATTTTCTTTTCGCTGGAGTGGAAGATAAACTTTCTCCAGGAGTTATTAAGCCAAAACCCTGCAAATTATCAGATTTAATTAAAAATCTCAGCAATGATTAATGTAACACCGAAGAGCACTTTCAACATCAAAATTTCACCGATGCATATCTTTTCCGATGTTAATCATCAAATTTCGAGTCATTTTTCATTGTTTGAAGAAATGTTTAGTCATTTACAACAAGCATATATTGTCCAGCAATAAAATATTTCACATTAGACAAGGCTAAGTTTCCTCTATGTTTTGTCCACTTGATAATATCAGCACAGGAAAGCTAACCAAAGCGTGCATTATTTCATGACGAAACAGGTCTACAATGGCATGGAAAGAGTTCCATCGATGATGATTCACTGGACATAACATCAATCGGGCAGCTGCTGGACTAGCTGATCGCACATTGTAGTGTTATAGTGATATAATTTGATATTTAATCATCATGGTAAATCTAATGCTGATCCGGTAATACTCCTGTCACGATCACGTAATGTGGGAGAGGACACAATAGTTGAATGCTGTGTCCTCATCCACTTTGCAATTCTGGCTTTACCTACCAACTTGCAAATAAATTATTGAGGTATTCCAATGCTTACTGCTACTTGAAATGAGAAAAAATTTTACCGATTATTATTGATAAGAGTACAAGGTGCAGCTGCAGCAAGCAAACCATTATCTGCATTACATTTCTGATGATCCACCTTGAAAAAGGCAAATTGATATGGTCCTAGAGCAATGGATATTACTACCTTATGGTTTTCTAGAGAAAAAAGGCATAAAATGAATAACCTGTAAGAAAAGTAAAAAGTTAACACCATAAAATTTCAAGTTAATATCTTTTGTGATATTAAGTGGGTTTAATTTTCTCCAGCTGTGTAAAGTTTCCATAAAGCACTCGCCAATTGGCGGATACCAGTGCGAAACACATGACGATAAACTTTTGGCGCTCAGTCTATCGTTTTCCGGAAGATACCATATATTTATGAGTGATTGCATTTTCATAACAGCTGATCGTAAACCATCCTACAATTTTGAAATTTTTTATGTATCACTGCTGAATGATATACATCATTAAATATGAATGGGTGAGTATTACATAAATAATTAATTTACTGGAGCAATCAGTTATTAGCAGACCTATTTTAATAGGTCGGTAAGTAGATTTGTCAATAAGAAATACAATTGTACCACTGAATCACGCAGAGTAACATGATGGTAAGAGCAGAAAATCATGGAATAAAAGTAACATCAGCACACAGACAATTTAATCAGTATCCGAACTGCGATCCATTCGTCAAGGATCGCCAAAATTGGCGCCAGTGTCGCAGTTTTTTAAGTGTGCACAGTATTCAACGTATTCAGCGCGGCGCAGATTGCTCACAATTCATTTTTTTAAAACTTTTTTATATGAACCCTAATGAATTTTGTATAACTAATCAATTAATTACATTTATTGGAATTAGCCTTTATTAGAATTTGTGCGAAATTCATAGAAACACACCAGTATTGTTGATGATAGGCGAAGCAACTCTTTCTGTCTGATAATTCCAATATTTAGTGATTCCCAATGCGCTACTTCACTGGACAACAGTGCAATAGCGCCCAGAAATACTACAACTTTCAATAAATTAGCCACCATTTGTAATTGTTAAATAAGAAAGTAAGGAAAAAGTGATTATATTTTGACGTTAAAAATCTACTAGGTGAATCATTTTTTGTATTAAAAGAAAAAGAGAAGGAAAATTATTTATGTAAAAATTCTTCCAATTTGATACATTTGGCATTTTCTTCAATTCTTTTTTTGAAATATTTTGAAAAAAAAAAACACGATTAATTGAACTTCTCAACTGAGAAATGTTGAAGTAATAAACTTTATCATTAAATACCCATGTCTATTGCAATTTCATCCTCTTCTAATACTGTATGATTTGTAATACTTTCTTGTGGCCTGCGGAACGCAAAAATGATTGTCATTATCGTTTCATTCAACTAACTTGTCATTTCAAATCTTCAACGATGTTATTTTGTCAGGAAAGGACAGAAGAATTTACTGCAAACTTTTGCACTATTTGAAATGCACAATTCTAAATGTAATAGATATCATAGTGGATGACATCAATGAAGTATGAAATATATGTGATCGAAAAAGAAAAATGAAACTGGAATGAAAGTTGCTTTTCAGTTTATAAATTAGTGATTAGGTTAACATTTTCTTCATGTTCTTCACTTCATCATTTTAATTTGTGAAAAATTCGTATGATAAAAGGTGAATAATCGATTTGGAGAAGAAATTTAATCAATTTATCCACCAAACTTTAATGAATCAGGTAACAAATTACCAAAACTCAGTTATGATAGATGCCTTCTTTTATTCTTCTAAATAACACTTTCATTTGATATTGACTTATTGATCAGTGGCTTAATTTTGGCAGGTAAATAATTTTTGATTTATTGAAGAAAATATTTATTCGTTTATTCCACTTCCTTTTTATCTCTTTTATCAACAATTTATACTCTTTCGCTTATAATTTATATTAAGAATTCTTTCATACTTGTAAAATTGTCAATTTCTCTCGTTGCTATTGAAATTATTTGTATTTCTTTTAAAATATTCACATACAAACTGCAATGGTAGTTATAATGGAAGCGTGATCAAGTTGTTGGTCGTCCCAGCTTTAAGCAAACAATTGCATAATTTGTATGGATGTGTCGCAATGTGTTTAAACACGGGTAGAGGTAAATTACTGAGAGTTCAGATAAACAGAATGCCTGGAAATTCTTCGAATTCTTTTACATTCATCGATTATTTCTATTTAGTATTCATGATTATTATTTATTATTATTGTTAGTATCTACTACTATCTACTACTACTACTGTCATTGTTTTTATTTATTATAATTTATCATTTATTAATATTAATAATAATAATTATTGGTCATTAACATTGATTGACATGATGTTTATTATTATTACTACTACTACTACTACCTCCAGTTATATTTAAGGCCAGTTCTGTCTTCATTCTCTGTCCCTTTCAACTATTAACTGTCAGTTATGTTGTACAGATTCCTTTTATAATACCCTTCACATGGCTCTGGACTCTGTCACCATGCAGAGTGTTAATTTCAATTTCAATTTCTTTCGACGAAAAGAATACTATTAGAAACACATATGTTTCATATAGCACTATTAAAGGAAAGAAATTTAATAACAGATCGCTCTCGCTTTAGTTTTTAGTTTTCCACCGAATTTGAATGTTCCCAGAAATTTCAAAATTTGGTTTGTGTTTCTGTTAGTGAATATTAACTATAATACTTTGTTTAATATTCTGAACACGTTTCTCTTTTATTGCTTTAGTACTAATAAATATATGAAATGCGAGAGTACACTATGCTTGTAACACACAGTGACTTCACGTATGAAAAATTATATTGATTTAAGGAAGTTTAAATCGCGCATAATAAGTTTTGATCGCTGCAAGTTGCAAGTCTGTAAATTGAAATTTGTTTGTAAATTGAGTGAGAAATTTTCTGTAGAAAGCTCCTCATCAATAATACTACTTCGTGATGAAATTTTGAACTGTGAGATATTTAACATCGAAATTCATTGTTTACTGAACAAATTTGAATTCGGAAAAGCTGGACGATTAGAAGAAATTTTGAATGGAAGGGATAATAACGAAAATTTGCTATGAGATCACAAACCGAATTATCATAAACGCATACATTATCCAATATACATCAAATATGTCATAGGAAGTTGAAGTGTCCATAACAAAAAATGAAAGATGGAAATGTGAGATCAAAGATTGTCTGCTTGAAGAAGCGATCGGTTGCGATCGGTGCTCTTCTAAAATGAAGAAGACAACAACGTTTAAGGATGGTAGTTGATCCATCCCCCCTCCCACAAGCACATATGCTCCTAAAATTGTTTACGATTCCGCATTTTCCTTGTTCGGTAATGATGCATTTTGGAATGAAATATGAGAATGAGGACGAACAAAGAAACATTCCAATAAATCGTCCAGTAGGTCATCGATTAAAAAACGACGAAATGTTGATATTTTTGAATTTGACAATTATAAAACAGTAGTCATATGTGGATGTAATATGTAAATGAAATAAATATTTGTAGTGGAAAAGTAGCGGGAAAACGACTGAAATTCTGCTTAGATAATGTTTCAATTGATTCCATCAATTCTTTTACATTCAAATTTCACTAGAAATAGTTCTTCCAGACGAAACTTGACAGTATCAAATTTTCGGTAACAAATATATATCAGTGTGACTGAAAACAGGTGATAAAGGAATGATAAATGGCCCAGTGATCATTTGGTAATTGATGAGTGCTATAGAAACGAAACAGAGAAGAAAATCGAATATAATAAAAGGTGAAGAATCAAATGTTTGCAATATCAATGAGATAGGAAGCACTAGGATAGAAAAAGTTCATTGAAATATAAGATGCGAAGGAATTGAAATTTTTCAAAAAGGAAATGTAAAAAATGGTAAATGCAAATATTTGCAAAGTCGTCATCATATAAGGAAGCAAATTTGATTTTTTCTTTCTCTGAAAACCTTTGAGAGAATGTAAGAAATATAATAAGAAAGTATGAGTAGATAGAATGGAAGTATTAGTTTTCTATTACATCATTTTATCCGACAGTGATAAATTCAACCAAACTTTTTTATATTTTGTATCTGAATTATGTGAAAACTTTTCATTCTTTTCCTTCTCAACAATAATTTTTCTTTTAATAACAACATTTTTTCAATTTTCAATGGAAAAAGAATAAATATCATAGTGATATATCAAATTTTAAAATGTAGTATCACAATGATCCATGAATGATATCATTTGAAGGATTTGCTAAACAAAATAAGCTCATTACTATGAGACCTTCTACGGATGACAATGACAATATAACAAATAATGGTACTACAAATCAACAACTAGGATGTATGACGATTTCTGATACCATAATGATAAATGTGATAACCTAATATTACCAAAAAAAGATCCCTAATAAATCACTTAATAAGTTTGCAGTATTTTTCTTTTATACTGTTAAAGAAAGATATGACATAATGTGTATCATATTGGCTCAGAAACCGTTTTTTCTAAGTAATGAGAAATAAGACCTGGTAGTTAGGATAATAAACAAAAAGATGGACATCTGAACACAAAAGATTGATTCTAAGTGCGACTGAATAAAGAGAAATATGAAACAAGAATGAAATTGGAAATTGAACAAAATGAAGCATTATTCATTAGATGTTATCCAATTTCTCGAGTTTCTCTCATATTTCCTCTTTCCTTTCTTTTCATTTTCAAGTGAGTTAGTTGTAAATTGACTGAGAGACTTGAATTTTTTCTTTTCTCTTTTTTTTTGGTAAAGTTAGAGGAACTATTGAAAGAAATTCGCCGACAAATCAAGGCAAATTTAGAAACAAAAGTCATAATATAGGTGCACTTATCGCCTAATAATTTCAATAAGTAACTTTTTGATCACCAACAAATCAACAACAGAATGAATCCCCAAAATGATAGTTGAAAATCTAATTGCAAATTGAGCAGGATGTAATATCAATAATTAATTAAATCATATGTGATTTTGTTACTGATCTTTGTATAGATATGAAGTGCCTAAAAAATGCTCAAACTGAAATATGCTCAACAAAAATGATAAAACACTAATGCGTAATGCTTATGTTTTTAGTTTGAAATCTTTAAGATGATCAGATGTAAACAAATCTTTGTCCTCATCTTTTTTCTAAAGCTATGATCAATTACTAATTTTTAGAAGACTTCCAAAAGGTAAGCCTTTACCTTATGAAATTCAATTTCAAGACATTTCTCATTCCTTTCAGTCAACATTGCCAGAATATTACTGTCATTAATCTTTCTTCCAGTTTTTTTTCTTTTTTTTTTTTTTTGCAAGTTTGAAAATATTTTGTCAAATTCCAAGAAATTAGTAGGCATACAGGTAACAACTTGTAATGGGATCATCACCTTCCTTTTCATCACTTTATCATCAAAGCATTCGCTGCATCATTTCGCATTAATCTTTCCCCCAAAAAATAATCACCGACAATTTAGAATCCCTGCACAAAATGTTATAATATTTGTGTGATTGTTTAAAAAAGGGAAAAAAAAACCGCACCAACCGAAACGAAACGAAAGGAAATGAAATGAAATGAAATGAAAAAAATGAAATGAAATAAAATGAAATGAAAAAAAAATGAAATGAAATAAAATGAAATAAAATAAAATGAAAGTGAAACATAAAATAGAAATGATACAAAACGGAGGGAAAGCTCACTCTTCAAACCAATAAAACACAATACGTACTGTGAGAATAAATTGTTTGTAGTTTTTGTTGGCGGCGCCAAAACGGCAACATTTTTCCATCCTTTCACACCTTCTCAATTTCGCCTTCTTTTCAACTTCGCCTTCTTCTTTATCCTTTTTGAGTGGTTGCGAACAAAGAAATTCAATCGCAACAAAATGATTTCATCTCGTCAAATGAGCATCGATTTATGCAACATTTCTCAGTCAATGTTTGTCCACGTTTCATTAATGTCGTTAATGCTGCAAAGATGCATATGTCATCATCGCTAATGCAAATTTATGAGAAAACTTTTGCAACATTTTTAACTTTTCATAATCTATCATATCTCATTTTTATCTCCTTATGCGTATTTATCTTCTAATTAAGTCTACATCATTATAACCAAATGTATACAAAAAAAAAAAAAAAAAATTCTTTTTTAAATGATTGCATTGGCTAATGAATTTTGCTTATTTCTACATATCTTACTAATATTTTTTATATGCAAATATATATATATAACGAAGACAATATATGATCTTAGCAAGGTAATCAAAACTCATATTAGTTTATCAAAATAATACATTTAAAAATTATCACTAACAAAACGCTGTACATCATTTTGTTTTTTTTTTTTTTTTTTTTTTTTTTTTTTTTTTTTTTTTTTTTTTTTACAGCAATCCTAGAATATGTCATTTTGAATTAATTATTTGTGGCTTCAATTTGGCTTCCTTGTCAACGGGCGATGGGATCAAGGAAATGCGCAAATGAATGTTGGCTGGACGAGTTCATTTACAGGACTGTTGCACTTACTGAAGTAATATGGAGTAAAGAGATAAAAGTTCTGACCACATTTAATACTCACCCACATGTATTACTAATCTTTTACATCTCTTATTTTGAGTCCTGCTCTAATTCTGACAATTTTTTGAATCATCTATAATCTCGACATTTACATTGTCATCGTTATATCTAAGAATAACCAAATATAACTGACCACACAGTGACCGCTCATTCTACCTAATAATTTAAGTTTTAGGCTGTTTGTGAATTCATCGCTAAATTCATAAGAAAATATAGTTTGTTAGCAAATCAAAAAGTTGATCCAAATAGGTAATATTTGAAAATAAACTCTGACAGCAGTCTGTTTCTATCATTAACTATATTTTACTGTTTATTCATTACAAGCCCATACTTTGTTATCATAATTCGAAATAATAGATCTGTCACTGAAGCCTTTTTTGGAATAAAATTTTATTTTACAGACATAATTATTACTATGTACTTAAACATGAATTTAAGCAGGTAAATTATGTGTTTGAAAATTATCAAGTTTAATACCTGGAATCACTCTTTTTAAGAAAAATGTAACTTAGAAATATTATTTGTAAAAGAAGATAAGAGTTACTGCCAACTTAAATGTTAATATGATTAGCAGAAATTGTTGAATAATAAATGAATATGGATTTATATCTGAAAGTGTTTGCAATATAAAAGCTTCGGAAGTTTTAATTTAGTACATTTTAATTATTTAGAATGATTTTTGTTTGAGATTAATTTCAGACGGAAGCTACCAGTACTTTCTGATTGTTGAAATAGAAACCAGCAACAAAAGCTTACATTATTCATTTCTTAGGATCAGCAACATGAGGTTTACCCTCTTTTCAAAAAAATAAAAAAAAACTAAAAAAAAAAAACGAAATACAAGGAAATTAATGTATGGAAACTTCAAAAGATCTACAAAAAAGCGTAGGAATTTCAAAAAAACTCTAATAATTTAAATTTAAAAATAAAGTTATTAATAAGAATTAATCTTTGAATTATTCAGCATTCGCATTCCAATTATAACTGCAACATACAATTAGCACGTAAACGCAAGAATAACAAACTAAATCCATTCCAATTATAAATATTCAAATTATATATTATATTGACTTAATATTGATATCTCCATTTTTCTTTTCCCGGAAGTACGTATAATTCTTCAGCGCTTCAACGCAAATGTTTATTAAATTCACTTCTGTTTTCAGTTCTTACTATGCTCAAAAAAGAAAAATTCGACTTCATCCTTTCATTACTTCCTTTTTCTCTCCTCTCTTCTTCATCCGAAATGTAACTGATATTTGTGACGATAATTAACTTATCCAAATAACGCAATGATTTATAATATGAACTATCCATTATAAAATGGAATTGGGACTGCTGCCAGTGAAGAAATAGAGTGAATGAAGAAGACCATTTAGTCATTTATTCATTGTCTGTTCATTCATTGCTTTTGAAAGCAAAGTTGAAATGACATGAATGTCGATCACTACAGATTGAAGTGTTGATACAAAGATAGCAAAAAGTGAAGTCAAATTTAACTTACATCGTTTAGCGCTAACGGCTTTACCGCCAACAGGTTTTACACAACCGTTGCACAATTTGATGATTGCTTCCACTAATTTGGTACCACAAAGTCGACTTGTACTGGCTTTCTTCGACGGTGCAGGAATCAGTGTTTCATCAAAAATATTTTTCTCTTTCAATAACATTGCAATACGACCCATATTGTACATTTCACTGGTATCAAGCCATTTCAATTGCTCGTCCAATATGCTCCCAGAGTTTCGGCGATACTGATCACGCATTCGTTCAGCACTTATTTGCTTTACAATGCGTATCGTTTTCAGATCTTTGGTGTTTAATTGTCCAGCTCTCATATGTTTCTCTATATTAGCATTTACTTCTTTAGCATTCAGGCCGATGATGAGACATATGGCCACAATACTGTTTGTTTTGAGCCACATCATATTTTTCAAGTTCTTTTTTAACACCGATGTAAATTTTATTAACGGTTTAAAATAAGGACTTTTTGATATAGCTAGTATTTCGCGTAATAAATGTCGAAAACGTTTATCAAATACTTGCTGTTGTTGCTTTATTATTCCGGTTTCTGATGGTAAATTCAGCTTTCAGAAAGGGTAGAATTTGGAGTTAGCAACGTTCACAAACAGTGGTTTCTGACGATAGATGACTAGTAATTGTGGTAATAAATGGGGAGGGGGAAGGGGAAGATGTGCGATATCTAGAGAGGTATTTGAAATACAAGATGGCTGTTTTTAAAGTACCTTCCTAACTGGCACCGAACGATAGACTGCAAATTAGGAAGACTGGGCTTTCGAGTAGTCAGCCAAACCCCTCTTCTGTCACCCTTAAGCAAGAGGTGCCGATGGATATGCGACTCAAATACACCTCAAATAAACGCAGAAGTGGGCGGCCCAAGAATGAAGTCCGTCCTCCTTCTTAGAATCAGGTTGTGAAGGATAGTTGGATGTCCACCGTGTCATTAACACCGCGGGAATGAAAGGCGTGGTTCACTAATGCTGTCTTAAGCAGCAACAAGAACCAAAAAGGACGAAGCATGCAGAAGATTTTAGTTCCGTAATTAATTATTTAAACAAGATGATTTATTGATATGATTGTCGTGATAACGATATTAATTAATTTTAATCACAATTAATTACAATATTCATTCTGAACTTTCACTTTGAGAAGAGAACTAATACGAAAAAGTTGAAAATGAGATAATGCTAATGTAGATGCATTGCCACACTTCAAGTTACACAGAGTCCTTCAAGCAATTTCAACGCTTCCAAATTACAATAAATAATGTAGTGCATAAAGGTCTGTATCAGAAGAGCTGCTAATATGACATTTGCATTTGTCATTAATAAAGTGCTCTATTTGATTTAATGATCACTTCAAAATCTTCCATACAAACCACACATTCACACAAAAAATGTACTTTCAAATAATAGTAATTAATTATGTTGAATTTATTTAATCAACTTTAGTTGGAAACTGGTAGTAGAATAAAAGTATACTGCACTAGGCTTATTACATTTGCAATTGTAATTTGTCTCAGTGTTTTTAAATTCTATTAATTCTGATGACTTAAACCAGTTCTTTTTTCTATGTCTTATTTAATTTTGATTACCAAAAAGCATCTGTTATGAATAATAGTAATAACTTATCCGAGAATAGTCATGATGTCATTTATTTTCATTTGATGAACTAATTACGATAGATCCAGAAAAGCAATTATTCCTAGTAATTATTCTTTTTCGATCTTATAACCTTTCTAGCGGTTCTGATTGGATGGCTCATTTCTTACATGAATGCAACATAACAAAAGATTGGAAGCTGATAATATCTAAATCGGTATTATTGGAAACAAATAAATAGAATTAGAACTAATAAAAAATATTAAAAGTTCGGTTGTACTTTAAGGCAAAAAAAGTCTGAATGAATTATTAACAGCTGTCTTTTTACTAGTAGCACGCTAATCAAAGACACAGATGTTAACTTTACACATGGAGAGTAACAAATTTTGTAAAAGAAACATTGAAAGCACTCTTCTTATGTCCTCTTCATCATCCCCTCAATAATAATAATAATAATCTTCAAATTGTAAATGATTCAAATGGCATTATTTTGAATGGTACTGCAGGTTTACGCTGAATTGAAATAGGAATAAGTCAGATCGAAGTTTTAAATAAAGTTCAAAAAAGTGAAGCTGCATACAGTACTTAAAGCTTATACATATTTACATACTCATTTAAGTAGTTTAAAACCGAAATAGCAGATACGGAAAACAAAAAGTGTTATTCCTTATATCGTTTTGAGTTTTTAGGCTGAAAGATGTTCATACTTTTGGATAAAATTACTAAGCAGCTATTGGAAATTGCACAAAATGATCACTTATAGAAAAAAGACAATAAAAAACAGTTCACTCTTGAGCCCAGAAGGAACTTTGAAAGATTTCTCAATTTAAGTATAAATAAACATAACAGAAGAAAGAGAGTTGAAATGTATTTATCATCATTCTCTTTATTATGTTAATTGCAGCATATCATCAAAAAGAGAGGCGAATTTTGAAATTTTCTGGTATGATATTTTGTTCGATGCAATGAAAATTCCAACTAATGACGGTCGGTCCTTTTAGATAATCAACTATTTTTAGGTTAAATTTGCATAAAATAATGTTTAAAATAGTGCAAAGTGATCACTAACAGAAAAAATCGGTTAAAAAATTATCGTGCTAGTCGGTTATAGATTTTTTCATCCATGTCACCAAGATTGCTTAGCTTTGTAATTTGATAAATCCTTAATAGTGTTGTTACTGTCTTCAGCCATTTAGCTATTTCGTTTTTTTTAAATATGATTGTTTTTATAACTCTTGAAATTTTTTTAACTCTCTAAATTCATTATTGCAGTATAAAATAATAAATGTGATATCTGTATTAACTGATCTTCAACATCTAAATTGTACAGTCAGACAGCTACAATTCTCTTAAAAAATCTGTTTTCCCGAGAAAAACAAAAGAGAAAAACGATGGAAGCAAGAATTAAATATTAAAATAAATATAAATGAAATATTATGTACAGCTCCAAATTTACAAAGAAAACTTAATAAAAAAGGAAAGAAATAAATGAAACAAGTTTTTTTTTTCCTAATATGGAAAAGTGGAATACTGTAAGAAGTTGTAACAGTTCTGAAGGAGAAGAGTGATTTCGATTTGTTAGAGAATTTTGGTGATTTGATGGGACCGAAAAATTCAAACTTCTGAGAATCAGCTTATAAGGTATATTTTGGTATATGATTTTAAAAAGAAAGGGGAAAGAGAAACAGAAGGAGAGAGATAGAAGGAACATATGTATCCATTGATCTCCCTTTGCTTGATAATACTCTATTTAGGAATTCATACATGTTATTTGTTGTTGTCAATATAAAAATGGTCGGAAGAATTTTGATAATTATGGAAGTGTTCCATATAAGCTTTTGGAACATACAAGTTTACCTATTTTTTTAGCTTTCTATCTCTTATGACATGTTTCCAGAAGCTAATGCAGCATCACTTCCGTTTATTTGTGGATAAGCACTGCGATACTTCAACTGATTTCAGTGAAACAGCAAAGGATCTAATCTTCCTCTGAAGAGATTTCTATTCAATGAAAATTTTTGCAAAATGTTTTGCTTAATCATATTTTATAAGCTTTCGTTCATTGCTAATAAATACTTCCACTTATTTCCAAGCATTGGATAGAAATTCGTCCTTCACTGATCATTTTTTAATTTCTTCATCACAATAACTTCATCTGTTTTACATAGGTAATAATTGATGATCAAGAAAGTTTATATTCTTTCAATGAAATTAGTTATTGCAACTTATCAGAAACAATCAATGTTAAATTTACAACAAAAACAAAAACTTTTAATACTTATATATATATATATATATATATATATATATATGGCGAAATTAGATATTATTAAGATATTATGACGAAATTCTAACACAAAGATTTAAAAATGTAAGGAAAAAACATAAATTTCATCCTTCAATCTAAGCAGTTACATTCTTTCCATTAGAATAGATTGGGCGTTTTCTATTTCGTTTATGAAAAAATTTTGGAAAAATGATGCATTCAGAATTTTCTAGATGTTTGTTTTTTAAACAGATTCTTTCTCTCTTTCGCATCTATTTGTGACTAATTATTATATATTGATATAATATAATTGAGTTATAACAATATAACTTATAAATAATAAAACTATAAATTGCATGGCTCTATCATTGTGCTTATACTATCCTTTTATTTTTAAAATGATAAGGTAAAAGTAAGTGAGCAAAGTAGATATAGCGGAAGTTTCATGGCATATTCCTTTTATTTTTATAAATGAAATTGCAAAAGTTGTTTGTTTGATTATTCAAATGAGTTAATTATCAATCATCTTTCATCTTGAATAAAGGAATAATTCGTAATAACAATTTGCAGTAGGACAAGATTGATTTTTACTGTTGGATCATAGAATACAAAGTCAAAGGTCATTAGTTAATTCAAATGTTTGAAATATTTCTTGAAATGTTAGTAATTAAATTAAAATTATGTTAGTTCCAAATTATTTGTGGTGTAAAGAATTATCCAAGAATAATTCTCAATATCTTATCTTGAACCACAAATATGGCTGGTTGGAATTGGATAGTGTAATTTATTGTCTGTTCGAGTGATGCATAAATGGAACAAAATGGCCTGATGATAGGCCCATAAGTGACGAATACTAGAAGGCACGCGTGGTTATATGTATGAAAGTAACAGAGAGCAATGAATGTTTTCTTGAAAATATTTTTTGCATCACAGATAACAGAGTCGCTATTTTTAAAATTCCGTGCATTTCAATCAATTCCATCTCAAAATTTCACTTACAGAATAAGTGAAATTAAAGGTTTAACTTTTAAATGTTTACTTTTTTTGCCTTCGGAATAACTCACCAGAAAGAAAAATTCTTGCTTAAACACAAAGTGAAGGTACTGCTTATTTTGGGCATTCAATTCATAATTTTAAGTTTGAAATGAAAAATCACATTATTTTGCTTTAAAAGTTTATTGAACAATGTTACTGAAATGCGGTCATAAATTTTTCTCATGATGATAGAAGTTTTATTTTTTAATTTCTGAAATACCCAAAAACAGTATTAACTCGAAAACTTAGGCTTTTCCGAATCATTCTGTAATTTCTTTTCCAAAGTGAATAGTTAGATCTCAGCAAATTTCAGATTTCGGCAAAGAGAGCATCTTTTGAAAAACTTTGGATTTTTAAATTTTTACTGAAAACCACTTTCTCAAATCTGCACGATCTATTAGACACACTATAAGCAGATGTTTTACGTCAGAAATGGAATAAGTAAATGACGTAGTTAATGTCATCAATAAAATGATCATACGGAAAATCATACCCAATTATAATTTGAAAAGGAAAAGTTTCAAAGTTCCAAAAAAATATAAAAATATCAGAAATATCAGACACATACACATAAGTATATGTTTGTTCTCATTATTTCAATAAGAACACAGCAGTGCATTTATTCTTAGAGACATTTTTAAATGGTATTTAAGCGGTATTAATTCGATATAAATTGCACTGATGAACTGGTGCTATTTGAATGCGAGGATTGTGAATCATTCCTGAAGTTTAAAATCCAGTTAACTAAGATATAATGCTTCAGATTTAAATTCAACTTCAAGAGAAATAAACAGAAATTTAATCCTCAAGTAATATATGTTTGAAATCTCTGAAAAAATTAAGTTTGTGAGTTAAATCCAAGAATTTTCACGTCATTTAAACAAAGCGAATCACGGACAGAATTTATTATGAGAAGAAGCAATTAATTCCAACGAGAATAAATCAAACAAAGTGATGTATTATCTTATATTTTCTATATCGTTTCATAGATAGTCAAAAAAGCGATACAAATAATATCGTTAATGATTATGAAAATTTAAGTGAACTATTTATTGGTTAATTTATTTACATCTTCGAAAAATTTGCATTAATAAGAACAACATACATTATTTACATTTTTAATGATATATTAAAATGTTTTTAAATAAACAGAAATCTTGCATTATTTTATTTTGCACAAATTGTTTCATTAAAATTTTTATTCTATCATTTTATTGTTTCAATAAATTATAATGACATTTTGACGAATAATTATTCCATCGTTTTGTTGTTTTAATGTATGACCGAAGAGCGATGCATTTGTTTACAACAAGGATCGATTCCCAGAGAAATTTTAAATGAGTAGCGATAAAGTTGAATTACAACACATGGTTTTACCAAAAAAAAAAATCCTACACATTTTGCTTTTCGAAAAAAAAATGCCGAAATACCTCTCGAATCCTTCGAGATCAACGGAGAAGTGCTGGAACAATGTTCAAACTTTAATACATTTCAATAGATTATGCATAAATTGTTTTATAAAAAGCAACAGCTATAAATATTTAATAATGTAACCTATAAAAAACGTGAAGGAGCTAATTCAGATTTAAAAAAAAAAAAACGCAGACTTCGAAATTCTTAATTTTTTAAATTAATTGGTTTTATTGCATCGATTACCATCAGAAATCGTACATTCCTCATATTTTAGTAAAAGATTGAAAGAAGGTGTAATAATTGCAGCACAAATCATTTTTATTATATTAATTTTAATTTTCGGAATTGCAAATTTTCATTCTCTAAGAATTTTCGAAGAATTTTAAGTTTTTTTAAAAAAATTTCAAAGAATTTGAGGATTTTTCTTAGCTTTGTATCTGCAAAAATATTATTTCTTAGATGGAATCTAATAGTATTGGTTGATGCTGATATGTTTTGCACATATTGAATTTTTTTAACAACAATGATAAAATCAAATATACTTGACAGCTTATCAATCAGTAGAAGATAGAGACATTTTATTATCTTCCACAGCTATACAAAATTTTACCAAAAAAATATTGGAAAAAAAGTTTGGGAATGTTTATATATATATATATATATATATATTAGTAAATCAAATATATACTGTCAAGCATTTAGCATTAACAGAGGACCTGCATGCAATATGCAATAATTTATGCATGCATTATCTTACATTACCTATCAATTTTAATGTTTATTTAAAAATGAGATGAAAATGACACTATTTGTGAAGTAAACTGTCACCTCGAAAAAACACAAATTACAGAACTACTACATTTTGATGTTTTTATGTAAATTGAAATTTGTATTGGAAAAAAGAGACAATGACAGCATATGATAGCAATTAGACATAACACAACAAGAAAAAACACTAAAGAAAAGGAAAGGAAAAGGAAAAATGAAATTGATCAATGACAAATGCCAATTGTGTGAATATGATGGCATTTTCTCTTTTTCCTTCCTCAGAAGTAAAGGTCGAAATTTGAGATTACTGTAAACTATGCTGAAATCAGAAAGTTCCTCCGTGACCTTTGGAAATTAATTCCATAGGTAAATGATATATCTATCAGTCTTAGTTTGTTTTTTATTCCATCGTTATCTTCCATCTTTTCTGCTACATTTTAAAACATATTTTAGTATGGTGTGTGTCATTCTAGCAACAAGCAACTGATCACTGTTTTGCATCCTCCAAAATTTCATTTCAACTGGAAAGGTACTTCCGATTTTTATTTGCATACTGTATGAAAAAATTCAACTCTTATTGATATTATCGCTACCAACGAATAGTAGCAAAAACTAATACATGCTATCTAATTATTGATCATATATTGATTAAACAAAATGATCTAGGGGTCATGGATATAATGAATTCCCTCTGACATAATCGTGTTGTTTCATCATTTGAATGGTCAATTCGTTATTGTTTAATCCTAATCAATCATTAATTAATTTACTTTTTACCACTAATATTTCAGTTTATCATTTAAATGGATGGAAATTGGAAAAAGCTTTATTTATTCAATATCCGTTTTTGCAAATGTCTTGGAGAGAGTATATTTTTTTATCCAGTTATTATCTTCTTCCAAGTTTTATACCATCAGCCTTTCCCTTCATTTCATTAATTGTCCATACGTATACTATTTCATGTTGTTTCATTCAAAATTGAACAATTGAAATGATTTCTCCTATAATTTTTAACTTTAAAAAAAAAAAAATTCTTGAAAAAAAAATCTCCCGTAATAGTTTGGTAGCAATTTTGTTTAACGCAATTTCATACTTTTCTCATTAAACCTTTTATTTTACTTTAGAGTTATTTTGAATAGAAACTACAATGACAAGGTACAAAGTCCGTTGTACATATGTTGAAACTAATATGATATGATCCTATTTTTCTACAGCTTACTTTATTTTCTGGATGTTTGCTCACTTCCTAATTTGATTGTATACTTCTTTTACTGCTGCCGAATGTATTAAACATTACCGGTTAAGAAATGCTGATCATATTTGTCTCAGAACTAAGATCAAGGTACGAAAATCACCGATGAAATTTGACCATTGCTATTTTCTTTCGTCATGCGAGAATTTTTCAACGAGTTAATTTGGAAAAAGTATTTCATCGGTAATTTCAACAATAAAATGCTTTCTTTCATTGGAAAAAAATGAATTCATTCAATCATTACTAAAATTTTATATTTCACCGGTATTTTCAACAATAAAATATTTATTTCATTGCAAAAAAATGAATTCATTCCCTCATTAATGGTTTTTGGCACATAACGTTATAAACAAAAGAAAATTTAAGGGAAAAAGAATTATGAACTGCTACTAACCGGCATGGAAATGCATACTTTTCCTGATCCTGCTTTCAAGAAGAAGGTGAATGTAGTTATCGTCGTGTTGTCAACAATGTCATCAAATGTTTCTGGTCAAATACATTCAACTAAAATTTAATTTGGTTGGAAGCAAGAGGAAAATGTGAACAGCTGTCCTATGAATTAATTGCACTGAATATTGTCATCCATCTTTCTCCTTACCATCATTCTCATCATTATCTACATGAATTAAACGAAAAAATAAGGACAATGCAGTGAAATGAGGAACCCATTGCATCGTATCATTCATTTTCATATAATAATAACCAGTACTTTCTCAATATAAAACAGAGCAATGATAACATGAAATTAAATAAAAAATGCATAAGGTGAATATTATTAACTATTACAAAGTCTAATTTTTCATTTTTATTAATAGAATGTTAATTCATTTTATGATTCGTTTTCTAGTCTTTGTATGATTTGCTGATAAAATTTGAATTGATCAAAAAGGAAAGAGCGAGAAAAGGGGTGTAACTAAGGAGAGTTTGTGATGATGATGATGATGATAAGGTTAACATTTTCTCTATATAAACAATAATCGTCGCTCATGTTATACAGAGTAATAAGAAGAGACGACAACCGTTCTTTTCCAACTTCACTGATTACTATCATATTTTCAGCTCTGTTGATAGTGGATTTGTCGATAGCAATTACAGTGGTATATCACCAAATATGACGAAGTGTAAATGTGGTATGACTAACTTCATTTCAGCATTTAATCTCCCTTCTATTTCCATACTATTAAAGTTAATCATTTACATTGAAAGCGGTACCATCGATGAGAATGAATTCACAGCTAGTAATTAATTAGTACAGTTCGTTGAGTTGCTATTGCTATGTTACTTGCCTTCTGCTCTATTAATTGATAATACGCTATAACAGTTATTTTTGTTAATTGCATCTTACATTTGTCTTGTGGATAAGATTGACCAAAAGAGATTTAAAGGTTAAGGTTCAGTTCCTAACCATTCACTGTAATGACGGTGCTCTGTCTCAAGGATAATTAATTAAAAAAAAATGTCCCCAATTGTCCTTTGATGCAGATGGTCATCCGCAGATCACTCCTCTGACCTTTTGTGCTTTTTTCGGTTACAGCTTGCATTCTCAGTCTCTGAAAAGGAAAATTAACCATAAAGGGATGTGCTTCAGAGAAGATATGTGCTCTATTTGTAATCTCTAAAAAGTAAATTTGTGATCCAAAAATATCAGTTTTTAGTTTGGAAATTAACAATCAAATTTCAACATTTTACGAATAGTTTTGATTGAGATTTTCTACATGATTTTATGCTAAATCAATATTTATCCATTAGAACTATCTTATTTAAACCTGGAAAAAATTTATTTCATACCAGGACATTTATTCGCACTGTACTATTCTAGAATAGTTTTTACTTTAGAAATCTAAGCCTGAACTAATCTGCAATACGCCCTTTGCGGAACATAATAGCACTTCATTTCTACCATCTTTTGCAGGATGTCATGAAGGAAAACAATGCACGTGTAAGGAATGTCCCGATAAATCAGCTGGGAAATCGAAATGTAAGTCGATCATTTTTATGCTTTGCGCTTTTATAGTATGAACATTAGATTGCTAAATTCACAATTTCATTCATCAAATTCCGGATAACTTTTCTAAAAAAATACTGCGCAATTTTCTCTTCGATGGTTCTTTACATTTCGAAATATTATGCAAATTGATAGAATATTTGAAAATTTGTATTTTTATTTAAATATAGTACATGAGAGTATTTATTACACAACAATGCTTTTCTTTTTACGACATTTCATATCTGTTTGTTAGTCGCGTCACGTATAAGTCTCAATAATTTCTCAGATCTGAGTGATCGTTTTTGGATTGTTTAAAGAAACATAAAATAACGGTTGTTCACATCTAATCTACATTGCGAATACTCATTCATCTAATAACCTTCAAGTTAACGAATTGGTAGCAAATAATAATCCAAAAAAGATAACTGAGGATGGTTTGCGTTTATTTTAAACGGGTAATTTCCCCTGGTCATTTTTTGCAAGCAGATGGTAGTTGTTGACCTTTTGACCCTACAACATAAATGATTTCCATTTCTCTCTCATAAGCATACAATAAACATGTTAATTGAACTGCTGCCTAGAAAGGGATTCAATATATTCAGTAAGTGAGAAAATATGATTTCATTTTATTTCAATGATATATTTTTCCTGGTTCTATGGTACTTCCTACATGTTAGGTGTGGGATCATGCCATGGTGGCAGTACTGGTACCCATCAAGAGAAAGACCATGAGGATGCCATGATGGGTAAATGTTGCGCTGAAGGAAGCAACAAGCAGCATTGCCATTCGGAGAAGTGATGGAATTAATCGATGAGTCTCGGTAGATTTTTTATTTTTGTAAGTCATTGGAATTCAATTTAATAAAGAGGGCATTAAAATAGATTAGTAAAGGAAATTATCGGACAATTCTCCACAACTCCCAATAGCATATTCACCTGCATGGCTGACCTTGACCAATTCCTTTAACCTTAGATCATCAGTCTACCTTCTAACTCTTCAACTGCTTCCATATTGTACAGTAGTACCCTCACTTTAAGTTGTTCTTCCTTCAAATTCTTTTGCACTGTTTACGGTTTCTTCCTCTAACTATTAGCAGTTCTTTTTATCTTTGCAGAAGATTTAACGACCTATAAAGCTGCATAGCCCAGTCTGCATTAATCTTTCTATGTTTTTGATATTATTTGTCTAATTCGTCCATAGATTTTATTATTTCTCTCATTACAGCATTGAGAGGAAGCACCTGTCCTCAGTTAAGTGTCAGGACTTATAGTATTTATTGTATTCTATTACTGCCATACAAATACTATATATAGCGAATAGTAACTATCTTACTTCATTATTTCAGGATTTCTGCATCATGAAAATAATTCAGAGACAAATATATTTAAATGAAAAGAACATCCACAAATTATTACTCATCGATGCTCATTATTCAATTCTATTATTTTCTTAAACTCATTAGAAAAATATCCCTATCAAATAACATCAGTTTAAATCAATTCGTATATCTACATTATAGTCGTTTTTTTTTTTTTGAAATAATAATATTTCGAAATGTTACCTTCTTCGAGAATAAACCGCTTTTGTTGGAAATAGTTGCAATAATGCTACAATTGAAAAAGTTGGCCATAGATTTAGTCCGCAGTGCTACCGTTATGGGGAAGTCGGTTACTGAAATAAAACTCTATGGAGATAGATCCAACTATGCCCATAGAACATGACAAAAATGAAATGTGAATAAATGATTGGGGACATCATAAGGGCAGTACTATCGACTATTTCAAATATGCATTCTCTTCCTTACATTGATATTATAATTTTGTTTTCTATAATAATCATTTATATATTCGAGAATTCCAATCATCTTAAATTGATTCTATTGACCCATTTGATTCCATATCGATAGTTAAAAAGCTACTACTTCAGTCATAAAACAAATAAATCATTCATTTCACAAATATTTCTTGAGAAAAGAGGTTTTACCTCTTTCCTCAAGAGCAATAAGAGAGCAATAACATTGGAACTAAAAGAGCAATGAAGAACAGTGACAGAGCAATAACATCGGAACTAACCAAAAAACAATAACAGCCGTTAAAAAAAAATCACTGGGATCTTATTCAAAAAAAAAAACAACATGAAAATATGCAAAAGTCACAAACTGTGACGTAGCCTTCATAGTCCTTAAAAAAAATGAACAAGCAGAACATAGAACACAGCAAGTATTTCTGCACCCAAATATATATTCAAAATATTCAAAACTGAATTTGAAATTTTAATCCTTTTATTCTATATTTTCGCTCAAAATACCAGTAAATTGTAAAAATATGCAAAAAAAAAAAAAAAAATTGTACAAAAATCAACCAACTCATGGGATCAAAATAGTATTATCTACTATGAAATACCTCTTCTAAAAATTAAATATCATTTCATTTAATCATTCATTCGTTTTTGTTCTTACCGCAATGCTTTTAATACCAATAATATTCGTTGGCATTCATTACCTATCATTTAATAACATGAAATCTAGTAAATAAAGTGATACAGATTTAACTATATTGCCTAATAAACAATAACGATATTCATGATTTCGAAGAATAAAGCAGTTTACAAAACATGAAAACATTTAAAGCTAAACTTAATAGCATCCCCAACACACAAATGATATTAAATAATGTAAATTTCGATGAACCAGGTATCAAACTCACTGATGTTACCGTTGACGGAGCAAATGACCTCACGTAGCGTGAGGAAGGAAGATGCACATCACTATCCAAAAAGAATCCCTCTCGTGCATCACGAATTCGTAAACGAGGTTCTGCCAATACCGGTTTCTTCATAGAATCGAAAGGACCTTTGAAAGTTATGCGCTTATTAACGAAATTATGGTAAAAGTCCCTCATTTATTGAGATTTGCATATAATGATTAACAAAAACATGGAAAAGGAAATTTAAAAAATACAATTTATTTCAAAGTATTACCACGACGTTGTTGTAAAATTGGTGGCCTTTTGAAAGGACTCAAATTATCACCAAGCGACAAGGAATTGAAAAGTTTTCCCAATTCTCTTGCAGGTGTTGATTCGTGTAATGGGAGAGTTCTATCTCGTGCATTTTCAGAAAAGGATATACTCGTACTAGTATGCGCGGATAGAGTACTACACTGTGATAATGGAGTACTTGCAATTGAGAACGCACTGAAATATCACACATCCTTACGTATTAAATAACTCATATTTATTGCCATTATGTAAAAGTATGCGCTACTAAATGGATGAATATTGATTCCTTTATGAGCCAACGTTAACTAACAGTAAAACACGGTCATTTAAAAGGTGAATCTAAGTACTTCCACGTCTCATTTTTTTTTTTTAAATTTGACACTAAAATTTTTTTTTGTGTCGATTAAAACTAAGAATTTCGTAGCATAAGATGAATTATTGAACAAACGTAATACAACTAGAAAAGTCTTTGCATGCCGGAAATGTTCATAATGATTATAAATCAAGCAGTTATCATTATAAATGAGAACTATTTTTAAAACTGAAGCTAGCAAATATTAATAACTACCTTTGTATGATGCTATTCGGCCGTTTTCGATGCAATAATTTTCGAGGAAAAAAAGCAACAGCGAATGAAACTATGCACAGTATAGACACGAAACTTAACTGCGGAAGAAGCAGTTCCTGTTTATCACCTCCATTACTCTTTAGGAATAATAACACGCACCTAAAATTAGCATTCATTCTAACAATTACTATTAGTTATTGATAATTGTGTTAAACACAATTATTAATAACTAAAAACTGCAAAGTAAATATTTTGAATAGAAAAACGATGCTATATTAAACTACGAAATTAATTAACATTAAATATTAAGAAATATTAATCAATATTAAATACACGACGTAGAACATAGTAGTGCAAAACCACATTTCCAACTTACTGTAGTGTCAATTAGCAACAGAACATTATGAAAACTGCTTTGGAGACTCATTGTAAAAGCAGTAAAAATTTGTTAAATATTTAAAGAAATAAAAAATATTCTTGAAAAAACCAGTACACTTCATAACAATCATTGCAAAGCAGGATACTAACCAAATAAAGAGTGAGACAATATCAGGCAAGGATCGTCGAGCATGCATTACAATTACTGAGATAATATGCGAACCGAGACCAAGGAGAATTATCTTCGAAACATGGGACATCAGAAATGGTATCCACGAAGACAGAAAGTAACATGGCAACAACTGAATCAATTCGAACAACTAAAAACAGACCATTTGAAATACGTTGTCTGTAATTTTCAATTGGCAGTTTCGTTCAAAACAAAATGTGATAATTATTTTAACGAAAGGGTAATCGCAAATATTTGAAAATATTAAAACTCACATAAGTAGTGGTATTGTTCTGCAGCTGCAGCAAATAAACAATGAAAAGACAACATGAAATAGAAAATGTGACTATATTTAAACAATTCGAGAGAGGTCCACAGTTAAAGAGTGCTGCACGACGATGTCGGTAGCTCTGCCTACGCCGTCGTACTTCACTGATCTATAAATCAAATATTAAAATGATATCAAAGTTACACGAAGGAAAGCTGCATTCTTAGAATGTTTTTTGTATTAGAAAATTACAATTAAAATTTTGCAACTATATTTCATCCATAATCTTTGAAATTTTATTTTTAATTACCTAGCTCACATATCATTGCTCAGTTGTATCCTGTAGAAACTCCTTTGAAAAACTTGAAATTAAAATGAAAGTACCTCAGAGTATTTCTGTGAAAGTTGATTATAACGATAGGTAGGAGTAGAGATGGGAGCATTGCAATTGAGTTGATTTAAACCAAATTTCTTAAAACGAAACAATAAAAGAGAAAAACAGACAATTATATCAAAAGTGTAATTTTTTTTTTTCCCCTTAAACTCTTTAAAATCAGAAGATTTAATATCGCAGTATTATTATTTTTGTTATTATTTATTATTATTACTATCTATCTATCTATCTATTATTACTGTGCAGCAATAAAAGATAAGACGCGATATCTTTTCCTTATCCCTCAAGTTATCTGAACTATTTCAAGAAAATTAAAACCAACTTTTTGACTCAAATTCCTAAAATTTCTCTTCTAATCCACTAAAGTACGAACAGTGGAAATGAACTATGGAATATATAAAGCGACCTTGTCGAGTTCCAATTTTCTTTGCACGACTTGTTCACAATTACTGCAGAGCGGGTAGCTCCTACGTAAACGTGCTTTATAAACTTCGAATTCGCCATCAAAATTTGCCTCAAATTGCACAGTTATATTAAAAATTAAAAAAGAAAAAAAGTGATGTATAGAATATTATTAACGCGCAGTCGCCATTTACTACAAAATCTCAGAACAGAGACGAAAGAATATAAAGTTAAACGTGAAGAAAAAAACCTCATTTCGAGGTTCAAATTTGTTAATTTGTGATTGAATACGCGCTTGCTGCATGTTGCATTCTTGACATAAACTGCTATTGGTGACTGATTCTGCACTTTCATTCATTTTATTGTTGTCGATATATTGCTAATAATGAAAATAGATTAAAAAGAGATTTAATGAATTACAAAACGAAGATATTACGGACAAAAAATGTCTTGAACTAAATCGAACTATGTTTGGTGACATTAAAACCAAACCTAAATTCAGGTGCAAGTGTTTTAACATTATTCAAAAGGAAAGAGTTAAAATAGGACAATATTTAAATTAATCATTACCATAATTGCTTTACCATATTTCAGAGTACAGCAAATACTGGTCTAACCTATGTAGATACAAAAGCACTTAAGATATTGTGATAAGCCAGTAATTTATTTACACTTTTAAGCCAAGTAAAGTTCATTAATTCTCAATAGAAAAACCATTTTTTTAGGTGTCGGATTTAGAAATTCATATTTTTGCTCTGGAATGAACCGATCGTAATCTCCATCATCCTTGAAACCATTATACTGTCCACATTTAGGACAAATAAATGCATTTTGACTGTGATAAGAGACACGGATATTTTCATTACAAAACCAACAATTTACCGTCGCTTTCCAAAATGGCCTGCAATAAATTTTGTTTATGATAAGAAATAATTCCAACAAAATATAAATTGATTTCTTTAATATATACTTTATAAATAATTACATAAAAGTTTTCGACTACAACGTACCTAATGATATGATATAGGAAATAAGAAATAAGAGCACTAGGAATAATTACAGATCCAACACTCCAGAATGATACGTCCCCTACCATCCCTAAAAAGCGACTAAACCATCAGAAAGAACCAGCAATATTTCTTCGTCGTACTAATTAAATCTGCAAAAAAAAAAAATATGAACTAAAAGTTAGATTTAATGCAACAATATATTTTATAGAAATCGTGATACACATTTAATGTTCCGTATAAGTCCCAAAACCTGATAATTTTGAAATCTTGTAAATTATATTTATTGATCCGAACAAGTGATAATAAAAATTTTGCTAAAAATATATAGTACAGTTTATTAAAAAAACACGGTCATGCATAATTACATGATTATGCATAGCAATACACATGTTGCTAACTAGTCTTTATCCTGAGAAATTTACTAATGACAAGAATTCCTACACTAGACTTTGATTTCTGAGGCACCGCAAACACGAAAAACTTGAGGTGTTGAAATGAAAACATAAGGAGAACTTATAGTACAACAGCTTAATTTCATCAGTTTCATTTTAAATAAATAAATACAATATTCAAATCCAAAATCAGGATGTAAGTCTAAAACACATCAATAAAAAGTAAAGACGAGGACAAAAATTGTTAGTACCGCTTCATAGAATTGAGGTATGTAGCCCACTTTGCAGCTCGGAAATTAAAATCATTTTGGAACCAACTTCACTTGTATCAGAAACAAGAAAATTACAACTTACACTAAACGGTGGCGAATACAAAAAATAGATTTGACAATCCAGAAATATCCATCAGAAAAAAAAGAGATCAAAAAGTTGTAATGAAAAAGTTATGACAAAAGAAAAACCAAGAAATTGTGTAGATAAACAGCCACATAAGCATGTTTCAAGCCACTGCAGTTACAATTCATAGCAAGCTGGAAATAAAATAATGTTAGCACTGAAGAACATGACACCAAAAACAATGTCATAGTAGATAGTAATAAAATATGATGTAAGTTGAGATATCATTTCAAGCTGTGATAATTCAGCTCAATCCATTATGATACAAAATACTAGCTCGTTCCATAGCGGGAAATAGATGAAAGTGAAGTATGGCAGTGTGTATGTTGAAGAACTTTGACCGCTACCGAGCTTCTAGTTTTTCGAAATGTTTCCGAGCATTCCTTATGTTCATTAGCGTTGCGGCAGATGCTAAAAAGTTTTTTAGATTGAACTAATTCATGATAATTTGACAAATGGATTACTGAAGAAGCATCCTTACATCCATCATGATTACAGTCCAAATAATCAACTGTTACAAATTTTATGTAAAAAATATTGTTTTAATCTTATTTGTTGATTGATTTGCTATTTGTTCCAGTCAAATATTTGTGCGATTTAATGAATCTTAAATTCCTCGGTTCCGAGCAAACAGCTAATGACACAAGATGATATATATCTTTTTTTTTTTTTTGCTTGATAAAAGCAACGCTCACTGAAAAGATGAAATGATTTCCTTTCTTCATCTAGAAAACTTAGCAATGTTAACACATGTTAATAAGGATAACTTACAAACAGTTGCATCCGATAGTACCACCATAATAAATGTATTGCAGGTAAAGCTATCAATAAATACGGCAAATTTACTATTCCGCACACACATACATTCAAACTGGGAACCCAGCTTGCTACAACAATGAATTATCCGTAAATTTCTCAAAAAATTTTTTTAAATTAAACTCTACATTTAAAAAAATTAAATAAAAAATGTTATATAGAGTTATTAGTTTGGAGTCTATAGATTTCCTTTATATCCGAGTTTGGTAAGGTTCGAGTATTTCGAAAATACATCAATAAAGAATAACTTAATTTAATTACAAATTATAGAGTGAAAATGAAAGAGATCAGACTACTGATTCCTTAAAGTAGCAAGTAAACTTAGACAAAAGGAAATGATTAACAAAGAATTTTCTGCTTTAAAGTGATATCTAAGTTAGAAAATGCACCAAATACTTCATAAAAATGTCAAGCCAGGAACACTGGGAATGGAATAAATAAACATTAACCACGAGTAGACAAAAAGAGACAAGATAATGAGGAGCATTCAAAAAGAAACTTTATCAGCATGATAGGTATTAGATTGCGTCATTATATCACATATTTTTTTTAGTAATAACTAAAACACAGAACCTGCATGACAGTTTGAATTGCTTGATAATGTTTGAAACTTTTTCAAAACGGTGAACGTCATTATGCTGGACGATTTGTGCTTGTGCTATCACAAGGAAAGTTGCCTTTTCGAATAATAGTACCTGCAAAATGCTAATAATACCAGCTCAAATATACTACAGACCATCATTTTTAAAGATTTGGAATCTGCAAAAGCTAAAAACATGGAGAAGTATTTGATTAAAGAACAACCGAGAAATCGTCCCAGATTCACATGATTGGTACATTAAGCTTATACATTATTTTATCACTATACAAAAGCTCTAAAAATTTTCTTTTTCTGAGTAAAATATTGCATATGGAATAAAAATTATAGGACCAACTTCGTCAGCGTCCAATATCACAGCAAACTGTTTTAATCTGGCTTCCATTGATGCAACATTTGGTACTAAATGACAAACGATCGCCGACCAAGCCTGAGTAGAAAGCGTTTTAGTTTTGAAACTTACAGAAGTTACGTTGGGGAAAAATAAAGCTAGCAAGAAAATATACCTTGTAAAGCGTTTCATCCCAGATTGATGATCGGTAACACTGTCTCACGACGTTATCATGACCAAATTTTTCAGCAGCAAGTTTTGATCTAGACATTATATCTCGTTCCTTCTCTGCGAATACCTAAAACACCAAACTCAAACTGCATAAAGTCATCCATCTCTGTTGTATGGAACAAGCAATTAAATGAAGAAAAGAAAAAGATCAGGAAACACATAGAGTTATGCCTGTCTCTACAGAAATGTAAGTTAAATCCAACAAATGTGAAGCCTCTGAATTACTCTAATTTCTGCAAAAGTTATTTCTATTGAGTGTGCCAATTCTAATGTAGCAAAGTAAAGTCAAAAGAAACTAGCTACCAAAAATATTTCAAATCTTGCTAAAATCAGGTGGGACTCGAATTATTTTATAGATCAACACAACTGCCCACCTGATCTTTGTGTTCTTCAGAAACCAAGTCCATTTTATGTATTAAACAGAATACTTTGGCATTTGGTGAGTTCTGAATCAGCGCTTCCAGACATGATTGATAATATCGATAATCCTTTTCCATTTCACGACTTTCTACGTCGAATACATATATTAGTACCTAAACACAGAAAGAAATAAAGAGACCGTTGAGCAATGCTGGGTGTTAACACTTCAACATAAAAGTAAAGAAAGTTAAGCTTTCACCGTTAACCGCTTAAGTAACTGTCATTACAGCAATTTTAATGATTTAAGATAAACCAAACTTTAGCTTTGCAATTAGTAAAACAGAATAGATGCCTGAACATTTTTGAAGATTTGATCTTTCTGTGAAGCTAAGTAATTCTCCATAAATGCTTCTTGACCACCACAATCCCAAAGATGCAATACCAGATTACCCAAAAACCTGCAGTTGGAAGCATTGTAAGTAGAAATATAAGTAAGTAGAAAAAAAATATATAGTTAAACTCAGGGATTTTTTAAACTCAAGTTTTTTTCTTTTAAAATGTAATTCGTTTCGTTCATTATTGGAAACTGCACCTACAACTAACGAATAAATATATGTCATTAATCAAGTTATTTTTACCTATTCCAGCTATAGATAATAAAACAGCTATGTTTGGAAGGACTGTTTAGAAACAGAAATAAGTTACTGACAAAATGCAAAGTGCACCTTTATAATCACTGAAAGACGTATTTGTAATCACGACGATACTAAAAGTTCAAATTTTCTTACAACTTCGAGGGAAGAGAAAGAACTAACCGAACATGAGCATGTTCCACCTCCATCGTTGGTCCAAGACGATTTGTATCACGCGCAATATAATTGGCAAATATGATGGAACGCATTGAAGTTTTACCAGAACCACTTTTCCCCATCAGTAATACCTTTCGTTTCGACATCCTTCTTCACTCTTCTACAAAAGTGCTAATAAAAAGGAACACTAACGTATCTGTAGCGATACATCCTCTCTACTGCCTATAGTACTTCACCACTCCTACCTCAACTGTATTATTTTGAATTTGATTCTTGCTCTTCCTTCAGCTTTTACTTGCAAAAATTGTCTCACGCTTCTTGTTCGTCCATTTGTTCCATGATCACTTTTCCAAAATTTATTCCGTAACTAATCCACAGATGGGTCTTTAGTATTAAGAGTCAACGAAACCTGAAATCTTACCACTGACCGCTATTATATCCATTTAATCTGATAAATATAATCTGAATATTTCAAACTAACAACACTTGTCCTTTACACATACCAATAAATTTAAATTTAGCATGCAACATGATTGATATAAAATTAATGAAAACAACAGAGTGATACCCGCTAGCTTAGCTCGTTATCATAGTTAAATCTTAGATATCGATGGTGAGAAGGGAACAACCAGGAGTTCACGAAAACAGGGGTAGAAAATTTTTAATAACCAACTCTATAAAAAGCGAGGTGATAGAAAGGCCTCATCATACCGTTATAATCTTCCACTTTGAATATGGATAAGGATCGCGCAACGTGCATTTCTGCATATGAAGCTGATTGTTCGTGTATGTTTATTTCTCATTAGCTTCAAGCGTTCAGAAACGATAAAAAAATCAGTGCTTAAATACTATAATCACCAGAGCACAGTAACGATAAATTTTCTATTTCTAAAATCATCCTAAATTTTTCACTTCGAGTTATATTCTATTCCCAGAGTAAATTCTCTCCTATCTATATTCAAATATATCCCCGTAATGAATCAAAAATGTTATAAAAACAAAAATTAAAAATACAACGAACATGCATGTACTTCTACCAAAATTGTATTCAGGAATATAACGCAGTTTAACTCCAAATTCACTTGGTCACTGTCATCCAGTACAGTTTATTACCTAATTGTAACAAAACAAACATAAAATCCTTCCAAACGGTTGTTTCTATGAATTCTCTTTAAACAAAAACCTCAGAAGGTTCTATTTTTCTAAAACCTATTCATATAAATTGAAAATTCAATGTTAATTGTAACATGAAAATTCAGTACATTAAAAGTTACTACCTAGAGGAAATTTCACAAAGGAAAAATGAAAAGACTGGCTGTGAAATGAGTACATTATAATATAGCAACATAGGACATATTTTTAAATACTGAATAAAAACCTTATGACATAAACCTAATTTGAACATCCAATAATCAAATGTAATCTATAATAAATAATTCTCTTCTTGATCCCAAAATGAAATGATTCACTTTATTATTCTGAACTGTTTGAATCGGATCCTCTGAAAAATACTATGATTTGCTCTTTAAAAAAAACAAAAAAGATAAATAATAACATTCAATATCAATCGGAAAAGAAACAATGCAACTCTCATCATGACTTCATATCAGTCAGTGAAAAGCTCAGATCAATTTTCAATAGATTTGCAACAAAGCAGGATAGAAAGCTACTTCTAGATTTAATAAAACATAATTTATGTGCAATATGGAATCCATAAGTGAAATATGAAGTAGGTTAAAATTAACCTACTTCATATTTCCTGCCATAATAAGTCGTACACAGGATTTCCAAATTATGAATAAATAAATTCGTTTTTTATTCATTAAGAAAAATTGAGAATAGAAACAATTTACGTCAGAAGCCTTAATTCATCGCCAGTTGTACAATATGTACTAAACCAGCTTAATAATGAATACCATGACTTCGTACTCAAAAACCTACTCAAAAAACAAAAAAAAGAAGTGCAGTTGCCGTACGATGTTAGGAATGATTAAAATTAAAATTAACCTACTTCATATTTCCTGCCATAATTACAGATGCGATGCCACCACTAAGTGCCGCTACTGCAGGACTGAGAAATATGTCTTCACCAGTCTCATTCCATGCGTCATCCTCGGATTGAGAATGTGGTGGAGGCCAATCGTCAGGCTTCATGGATGTGAAATCAGCCCAGTTGCCGAAATCCATGGAGGACATTGACGAAGCTTGTGGCCATTTATCTTCTGAAACCATGTTTTAAATGAATGATAATTCTATATAATGCATCCTATCAATTAGATTTACAAGATTCATAAAAAATAACCTATGACACATTTTGATATTTTCTTCTCTTCCTTCGTTACATTCGCTTTTGATGTATCTCTTTCATTTTCCTCAGAAATATCGTTGGCAGCAACTTTATTGGAATTAAGCATAGGAGCAATACTATCCCGAAATACGGAAAGTTTCGATCCTGATTCCTCTCTGTTATCGCTAGCTGTCTTGTTATCTACTTCCTACACGAAATTAATTACTATATAAACAAATATATAGACTTCATGTGGTGGAAAACTATTTCGTTTTCCCATCCCTTGACTTGGAATTTCAGTGAATTGTTAATATAATGAGTCGTTAATATTAAGATACTTTGGAATTGCTTGTCCTTAGCCATCCGTCTTCTGACTCCATATCTGTATCGATCTTTAATGCACACATTGTATCAAACACATCTTCGTTCCCCTAAACATTTATCACTATAAACAATGAGTTCAGAAACTTAAAAGTTGAAAAAGAAGAAACTCACAATGCTAGCAAAATCTTTTGCAATGCCGTAATCCGAAGTGAAATCAGTGATCTCGTAACTAAAATAATATAAATATGTATTTATTTGTTCTCAAAAAAGTAAAATATTTAAGGAGCAAAACTTCCTGCTTAAAAATTTCATAAAAAAGACACACATTCAAGGTCACCTTAAAACGAAAGACATATGATACTGATAGAAAATTTACATGCTAATTTATGTTAATGCTAGCTAATTCATAACACTTTAATGATAACATGTTTCTTGCACCAGTGACATTATTATCTTAACGACATGGACAATAAAACTTTACAGTTCTAATATTTTATGTAGAAAATAAATTTGCATACTCAGTGTTATGAGAAGAGCATGGGAATGATATTGCAACATCCTCTGCTAACGATCGAGGTATTAAATACTGTTCATACTCATCCATTAACTATAATTTCCAAATAATTTAACTTATACAAACTCCGTATTATCTAATTCTGCAATCTTGGGCCATTTTACAAACAGCAAAAAATCATAAAAGACGAATAAGAAATTTATAAAAAAATAAAAGACAGAACTATCCAAAAAAAAAGTTAAAAAAAAAAAAAAAAACTCTACTTAAAAATAAGAAAGAAAAATACGTAAGACCAAATTAGAATACCTCTGCAGCACCACTGACCATAGGTTCAGGGACATCGCATGCATCAATCTTCGCCGTATCAACGATATTACTCGCCGGTGGAGGAGTAATACCTGTGTCGTCACCACGATTTTTTTCTTCATATTCTTTTATTTGCTCTGAGAAAGCTTCCCAGTAATCAGCTTGATCAGATTCTAGAAACATAGCAATAAATGTTATCAGCTTTGTATCTGTGTTCATACTAGTGTATTCCTTTATTTTTTGGAGAAAAATAAAGACAAAAGTTATACCTATACCAAAATATGCATACGCATTTAAGAAACTGCGTCTACCTTGAATTAACTGCGTTATGCACCCAGCGTTGCATGAGGATTCAGAAGCACATTTGATTAACAATGCAAGATTCATATAAAAACCATGCAGCATTCTTTTTGAAGATCCTTGAAGAAAATCGTCTCGTGATGTCTCATAACCAGCCAGTATATGCCCTAATATATCCACATCCTAAAAAAAAAGAAAAGAAAAAAAAACAGCTCTGGAAAAACCAAAGAATTCAAAGAAAAAACTTGCAAAATAACAAAGCTATTTCATTGTAACCTAATTAATTTATACTATTAGAAAAATCTTTTTTCAACTTTAACATCAAGATTCACATCCTCACCACAATTATTTCGAAGTGTTTACTATAGAAAGAAGAAATGAAAAATGAGACCTCGCAATTGAATTGTTTTGTCAAAAGATTAAATGTTTAATAAAGATTACCTAATTAATAACTACAATCATACAGCATATAGTTACTGCCACTAATCAGGTAATCAATATTAAATGCCTATAATCTACATAAAGAATACAACTTCTCGAGGTATTACTTTAATTAAATACTGTATAAGTGGTGAGGGAGAAGGCGATAGTGTATAAAGAATATAAGCAACAGCTCGATGTAAAAGGTTCTGAAAAAGTGTAAGCTGAGGATGAGTGTTGATATAAGTGAGGAACAGTTTGAATGGGCTCCTTGAGAAAGATGAAAATGCTGCCAAAATAGCTTGATGTGTTGCCATATGATTTGTATCCAGCACTAACACCAACAATCGCATTAGTGGACACCATGCATCGCTGCATATCTTTATATTGCCATCTCCTATCTACAAACAAATATACTTGAGTATGAATGCTAATACAAGAATTATTTTCCAAAACAATGAAAAAAGCACATATTATCTCACTGTTAGAATTAGTAGGGATGCAAATCAGCATAAAGTTAAGGTTATATATGCGGTTTTCACAGCTTTCGCAGCATTTCAAAGAACGAAAGCGTTTTTAATGCCGGTAATTTTTTCTAGTGAACTAGTAGCAGAAATAAGGATAATATATATTATAATATTATATATGAAAATAACAAAAAAAAACCTATTTGAAGTAACTACTCACAAAAAAACCAAAAAACGTTCTTAATAATATGTTTCATGTGAATGCCTATCTGTGCAATACCTTAAGAGAATCAATTACTGCACTGACAATCCGATCAGCTGAGGCAGCAACGATTGTCTCAACTACGTGACCTGCATCAGGCTGCCAAACCGTGGTACCGTTTAATTCGTTTTCCGCAACTGGAACACCACCATACCATTGAGCTTGAATACCACGATCTTCCATCCCCAACTGATGACTGGGACTGAAAATTAGAAAATTATTAAATGGAGCTACTTTTCAGAGAAACTTGGATACAATGAGTTTCTCGAAAAACTAGTCCATGGAGTTTTGAAAAGATAATATTAAGTCATAGATTTTTCCATTGTAAGCTTTTGACCTGTGTTGGGGCCCTCTACATATCTAAAAACTCACTACGAACAAATTAAAGCACCGTAGTGTGTTGGGCGCTATATCTTCTATATCAATATATCACAGTGTCTAAAGAAAAAAGAAATGCAAACCAATTAGGGATAAAATTAGTTTCCAAAAGGGTAATAAAAATAGCAGCAGCATTGACAATAACAGAATCACGGCGCTGCTCCACATTGTCAGGTAACATACGACTCATTAAATGCCGCACATTCCGTTCCGACTGCAAACTCTCCAACAAAGAATCATTCCGCTTGCATTCTGCGGTATATTGCATATCACGTAACATACGCACCAGTTCGCTCCATAAATGACCAACGTTATCATGAACCTAAAATGGTTAAACACACACAACTTTTAAGTACACATTAGAGTTAAGCAATTAATGATTAATGTTAGCTACATCAATTCGAGAAATAATAGCCGATAAATACTACAGTTATAGCTGAAGAAATCACTTTTTTTTTTTTTTCATTTATTATTTTTCTTCGCTCCGATACTAGAAGTTGCGAGAATTTTTGATAAATTTGAAACAGTAATAAAACATACAACAGGTAGTTGTTCAGGAACAAGAAGATCGCAGAGATTTTCTACCATTCGATTTTCCGCACACCACTGAAATATACCATCTTTCTTTAACATTCAAAAAAAAAAAAAAAAAAAAAAAAAACTTGCTGATGCCAGCATAATTCTGCAGGATGTGAGCAGAGCAACAGGACACAATTACAAAATTAGTTTATCGATACCTGCTTAATATGATCCTGTTCCTCGACATTTGATAGGCCACTAACGATACGGTACAACAATTCCATAACAGCCGAATGATTCATATTTCTCATACAATGAATCAAAAATTGACTTTCCTTCATGCGGGGAAATACCTAAAATTCATCTAAAAATCTTTGTCTAGCACTTTTTCCGATAAAATACGCAAATAAAGCAAACACAAAAAGTTTTAATTATTGACTAATTAGAAATTATATCCTAAAAATCAGTAAGCAAAATCTATTCCCAAGTAGAGATGTAACGGCAGTGAAATCTTGTCAAAAATAAATCCGCTACTTAACTCACCCATAGCTGAGTAGCTCCCATTCCCACCACAATATGATTCCCACCACAAAATATAAAAAAAAATCCTGAAGGATTCCTAAAACCAAACTAACTAAAGGCTAAAAGACTTATTAACTTCATTCCCCGAAAGATAGCTTACGCAAAATTATTCCCACATTATAATAAATTGATATTTGGTAGAAAAAAGTAAATGAAGTAAATGCATACCTGATCAGGGAATCTACTAATAATTTGTGAGAATATTTTCATATAAAAATTGACAATGACATGGTTTAACTTCCTGCTATCCAGGAAATCAAAAAGTAAATTGCATGCCTCTTCGTTAATAATAACTGCCCTACTAAGCTCTTCATTATTTATCGATAAGATCTCGGCGCACAAGTGAGCTTTTCTGTAAGTAGAAATCACTAACTGCAGATCTGGATCTTTTCAACAACATAACTGATATTAAATCGCTAAATGATAAAGTTCAGCAACCGTGAGGAAAGACAACAAAAATGTACTTGTACTGTTCTTTCAGTGGTAAGCTTTCATCGATTTCTGGCTCTAATGCACCTTTGATCATTTGTGCTATTACTTCTTGTCTTGTTAAACTGCAATACACGGATTGAAATTCATAAAAATTGAAGGCTTTTCCTAGGTTCCGTTAGTGCCGTTAGTACTGTAAGAGATGATATCATTAAAAAGCATCCATATGGTGGATATGGTTCATACTACCATGTCACTAAGTTATAATCCTATTATGAAAATGAAAAAATTCGCAGGCAGCTTTAAAGTTTGTGTTTTAAAATATCTCTGGCATTTACGGAATCGAATCACAAACAGTTTACGCTCGAATATGGTAATATGATGGATAATACCATGCAAACATCCATCAAATCATCACCGCAAAACAAGCGATGTCGAAAAACCAGAAAATCCATTACTAGACAATACAAGCAATGGTGGAAATCTCATGCAATTAGCAACCAAATAGTGAAGACTAAAAGGGTGAATTCGAACGTACAAATTAATAAGCTGATGGTTGCCATTGCGAATTTCTTGTATCGCATAATCATCTTCCAACACATTTGCTAATGTTGCGGTATTATTCTTCAATAACTCATCTAGTTTACTCACAGAAGCTGCTAGATCGCTCGACCAGAACATATCCTGGAACATTTTTTTAGCACTTATTAATTTGGAATGCACTAATTCAGTCACTAGCAAAATGATGCACATCACATTATATTTGTAGTTAATTTAATCTAATAATAATAATATTGATTCCTCAGAAATTCATGTAATTTACTTATAGAAGTTGCCAGATCGCCCAACCACTATATCGGGTTCAATTTACTTAAGGTTATCCAGATGCTGATCGACACTTAATTTTTAATTAAGAGTTATTCAGGTTTTTACAGTTCAACACAGTATTTGTTCATAAGTGATTTCAAGCCTCGGTTTCCTACTTACCATTTGCACAGAAGTTCCTTACATTCAAAGGGAAAATGAAGTTAGAGTATGCCATATGGTCACGTTCTTTCTACAGCGTAACTGTATAAAATTGTAGCATTATTTTCTTAAATGAATCTCTGATGTCTTTCTCAAATAAAAGCCATTCACTTTCTCTTTCAGGGATCGAATTCACTCTGTCTTCTTTTTAATCACGCATATAAAGGTTTAAAGCAAAGTCCTTAGCAATTTCAACTCCTAATTACAATGTTAATTTGCTAAATATATTTCCCGCAGTTTCACTCCTGTTTTAATCCTTGTCATACAGTAAAATTCTAAAGTTAGGTTCTGTTTAATCTACTTTTTGACCTCTTTAGAAAGTCCTACGTTCTCGAAAAAGACAAGTCAGACTTGAGTCACCCCTTCCGGTGCTAACACTAACAATTCGTTCGAGACGTTAACCCTTTGTTAACATTACTGTTCTTCCATGTTCAGTGATTTTTGGATTCTAACGAGTTTTACGAATTCATATAAAGGATGACTGGTTATCTTCTACAACAATTTCAAAGAATCGTAATGCTTGGAAATGGTTTTATTTGATCGTAAAGATAGCTCAAGAATGATAACACTTCAAAGAGGCCATGAAAAGAACGAGAGCGGAAGTGGGGAGGAACTGGATAAATTGAAATTTTAAAGATAGCTCTAAAATTGATGACAATAAAGATCATAGCTCTAGAAAATAATCCATCCAAGAATTTCTTGCTCAAAGTGGAATAATTCCGCGATGCTTTCACCAACTTATCTATTTCGTGCCACCCAAACCTGCCACTGAAGAAAACCCCAACGCCCTCGAATTCAAACTACCCCGCCGTAAAAACCCATTTCATTATTGGTGGCATGCAACGAATAGGTAACGGCTTGATTCACTGGTGAAGTGACATCTGAACGAATGTGGTCGAGGTTTGGTTGGCAGAGCCTTTTGTTTTTGTTTTCTCAATGGAAGTTTAGCACACTTTTTATCGTTTATCCTTCATCTGTAGGAGATTCGAAGTTTAAAACAACTTGTTTTGGTTTTTGATTGTGATTTTTTATTTTATTTCACTTGGAAAATTGAAATAAAATTTTAAAAAGTAGGAAAGCTTTATTTCAGTTATTTTATGATAAAAATAGAACGGCTGGTAATAATTTTCTAAATATTTTTATGTTTTGCTGTAAAAATATTTAGAAAAAAAAAACTCTCCTTCGACGTTTAACACCTCCACATGTTTGATCTTCACAACAAATTGCCGTAAAATATGGGGAAGTGATGGTTTTATACTTTAAACAAGAAGTCGTAATAACCTTAAATCATGGCGTTATTTCATGATCCTTAAATTCAAAAACTTCTAGTGGCGAATATTCTTGTTTGCTGACTTCATTCCTTCAAAAACGAAGAACTGGCCTGTTTTCTTAAATTCACTTGATTTATTCTTGTTTATTTTCAGGACAGAATGAGTTCGGAAGAAGATAGTGACGAGATTTACGATGAAATTGATCGTCATCACATGTCACTTGATATATCTGATAATGAGAAAGGAGATCCTGTGACTCGTAAACATGTGGAGGTGTTAAACGTCGAAGGAGATTCATCTAATGATGATGACAATGATTATGACAATGAAGAAGACAGTAATCCTTTCTCGGATACTGATGAAGACGGTGTAAACAACGTCGAGAAGTGTAAGTCTTCATGATCTTCAGTGTAATTAGCTAGATCTTTTTTTTTTTTTTTTTCGCATTTCTTGCATTAACGGCCTGAATGTTAAAGGATGTTAGCATTTTCATATGAACGGAATATTATCTGTAAACGATACCAGGAATCAGGTTTATTATAAAAATGTTTGGTAACCTAATCTAAGTTGAATTTAAAGAAGGAAGAGGAATTCGAGGAGTAAAGTAGTCATATGTGCAGTTTACTGGTGAGCTAGTTACTAATTTGGATAGGGTGCTATTCGAAATAATTATGGACAGGAAACGAGAACTTATATTTTCAGTCTTACCTTCGGCGGATAAATGGGGCAGTGGTCGGAGAAGTTTCTACAACACTTCGTATGTTGACGAAGACTGGGGTGGCATGAATGAAACGGAAGCGGAATTAGCCGAGTTGGAAGAGGAAGACGCTATTGCAAGGCAAAAGAAACTAGATGCTGCTCTTGGCCTTTTGCCCATGCAGTTCCAGGTTTGTACCAGAGAGCAGGATCAAAATCTAGATAGGTTAACGTGATTATATTGCTGACAATATTTTCAGGATGAGCTGCAGGAAGAGGAAACCACTCATGATTTGAACGAGCTCCCAGATATCAAATGCATGACTGCAGAACAGCGATATGAATACTTTTTAAAAGTTAATCCTGATTTGGAGCAGATATTTAACGAGTACCAAGCAAAAGTAAGATTTCCTTGAGTGGAACAATCAAAAAATCTGAACGACTTTGTATACAAGAGCTTAGAAGACAAAAGAATCGTTCTAATAAATCACAGAAACCTGCATATTAGTTACCTATTAGTTACATTATTCGCATTTCCAAAAAAAAAGAACAATTTATAAGAACATGTTAAGATATTTTAAAGGCCCTTCAAGAAGCCTCTTTTTATTTTAACTAGCTTATAGTACTGGTTGGCCATTTCAATACTCGAAACTTGTTTTTGTTTCTTTTGATCTAATTATTTTCGTCATTTTCAGAGAGCATATTTCTTAACGGACGTTCTTCCTCTCTTGGATTTAGCTCATTCACTAAAACATGTTCGACCAGGCTTAATGTTAGAAAAGCAACTAGTTCTTGCAATCAACGTATTTTCAAGGTAATATTTTGCTATTTTAGGGCTGTTATACTCTATTTAAGAAGCACATACCATTTTATGTTCTTGTTAGTTTGAATTTCTGCTGTTACTGTTATTTTCATAGAGATTAAAAGTTTGAAAGAAAATTCATAAAATTAGGAATATCAGTTGCTTTGTCGACTCCATCGATAAATTGTGTTGTATGAATTGTTTCTGTATTTTACACTTTATTAGTAGGTGAAAAAAGAAAACCTTCCGAAACGTAAAAAAACTTTTCATTCACTTTTGGTTTCCGTAAGAATGAGAACATTCTAAAATAATTCGCTGTCTTGCTCGTTGCAATTTACATAATTGATCGAAAAAATGACTGCAATTTAGAAACATGAGAATAAATTTTTCTAGAATTTGGATTTCTTGGATAAGCGGTAAGGTTAAAAAAAGGAACAAACCCGTTTGAAACCATGTTTTCAGATACCTGACCAATTTGTTATTTGCATTTCATATAAAAATAGTCGGAAATTCATATCAGGAAGCTCCTAAATTTATTGGCCATCCTGTTCTGCAGGCTCTTTTAACTTTTCAGAAAGTAAGCCTTTTTATGTTACGCCTTTTTGTAACAATTAAGATAATACTAGGTAGCATCTATTGGATTAGATATTTGAACTGTATATGGGGGAATCTTTATGTTATCGAGTAATATCTGCCTGGCACTATAATTATTAGTTCTTGTTCTTCGCTTTTATGATTTTTTTAGTCACATTATATTTCTTTTAAGCTCTTTAAATATCATAGGAAGTGTTCGCTGTTATGCATTTCCTTGAAAAACACAGTGCCATTCTGCAAACGATAAGAAATAATCTTAAATCGAGGGATTTCGAGAATATATTGGATACATTTCCAACAGTAGAGTTTGTACAAAAGTCAAAAATTTCTAAGACAGATAAGGGAAATGAACAGTTACGAATCGAAGATGATAGAATGGATCGTGAAGTTCGAATTGTGAATGACGAAATAAACGAAGGAACTATGAAACGTTCAATAACCAACCAAGTCAGTTCTTTGATGCATATGCAGAATCCCGGAATTTTTTTTTTTTGATAGTGCAACAAATACTAAGCTATTTTTAATATTTAGATTCATATTACATTGAAAATGATACAACTGCTTTTTTCGCTTTGAAGATTTAAAGCAAATAACTTTTTATAAATTTCAGAAAGCTTTAGTAGTCACTAATTTGACAACTAATGGAAAATATTAGGTGTTTTGGTTTACTTCATTTACTTTGCGGTGCATTTAGATTGAGAAGAATAGAGGTTTGCAAAATAAGCGGAAGAAAGGAACACATCATTCAAGAGTCAAAAAGAGGAAGCAGTTCAAGAAAGCATTAATAAAAAAACACTCGCAAAAGGCTGATGCGCGGAGGGAATTAACTCCATACGGTGGTGAAACTCGAGGAATCAGAGCATCAACCGTGAGAAGCGTTAAACTAAAAGCTTAGAGAAGAACGTGTATACTCTTGTTGTTTAATATTAAATAGCCCTTCTTTCAAGATCACGTTTCATATTTTTTTCATATCCGTCACATTACTGTCATAACTTATGGACAACTGGTACTTCATACTGCTCTGGCAGTACTAGTTGTCATCAAGTTATGCCAATAAATGTGACGGGCATAACTTCTGGAGAAGTAAGCTTCACCTCAAGGTTTCGTTATAGTGTCTTGCTCCTCTTTATATTTGTAGTGACCAAGGTTTTCTTTTGCGAAAGAATGACCGATGAATTGAAATCAGTTTGAATGGCTTTTAAGTAGTGTCCAGAAGTAACTCTAGAAGTAACCTTAACCAAGCATATTTAAGCTCAAAATTACTAGAGTATGAAAATTCAACGAACCATCTTTCTCTCTTTCAT